TTTTCATCATCATGAACTCTTTGAAGACCCTTGTGTTAGAAGTACATAAAAGGTACTACATAATGGTTGTCCCGAATTTTACTGGTTGCAGAGTCAACTATTCCTTCTAAGCTTGCGCTATCTTCAGCACCTAGAGGGAAGCTGCAGGAAACATGACAGCAAGAAAAATGTGTTTGTAGGCCCGGTGCAGTGGCCTAGTGGCTAAACTCCTCACCTTCAATGTGCTAGGATCCCATATGGGTGCCAGTTCTAATCCCAGCAACTCTGCTTCCCATCCAGCTCCCTGCTTGTGGCCTGGGAAAGCTGTCAAAGCTTTGAGACCCTGTACCTGTGTGGGAGACCTGGAAGAGCTCCTGGCTCCTAGCTTTGGATTGGCTCAGCTCCGGCCGTTGCAGTCATTTGGTGAGTGAATCATCGGATGAAAGATCTTCCTCTCTGTCTCTCCTCCTCTCTCTATATATCTGACTTTGTAATAAAAATAAATACACCTTTTTAAAAAATGTGCTTGTGAGTGAAGCTTGAGAGTGTTACTAATGTGAATTCAAATCGGATGGGGTGTGTCTTACTCTCTAACTAGGAAGAAACTCATGTTAACTAGAAAGGGTGCGGACATTTAAGACTTAAGGGTGATCTTTCTTTGCTGTTGCTTTTTGGAGAGCTCAGTTATGAATGTAACACTATGTTTTTTAAAAACAGTGAGAACCTAATCTTTTTCATCAGAGTCATGTTACATAAACAGTCTGGATATAGAACCTAAAAATCAGTCTAGGATGTAACATCATTGTTGTGCCAAAAGCCAGTTAGGATTTTGAAATGAGACATGCCAGTGGTTTTCTAAGATGGAAAATGGAGATGACCTTGAAAATATTTTTTTTCCAACGAAAATAATGAATGCCTCAGGGAGATAACTGTCAACACATGTGGAGGCGGCACAACCAACAATTCGCAACTGCATCTGCCGTGCAAAATGCTGCAGAACTCGCCACCTGTGCCCGAGCAGGTGGGACCAGGTCACTACAGGAGAGTCGTGTCATCAACCAGTATGAAGCACTGCATAGGTCGCTTGCACAGAACGCTGCTTCCAAACCTTGGACATCTTTGGAAATAAGAAGTCTGAAATAAAGCAGATAAGAAGAATTTGTTCACAAGTGAAACTTGGAAATATTCCTAAAATGGATTTTTAAGTCGAGTGGTGCTTCTTTCTCTTTGGCTAGAAAGAAATTCTTGACCAGGATAAAATTCATTTTGGGTAGAAGGAAAGTAGCTATGGAAGACCAGAGGAAACTTTGAAATCACAGACTAGTCTTCATTCACTCTCCTTCAAGAAGCAATTATCGAGCACCTACAAACTCCATCATGTTCCGCTGTGCAATGTGGATACAGAGACGAATGTTGCCCAATACTTGCCCTTGTTTCACTGCCTGTTCGGGGAGACAAGGGTATAAACAACTGGTTACAGCATTACGTCATATATGCTACGATGGGCTTTTACGAGGTGCTGGAGCAGAGCGCCTCGTGGAGAAGGTCATGTTTAAGTGGAGCCTTCAGAGACGCCCAGTAATTCATTTAGCTGACAAGGTCAAGAATGGCTTGTGTAGCACGGAGCATGTCATCAAAAACACCGAAAGTGCGTTACATATAGGGAAAGCGCTGTGGAATACCACAGATGCCTGAAGTGTTTGAGCATTAGATAGAGACCACACTCTCCCATTCACTGAAGTCAGGAGCCAGGAACTCAAGCCAAATCTCCCATGTGGGTAGCAGGGACCCAATCCCTGATCACTTGCACCACCACTACTGCCTCTTGGGGTCCACAATCCTGAGCCACATTCTGAATCCAGCTACTGATGTGGGAGGCAGGTGTTTCACCCGCTGAACCTCCCTTCTCCATGGCAGGCTTTTGAAACAGGGTAAGAACAGGACCAGGGCTGTGCCTCTGTAAAAATAAAAACACAAACCTTCTGGGAGCATCCCAGGGGATTAAAGTGGAGAGAAGGAGAGTCTGGAAAAAGGCAATGTCTGAAAGTAGGAAGGCCAGTCAAGAGACTCCTGCAGGCATTGAGCCCAGATAGAGAGCCCGGAAGAAGTGAGGCAAGGCAATGAGGTTGCAGCAATGGGGAAAGGCCAGCAGGTGACAGCAGGAGTGGAAGCACCTGCTGCTGAGACAAGCAGTGACTGAAGGAGAGGAAGAGTCTGATTCCCAGGCTGTTCCGGTTCTGCACTGGTGCACTTGACAGAGTCCTATCCTTGGGTTAATACTCTGTTGTCAGTGTAGTCAGGACTGGAATACAGGGGTTCTGTTTATCACACGGTCAGTCCTGCTCCCCACTCCCTGTCTGGAGCTAAGGGCTTTATGAAAGTGCCAGCTGTCCATGGAGGAACAGGTAGAGTGATGAGTTTGGTTTTGCAACACTTTTGAGTCATTTGAGATGCGATATCCCATGAGCAGTTGGATGAGAAATCTGTTTTTGAAAGATTTTATTGTTCATTTATTTCAAAGGTAGAGTTATAGAGAGGGACAGACAGACGGATCTTCCAATCACTGGTTTACTCCCCAAATGGCTGCAATGGCTAAGGCTGGGCAAGGCTCAAGCAATTTTCTTCCAGATCATCCACATGGATGCAGAAGGGAGGGAGAAACGTTATCAAGAAAAGGTGAATGTTCACGCTCAGCAGCTGCTCCAATGAGCTTAGACTAGATCACGTGGGAAAGCCGCATGTGTTTGGCAATCCGAAGCACACTGGGCAGTTAAGAGACCAATGGTGGGATGGAGGCCCAGGTGAGGGGATCTGCAGGGAGCACAGGTGTAGCTTACCTTTGCAAGGGCCCAGGCTACCATGTTAAAGGGAGGAATGGAGTCGGGGTACCTGGATGAAGGCACAGTTCCCATTGTTTTTACTTAAACTAGCAGCAGGTTTGTATGCGTGAGAGCATTGCTCTTAAGAGATTCGAGAAGGGTGTACAGAAGACAAGGCGGGCATGGAGGCAGACACAATGATAGAGGGATTGAGGGCAAAATGAATGAATGTGCTCCCCCCCCCCGTGTGCACACACGTGCAAGATTTAAAAACCCTCTTTCTCAGTAGTGCTAAGTGAGAACCACCAGATTTGTACAAAGTGCTGTGGGGTGAACAACTCGTTTTGTGCAAGGGCAGAGACTCCACCAGCAACAAGGAGCAGAGCAGCGAGCAGGCCTGAGCTGCGGTGAGAACAGCGGCCCATGTCAGGGGACAGAAGAGAGCCCTTGGAAGATCCTAGCAATTTACACAGATGAAGACTATCATGGGAAACTCTGGCCCCTGGTGTTAAAAGTTCAATCAGCAGAAAAGAAGCTGGGCTTTTAACCATCTCCTTCGGCTGTGTTCCATTGCAGTATCAGACCTTCAGAACAGCGCTGGCTCTCTCATGGCTCTCTCATTGCGGTTGCTCCGTCAACAGAGGCTCCGGCGCACCAGGAGAGGCAAGATCTGCCCCCCTAATCCTGTCCCCCTGCAATCCAGCTTGTAGAGATTTGGTGAATAATTAATGCTTCCCCGAGACCTGAGGCCCCTGCCTCCCCCAGACTGCTGGAGGTGTATAAAGCCATAAAGCGGCCGGCTCTGTGGTCTAATGATTAAACTTCCCCAGGCTGATTTCCTTGCAGCTAAGTTATAAACTGGCTAGCCAGCGACACCCCTCCCTTCCCCCACAACCCCAAGACACTGGAAGACAAACAAAATGTGGGGACAGGACTAACAATGGTCCTTGGCCCACCGGAGGCGCCTTGGATGCGGGTGGAACTCAAGAAAGCTCACTGTTGGTGAATCGATCCTTGGTCAAGGGTGTTAGAATCGGGCTTCGTTGGCAGAAGGGGCAGCGGAATGCCTTCCCGAACCTTTCTTCTCTCTCTACCCTGCGGGAGCTACTGTTTACCCGTGTCTCCCCCGCAGGGCGCTCCCGCAGTGTTAGAGAGTGCTTTGCTGAAGACGGTGGGAAATCCAGCATGGTGGCCTTGTCGGCCCTTCCACCATGAGCCGGAAAAGGGGATAGCTGATGACGGTGCCCTTTGAGAAGTTTACCTGAGCTAAAGCTGCTATCTCTATTTAGGTAAGAAGTAGAGGTAGATTGGACACACGCACGCGCGCGCGCACACACACACACACGGATCATTTAATGCAGGGACCACCTGGGTTGCAAGAAGTCCTGGCAGAGCTGAGGCAATGCGTGCCAAGAACGCGCAGTGATTGGCAATCAGCCTCCTTCCGGCGAAGATGTTGTAGGGTTCGAGGCGCCCCAAGCCCCTTAGGCTTTCGTACTGCGATGGGCAGGTGCAGGTGGCGTCTCACTTTCTAAAGGAAAACCTGGCCAGGTTGACCCTCTGAAAGGGTTAACCCTCCTTCCTCCTACAGAGTGGAGTACGTTCCGGGGAGCTCGCAGGGTGCAAGTCTGTAGCCTTGGGCATCATCTCGTGACTCACTTTCCACCAATGTAAGCGCACGAGTCCGCGGGAGGTCCCGACCAGCCCCCTCGCCTGGGATCTGAACACCTACCTGGGAGACCAGCCCCAACGCATCCTGCCCCCACCACCGGACCGCCCAGCGGCGGACCAGTCCTCCCACACCCCTTCAGATCACGTTGCCCCAAAACAAAAGAAGCCTGCTCGAGTAGGGGGTTGGGGTGGGACCTGGTCCTCACCCCCAGCTTGCAGTGGTGGCCCCAGCCGCCCGCCCCGTCCCCTCCGCCCCCAGTGGGCGAGTGTGCGCATGAGCAGAGGCGTCTCCCTGGGTTCCTCCCAGGGCTAAACTTTCTAATTCCCTTCTTTGGGCTCGGGGGCTGCCAGGAGTAGGAGAGCGCTCGCTCGCAGCGCCGCCGGGTGAGAACAAAGTGGCTGCTGCGCGATTTTTCCCCCCTTCTCTGGTGCACCCCCTGCTTCCGTGGGAGCGGCAGGAAATAGAAGGGCCCCTCTCCTCTCCTCTCTGAACATTTGCCTTTCCCCTCCACCTTTCCAGAAAAGAAGAAAAGGCAGACGGCTCCGCGGGCGCCTCAACTCCTCCGCTGCGCTGGCCCCTGGGCTGCCGGCAACCGGCATGGGGCTGCTCCAGGTGTTGATCTGCAGTCTCTTAGGTAATTCCGGGGAGGAAGCGGGGGAAGGGTGGGTTTGGGTGGGGGGAGGGGGGTTGGCTTAGGGGAGGGGAACCCCAAGGCTGTCTGCTGCATTTTGAAGGGATCGGGAGAGAGGCTGGGTGGAAAGGCTGTCCCTAGGGCTCAACGCCCCCGCCGTGGTCTCAGTGGCGGCCGGGGACAGCGCACGCGAAGCGCCGGCGGACCGCACGCCTGGGCTCCGCGCCCAGCGCCCCGGCATCTGCGGGCTTCCCCGGCCGCGGCTAGCTGGCCCCCAGGCTTTGCGCGCCCTCGGTGGGATCCCGCCCGGTTTCCTCTGTGGAGGGCGGGCTCCCTGGGCTGACAGGGCTTACTGCCCAGGGATCCCATTACCTAGGAAATGGCCAAGCGCAGGCTTAGCCCTGGGAAGAGACCCGGGCCATGTGGCTTTCATTAACCATCTCCATTTGTCTCTGAGTGACACCAGAAACAGCTGGAGTGAGCACTTTTCCTGGAATGGCGAAGCCTTAAAGCCAAGGACCATCCGCACTCGTTCCTTGCGGGGGTGGCGGTGGGGGCAGCGATGTGCACGAACTGCTCGCGGACTCCACGTTCACGAGTTTTCGACGCGTACACTCGCGTGCTGCCGCATGCGGGCTTGTGTGCAGGCTCCCCAGGCGCCCGAAGTAACAGCGTGCACACGCACCTCTCTGGTGGTGGCCGAGCAAGTCAGGGTGGGCAACAGCGGGGGTTTCCCGGGAGTGATGCTGCAGATTGCTGGGCACACTTGATGACATTACCGGTTTTCTCTACCTGACCACCTGGCCTTCTCCTTCATCTCCGTTGCGTGTTTGCGTTCTGCTTTTCTTCTGAAGCGACTCCATCCCCTTGTTCTACTTTCTTGGGCGCAAGCCATCGTCCCCACCCACGCCCCTGCATCCTGCTCCTCTTGCAGCCCTGTGCCGAATCCAAGTGGACGCTCAGGAACCCGAGTTCAGCTATGGCTGTGCGGAAGGCAGCTGCTACCCCGCCACGGGTGACCTCCTCATTGGACGCTCACAAAAACTATCCGTGACCTCTACCTGCGGGCTGCACAAGCCGGAGCCCTACTGTATCGTCAGCCACTTGCAGGTGAGGGCTGACAGAGTCGGAGCTCCTCCTCCCCCGCCTCCCTTCCCCTTCCTCCTCCCACACAGATCCAAGGGGCAGGCCCAGGGGACTCTGCATCCTGACCGCCATCCAGATAGGAAGCGCAGCCGGCCGGGGAGTCCCTGCATTAGGCTGGTATTTCACTCACTCACCCCACCTCAGTTTGCACAGTTGCATCCGCAGAACATTTCCTGCCGCGACTGCAGGCTGGGCTGGTAGGGAAAAGGCAGGGGCATGACTCTATGACTCGGATCCCTGCCCTCTGCCATCCCTGACTGCGGCGGATCCAGACGTCTGGTTTTTTGTTTGCTTTTTGTCCCTTAATTCTGGAAGTGTACCTGAAAGGTGGTACATTCCCCTTATTTCTTAAGCGATGATTTTGAGTTTTCCCAGACTCATCTCTCTATTCCCTTGGCCTCCCATTGGGTAGCATGGTCAGATCCCTCCCTGGTCTAAATACCTGGGTTGCCATAGTGCCCTGCGAGCAGAAAACTTGTTCCTGAAAGTGGATCTGGATCTGAGATTTCTGAGATCTTATTCAGACAGCCACATGTCATCTTCAAAAAAGACAGAGTACCAATGATGCCAAATCAGATTCTTTTTCCATGTGTTTTGTTTGTTTCTGTTGTTTATTTATTTTTTGGAGGGAATCTGTTCCCTCTAGCTTTTGATGAAATCAGGAGGAGTTCATCTCACTGTAGGGTGTGTTTCAAGCCAGTTGCTCCAAACCTGGTCACTCTGCCCACCTGTGTAACTGTCCTGCAGGTGCAGGGCACAGTGCCCTGTGGCTGGCACAGTAGATGCGTTAAAATGCGGTCAATTTTACCATGAGATAAGTCATCTTTATAAATTACACCAACGGAGTGTGGTACAGGGAGCGTCACTCATTTGTTTCTAGCTTTGGATGGGGGTGTCTAGACCGTTTCCTCATGAACAGAGGGGAGACTACACTGAAGCTTACCTCCCCCAACATTTTTTTTTGAGTTCTTGTAATTGTTCTTTAGTACTAGTTTCCTTGATGACAACTTAATGAAGCCAGTTCATGTTGCCTTTTCTAATATTAGGATTTGAATGTGATCTAAAATACCAGGCCAGCACTGACTTCAGAGGCCAGGACATCCTGTGCGTGAATCACCACATACTGAAATCAGCTTCCAGCAGAATGAGGATTAGGTCCCTTGCTTTGCAAGCAAGCAGAGCTAGAATCCTCCGTTTATAGGACTAGTCATGGAATAGTGAGGAACCTCACAGATCTGAGACCCTGCACACACACACACACACACACACACACACACACACACACACGGTGGGGGAGTTACGAGAGAGAGAGAGAGAGAGAGAGAGAATACACTTTTCTCATTTAGTGGTTTTAAACATTGAGGCAGGAAGCTCATTTTGTCCAGGGTTCTCATGTACACAGACTTCTGGTCTGTTCTCTTTAGTTAGTACTTCTTGCCAGTTTCAGAATTCTTTGGGAAGTAGGTAATGACTAACCACATGCAAATGTGAACATATAGGCAGCTGCTTTTTGGCTAAGATGCTCACTCCTGCTGTTGATGAGATACATGTGACTTTGTATATCGGTCTTTGTGTCTCTTTCAGACTTAGGACGAATCTGTATTTCAGGAAATGCAGGTTCCAGGAGAAGTTCCCTGTGGGGAAAGGGACCACTAAATGGTGCTGATGACTTACTGTGATGGAGCATAAAGGTTACACAGGCTTTCCAACATCTGGACAGCTGTGGCTCTCATTTTAGGGAGCAAGAGGAAGAGAGACATTGAAGGTGTTCTAAGACCTAAAGGCTTTCTTTATTCTGCTACCTGTCCGGTAATTGGTCCCAGTTTGTAGTGGTTCCAGTATGGCAGGGTAGCCTGGTCCCTCCTTCCCCATTTAGTCTATGCAGCCCCCAGGCTAGGCACTGCTGATTGTTAGCCATAACAGGGAGGAAATTATGAAATCCTATTGTGTGGCTCCCACAGCTCCTCTAAGTACTTCTGCCTTATGCTTGGTTTTTGCCTTATTTAGATTTTAGAAAATCAGGCCTGCATGAATTGTTCTGTTTTTTTTTTCTTTCATATTGTTCACTTTATGTCAGCAAAAATTCCCTAATACCTCTCCGTGCATTTTAGTTTAGAATAAGCTTCTTGAGCTATTTATTGAGATTAAAGTTTAAGCCTAGAAATTTGGTTTTGATTAAAATAGTAGTTTGTGGAAACAATGCCCTCTTTTTACTTGTAACCTTGGAAGTGCAAGGAAGTATTTTTCAGGAGGATTTTTAGCCCGGTAGATTAAAAGTGACAGGTATGATAAAAATTGAGTAATGCTCATATTTCTGTCTTATTTGAAGCTAGGTTTTTTTTCCCCCCTTGGTAGGCTTGATGGAGGTTTATCTATGTTTGTATTTGTGTAAGAAAGCGAGAGGGAGAGAGAGATGGCTTTACTAGACTCAGGAGACCATCTTTGTTTGCAGGAGGACAAGAAGTGCTTCATATGCGATTCGCAAGACCCTTATCACGAGACCCTCAACCCTGACAGCCATCTCATTGAGAACGTGGTCACAACCTTCGCTCCAAACCGCCTTAAGATCTGGTGGCAATCTGAAAACGGTAGGTGGCTGTTGTGGGGACAAGCTCCATGGAGTGTGATTATAAGCTACATGGGGTTTCTGGTTGTTTGGGATTCTGATGGGCTTATGTGACCCATGGTTATTACAACCTGACATTTTATTGCCCTGAAGCCCCAACTTTGCTTGGTAAAATAGGATCCTTCCTCCTGAAGCACACGCTTTCTAGAAAAAAGCAGTCTTTCATGCAAGACCAAAGGATGATTCTGTAGCCCTCACTCCTGGGGATTATGGGGGGGGGGCAGTCTGGCGGAAGGCGTGGGAAGTCTACCGCCTCCGAGGCCTTGAGTCATCCACAGAACCCAGCACCTTTCCGTTGTGATTGAGTTAAAAGAAAAAGACAGAATCCACAGACCCACCATCAACACCACCTTTCATTCATCTACAGAACAATATCATGGATGGAAATAGCAGTGCTGTGAATCACTGCCATGTTGTAAGTTTTCAGTCTGTTGCTGCAAATACGGCCTCAAGTTAGATAATTGTCCTAGTACTCGTGTCAATCCAAACCCTTTCCCTTTGCCATTTGGTTTTAGTCTAATGCATTCCTTTGCTATGATACTATAGTTGCTAAGAAGAATTTCACACATGTTCAAATCTTGAATGCTGAAACTGATGGAGTACAGTAGCAGCTGTGTGCTGGTTAACTGTGTACCATCAGCTGGTTGATAGGCCTGTCTGTAAGCAGGGAAATTGGGCTCCTGAAATGAAATAAGGTTGGGGAAGGGTCCTAGCTCCTGTGTTAAGTCTGCAGGCAGGGACAGTTCTGAGGGAAGGTTGTTCATTCATTTCCACAGAGTTGGATGTGTAGGATGAGAGAGTCGGAATGCCAGAAAGAAGGATTTTCAGAAGGTCTGGAGTTCTGTCACTGTGTCACAGGAGATTAAGTGAGATGAGACTGATGGAAATTGGTCTCTTTAGAAAATCAGACAGATTGTTGCTCTGCCCTGTCTCTCTTGTCTGTTGGTTCACAGCTGAAGACTTTCCGTATGAATGATTGGGGTACAGACAGTGCTTGCCCATGATGGTGTTAAATGAACAAATTAGCAGTCCTCTGGCACAACTACTTTTTTTTTTTTTAAAGCTTTGACCTTTATTTTTCTTTTTTCAGAGGGGGTGTTTTTTGTTTGCTGTTTGTTTTTGTTTTTTTGAGTCAGGGAGGCAGAGAGAGAGAAAGTTCCCATCTCCTTGCTTAGCCCCCAAATACCTTTGGCAGCCAAGACTAATGCAAGTGGAAAAGCAAACTCCGCTCCAGGGCTGCGTGGTGGGCGAGGCTGGGACCCTAGGGACCCTTGCTCCATCACTGTAGCCTCCCCGCGGCTGCTTCATCAGGAAGCTGGAGTCAAGAGTCAGAGTCAGGACTCGAACCCAGGCTCACAGGGTATAGGATACGGTCACCTTAACCCTTATGGACAATTATTTTGAACTTAACCTTTAAGAGGATCATTCCTAGGTCTGATAGAAACGAAGTGCACCCCAGAAAATTGGTCTTGTGTCTCTTCTGCATAGGTTTTTCTCTTCCCATATAAAATAAAATATATTTTAAAAATGTATAAAATGATTTGTATACCTAAAATTAATTTTATAAAATTATAAAACAAACAAAGAACTGAAAGCCATGGTGCTTTTTCAGGTTAGCGCTCAGAGTGGAGTGCACTTCTGCTGCACACATTGCATTGTATGTGCTTAGGTTACGGCCGTCGTGTTGGTCTAGCCTTGAGCCGTCCATGGTTTCATCATCTCTTCTTTTGAACAAATACCATAACATTTTTAAAAGTCTACAAGAGCACAGACCTGTCGTTGCTTCTCTGGGGGAGTTCTGTGAAACCATTTTTTTTTTTTTTAATAAATTGGATGCGATTCATCAGTGTGGTTATCGTGTTTTCTTTTACTGTCCCTGCTCACATCCGTTCCAGTAACCACGATTTTTCCTCCCCAATTGACTTGGCTGTTTTCCAGCAGGAGAGTTGAATGTAAAAGGTCCTACTGATTTCCTGAAAATTACACCGGCCAGGAACATATGAATCGTTCTGATGCAATCCTATCTAACTTCATGGAGGACCCCTTTGGCTCTCAACCACGGGCCCCAGTAGTTGTTGTCGGACACCCAAGAAAACTAGAAAAGTCACCTTTCCCCAAGCAGCAGGCATGGAGGCCCCGTGGGCTGGACTGGGGGAGGAGCTGCTTCCCTGCCTGGAATTCCGGTGGCCTCTTGAGCTTGTTAAAGTGGGCCGGTTGACCCCCGGGGCACAGTGCAAAGGCGCCTTTGTTTGTTCAGGCTTTCCCTGAAAGGGAAGATGTTAGTATTTGTTCTGGGCCAGTTTGTTTATCTGACTGATTCTTTGTCTCTTTGGCAGGGTTGGTTTTTAATGGTGGAAATGCATCCAAAGGTCTCCCCATCCGGGATAGCTTGTTCTCCATTGGAGTCTAACTAACAAATTGAGAGTGGTGGTGGAGACGGTGGGAGACCCTGGTTTATTTTTCTTTGCTGGTGCATGGACAAAGAGGCCTGTGTGTGTTTGGACTGGAAGAAGATCTGGTCTCTGTGCCACGCACCCTTGGCAAGCTGACCCCCTACCGTGCACAGGAAGTCTCTCCCCTTGGAGAGTCCTTTGGCTTAGAAGAGGGGGAAGGTGTTTCCCTTTTCCCTAGTCCTTCAAGAGCAGGAGATGTCTGTTGACAGCCACTGGGGGCATGGTGCCAAGCTTCCCGCTCCAGGGAACCATGCAGAATGATTTTGTGGCAAGCGGCAGAATTAACTATGACTTGGGTTTTCCCACCTAAATAAACACGAAGGATGCTCGCTGGTACCCCCAACTTCACCTGGACTGGGAGAAGGCGTCCTCTGAAGACTGTGACGGTCATCTAAGAGCAGATTCCACTGTCTGCGCATGTTCTTGCCAATCTCACTCTTTGCCCCCCCCTTTTTTTAAACACTCCTGTAGGTGTGGAAAATGTCACTATCCAACTGGATCTGGAAGCAGAATTCCATTTTACGCATCTCATAATGACATTCAAGGTAAGAGTTTTGTCCTCTCCCCTCCCAAAACGGATGTCTCCTTGGAGCTGGCCGAAATGAGAACGTGTGTGTATTAAGGTTGGCATACACTGGGAGAGGGGAGCGCTTATTTAAAGGTAGGCCAGATAACTACATTTAACAAACACTCCGTTTTCGCAGCAGGGACCAGAGAGCATCTCTGTTCTAAGGCAATTCAACTACAAAATTTGGATTTGATGTCTTTATTTCCCCTTAGATGGAGAGAGGCAGGGCTGTTTCTCCCAGGTCACAGCAGAACAGCTGGAGACAGGATCCCCCGGTCCTTATGTTTTAATGCTGAGTTCAGGAAGGATCCCCCGGTCCTTATGTTTTAATGCTGAGTTCAGGAAGTACATTGTCTTCAGTTTTGCAGGCTTTGCACAATTTGTGGGATTGCTTTTGCAGTTTCTTAGGAACTCTAAATGCCTTCTCCAACATGGGCTTTTCTCTTCATTTTTCTTTGGGAGATGCAAAATGAATCCAAGGCGAGGGAATGTCTCTGTACAAAGTCCCTTTGTTTCTTCTCTAACAGCTGCCTGGAAATGACAGGCTGCACATGTTTTAAAGTATGTGTTGGTGCGCAGAAAACCCGTAATTTACTCATTGCTTCTCAGACTGACTTAGCTCTCAAATGCTTTTCGGTTAGAGTTAGCGGCCTTGTTGACTTCCTTTCAGGTTAGAGAACATGTGGTGGGGAAGATTTCCAGGTGGCCACATTGGCTGTGAGAGTCTCATTTCTGTCTGCGACCCTAGGGAGCTTGGGAGCTGGGGAGCAAGGGCGGGTGTGGGAGGCAGAATCTCACCAGCAGAGGCATGGGGCCAGGCAATTCCCAGGCCTGAGCTCTCCGCTTGCTCAGCCCCCTGCAACCTACTGCAACTGCCGAGGCTGGACGATGGACACTGGGATGCCTTGCGTTGAGTGGTAGGGAGGGCATCACTAAAGAAGTCGTCACTTTTTGTCACCAACTCATTTTCCCTTCGTTGACCACACTCTGCCTGGAGATGAACTTGAGGTTCAGCCAGGCATGAATGTGTTGCCTTCACCTCATAGAACACCAAAAAAGTTTCCAGTCCTATTCGTTACTTAATGTTCTGTCTTTCACCTTGGAGAGGGTATCTGTTTGTACACATGGGCAATTCCGAGTTCATCTACATCCAGAAGTCCTCTGGGCACACGATCCACAATTGACTACTCATTCAGCTGAATACAATGGGCCAAAGATGACATTCTGCACTTGAGGGCAGAGGGTCAAACAGAGCAGGCAGTAATTGAGACAAGGAGAATGAGTACAAGGGGATAGAAAACTGAGGGATCCTAGCTCCAGGGAGAACAGCTATGTCTATGGGGTTGGGTGCCTTGCGGGTGTGGACAGCCAGGGTTTAGTCATTGTTCTACAGATATTTACTGAATAAGAAAGTGTACACATGAATTCAATTATCTTCGCCTTGGAAGAAGCAGACATAGGTTCTATGGAAGCTTCTAGTAATAAAGAAGAGGAAGGAGATAGATGTAAATAACTTCCAAAACATAGCAGAGAGTGCTAAGTGCTATAGATAGCAGAGAGTGCCAAGCGCTGTAGCAGCATTCCAGACAGTACACGTCAGCACAGAGGAGGGGGAGATTCATTGTCACTCGGGATAAAGGAGAATGCTTTGCAAGGAGAGGAATGGGGATGCACTTGACCCAGGCTAGCAAGAGCGATCAGGTCTCAGTGTAGGGGAGGTGGAAGGCAAAATGTTCTTGGTGAAGCAAACAGTCTGAGAGCCAGTTGACAGTACAGGGCCGGTGGACAATAAGAGCCCAGCATGCATTGTGCGGGATTTGCAAGGGCGGGGAGGGAAGGGAAGTGGAAAAGTAGATTAGAGTCAGCATCTTGACTCCTTGCTGAAGAGGGTGAGCCTTATAAGAAACAAGAAACCATTGACAATGAAGTGTTTCAAGAAGAGAGCCCAAGAGGAAATGCATCCGAGGCATGCTGGGAGGCGCTTCCTGGGTGGCCATTGAGGATGGCCGACCTGGGATCCACGCAAAGGCTTAGATGCAAAGGCACTTCAGGTCACTGTCTGGAGCCCAGGGGTCATGTCAGTTGGGATTCCCACATCCGGGTACCTGAATGTGATGCTCTCCTGCAGCTTTGGATCATTACTTTCTGCTCATGCCATCCCTGGGAGGCAGCTGTGATGGCTCCAGTTCTTGCCACCCACATGGGAAACCCAGGTAGAGTTCTTGGTTTCTAGCTCCCAGCCGGCCCAGCCTCAGCCAATTCTGATTGAACAATGGATAGGAAATTTCAATATGCTTCTCTTTATTTCTATCCATACCTCTTAAATCAATATATTTTAAAAATGACAAAGTATACAGTTAACTACTTCTTATCCAAAATGCTTGGAACCCGAACAGATATTTTCATTGACGTTACCAAATTCCGCATGTCTAATCAGGACATCAGAGATACTCTGCAGTGTGAAACTTGGGGAGCACTGACATGACACTCGGAAAGTTTCCATTTTAGACTTTTAGGATGAGGGATGCTCAGCTTGTCCTTGACAGACATTTTCAAACTGTATCCTGAGGCAGCCGTGCTGTGAGGAACGTCAGGGAGCACAGTCCCAGTGACTGAGGCAGTCCTGCGGGACCTAGAGCAGGAAAGCCTGAACCGTGAAATGAAGTGTGATTAGAAGCAGAATGGTGGAGGAGAGAGATGAGTCAAAAATGGCCGCATAGGCGTGGCTTCTGGCCTGGCAGTTAAGATGTCATTGAGGGCACCTGCATCCTTTGTCAGAGCACCAGAGCTCAAGCTCTGTGTTCTTGGTCACAGTTACCTGCTTCATCTCACCCAGGGCCGTAGCTGATGATGGCTCGAGTAGTTGGGTCCCTGAATTTTGCCTGGCCCAGCCCTGGCTGTTCTGTGAGCACCGGGGGAGGAAACCAGTGAATAGCTCTGTTTATTAGGACTCTGCATGGCAAATGAGTGAAAATAAGCAACAAAAAAAATTGGTTTTAATGTCTTATATGAGAAGATGATTGATCTCATTACTGGGAGTGAAGAAAAGAAACGAATTGAAGTTAGGCACCGTGAAGTCAGCATCTCTTTTGTTACCAGGCTTTGCTGGGGGGATGGCTGATTGTCCAGCAGGTAGTTTCCTCAGGCTAGCAAAAGTCATTTTGTCTCTATAGATGGTATGTTTTTGTAAATGGCCAGATGTTCCAAATGCATTGCTCTTTTGTTTGTTGTAAGTTCCAAGGCAACGGTTCAGGGACATGAGGCCTAAGGAGACTGATGACTAAGCAAAGAGCTGTGCAAAGGCTTCTATTCTTGAGGCACAATGTGCTATTCCGGTTTCCAGCAGCTTCGTAACTCCAGAGGAAATTGGATGACTTGTCAATGGCCGTTTAAAACTTATAGGGAGAAGGCAGCACAGCTCAGCCTGACTTCACGGCTTCTCCTCTCTGCTGCCTTTTGACCTAGAGACATCAGACCAGGGCGGTTTGTCCCTTGCAGAACCTCCCCACGTCTTGCCAGCCAGGAGCCTGCATCCATGGGGAACTGGCCAGACCTACTTGGCACACTTGGTTCAGTTAGTCACTGGGATTCCCTGTCTCCTATATTTTAAAATTCTTAGTCTGATACTCTCTCAAGTTGAATGAAGTATCATTTTATTCTGTTCTGGGAATGAAAAATAAGAACCAAAGCAACCAGTGAATAAGACAAAGGACCTGTCAGAAGGTAATTCCCCTTCTGCCTGCTCGAGGATTAAGCCACCGCTCAGGGTTATTAAGGACAGCAAAGGTGGTCTGAGCAGGCGCTGTCTTTCCCCTTTGCTTCTCAGTCGCATTTCTGCCAAGCTAAGTCAGCAGTGAGAGTCTTTATTCAGGTTCTGTTTGCTAGGTCACCTCGGTTTTCCTTTGCTCTCCTTCCACAGTGCTTCAACTCCTTTTCTGCACACGCAGTCACTGTGTTGTCAGAGCTGGGGTGTCGCCCACTAGTCTATTGTGCTGGGCCCATTGGTGAGTCTTTTTTTTTTTTCCCTCTCTCATGTGCTCGTTTCTCAGACCTCTAAAGCAAGTGAGGGAAGAAGACAGGTTTGATCTGTCCTAGCTTGGTTGGAATTTAAGCTCTGTAACTAGGCAGTGTCTCAGCTTCAGTTTCCTTGTCTGCGAGCAGCTGTGTTGAGATGAAGTTTCCTCCAGCTGTGGGGAGAAGGTGCTGCAGCCCGGGTCGCTTAAACAGGACACTTACTTTCTCACAGTGCTGGAGATGGGAAACCCGAGGCCAAGGTGCTCACCGGATTGGTTTCCTCTGGCGGCTGCCTCTTCTCCCTGTTCCTCTCAGGGTCTTTGTTGTGCATGTCTATTTCCTGACATCCTCTTCTTATGGGACATCAGTCGCATCGGATTAGAGCCCGCCCCAGTGGCCTCCTTACCGTCTTCACAAGCTGTGTTTCTGCAGGTGCTGGCATTAGATCTTCAGTGTAGGACTTTGGGGTGGGCATGAATCAGCCCATCACAGCCGTAACTTCCATCCATTGGCACACAAGGCTCCATTTGACTTCCTGTTTTCTATTCTTTTGGGTATATATCTAGCCATGGAATTATAATTTCCCAGTTTCCTGAGTGAGTTCTTTGATATTGTTTTTCCCAAGCACACTGCATATGGCTCTATTACAGTGTTGGATGTTTTACTGTAAACTATCATCCATAGACATACTTCAGAATATGTCTAGATATAGGCAGCATATAGAACACTGGTGCTTGATAGGGGGTGATTATTGAATAGTCAAATGAACAAATGTATGAATGAGTGAGGAGTGTTCCAACCACTCATGTTAAAGGTAGGGCGAATTAACAGATTGCAATTTGTTTGCTACGAAGGCCTGTTTATAATCAACTTCTAAAAAGAAACTGCTTACTAATCTAATAGGGTGGAGGGAAGTGCAAAAATTTAGAGACCAGACATTCTTCTTGCAAAGGAAAGTCTCTGGAACAGCTTGAAGTTTTTGGAATTCAGAGCCAGCCGAAAATATTAACCACATGCAGTCAAAGGCTGTGGCCCAGAGCTGAATGACACTTTTATTGGAGATTTTTAAAAAATACACTTAACGGTTTAAAAAAAAAAGAAGCATCAAATGAGACTTTTGTTTCCCGCCTTCAGACATTCCGTCCGGCTGCTATGCTGATAGAGCGATCGTCTGATTTTGGGCAGACCTGGGGCGTGTACAGGTACTTTGCCTATGACTGTGAGAGCTCGTTTCCAGGCGTTTCGACGGGCCCTATGAAGAAAGTTGACGATATCATCTGTGATTCCCGATATTCCGACATCGAGCCCTCGACGGAAGGAGAGGTTGGCTTGTGTCTTTGTTGTGACTACTCCTTCTCGCTCTGCTTTCTGATCATCATAAACATCCAAGAACTTGTCTTTCTATTTGTAGGTGATATTTCGTGCTTTAGATCCTGCTTTCAAAATAGAAGACCCGTACAGCCCAAGGATACAGAGTAAGCTGGCTTTTAAATGACAGTTCTGATGGGAGGTGGGATGAGTCTTACCTATTATTCAGGCATTACTGAGTCTGCCTTGGCTTTGCAACACCCCACCAGTAGTTGTGAAAAACGGGGTCCGTCAGACTTTGACTGCTGGGAAACACATTCTGAAGAAGAGATTTCTAAACACTCCGACCTGAAATACCTTGATCATATTATCTTATTTTCTGTTCAGCATGTTAATTAGGGTAGGGTTTAACCTGGTAACCAAATGTTCCCCCCAAAATTCAGCTGCTTAGATAGAATGAGAATTCTTTCATGGAATCCAAAAGGATTGTCAGAAAAGAAATAATTAGGTTTATCAGGTAAAATATGGGCTGAGGAGCCTGTTAAATCTGAATTGTTGACAAATTTTTGGGTATAAATATATTCTGCATAATTTTTATGATGAGTACAAATATGTCCCATGTAATATTTATGCTTAATGTCACTACGTTCCAGGTGTTTTGGGGATGTATATTAAAACAATTCATTATTTATCTACACTCTGAGTATCCTTTACTTTTATTGCCCAAACTCCAAATTTGGGAACTCCTAGGATCCCAGCTTCATTCCATCTGTAGCCTTTACCCCTGCCCTTAGTTCGGTCCTCACTAGACGGTTGTTGTCTCATGCTGTGGAGGGCAAGCAAACTGCACTTAAAGATGAGACATGCGTCCTCATCACATCTCATTATCCAAAATCAGTCACATGGTATCCCTGCAGGAGACCCTGGGAAGCATCGCTAGCTAGCTAGGTGCTTTGCTAAAGCTACGGCAAGAGCGCCTTCTGTCAAAGGAATAAGGGAAGAAGACATACCAAAAGGAATGCAGAACTCACAGCCGCGAGTAGCTCGGTGAGATGACTGTTGGATTGCTGCTTAATGCAGGAGTCAGTTCGGGTTCACAGAGTTGGGATGCTGTGGTGGTGATGTAATGAGTAAATGGCAGGCAGATCTTGAGCACATGTTTTGTTTTTTTTTAAGATTTTTACTTTATTTTTATTGGAAAGTCAGATATACAGAGAGGAGGAGAGACAGCGAGAAAGATCTTCCATCTGATGATTCACTCCCCAAGTGAGCGCAACGGCCGATGCTATGCCAATCCAAAGCCAGGAGCCAGGAATTTCTTCCAGGTCTCCCACATGGGTGCAGAGTCCCAAGGCTTTGGGCCATTCTCGACTGCTTTTCCAGGCCACAAGCAGGGAGCTGGATGGGAAGTGGAGCTGCTGGGATTAGAACCGGAGCCCATATGGGATCCCAATGCATTCAAGGTGAGGACTTTAGCTGCTAGGCCATGCCGCCGGGTCCTTGAGCCCATGTTTTACACTGAGCTCTTCACAGCTTTTTCTAGCATCCACAACTACACTTAAGTTGATCCAGAACGACATTTTGATCTTGGGAGGCATAAGGTGCAGTCGTCAAAGGAAGCGGCTGAGGTGTCATTCAGACCCGGGCTATTTTCTTTAAGATTTACTTAAGCTTGAAAGTCAGAGAGATGGAGAGAGTTTAAGAGAGCCTTCATCCACTGGTTCACTCCCCTAAATGGCTACAGTGGCTGGAACTGAGCCCATTCAAAGCCTGGAGCCAGAAACTTCCTCCCCGCCTCCTACATGGATGCAGGGGCCCAAGGACTTGAACCATCCTGTGCTGTCCTCCTAAGCTGTAAGCAGTTAGCTAGATCAGAAGTGGATGCAAGCATCACAGGGCAGAGGGTTCGCTGTCTGTGCCACTGCCCTGGTCCCCAGATCTGGATTTAAAGGGCATTTCCATCTTCATGTTGGCTATAGGACTGGGGCTAAGAAATTGAAAACTTCCTGTTTTTCCTTTTTGTTTTGTAATTTCATTGTGTAACACTGACCTTGGAGCTATTAGAGAAGGAGAGTGAGTGGATGTTTGTAAGATCCATCCGAAGGCCAGGCCGTTGAGTAACTTGACACTGCTGCTGTGGTGGGAGCGGGGCCTGTCAACCGGAGCCACACGGCTGAGCTCCTCACTGCTCCATCTTTCCCAGCTGTACTCGGCCCGCCCCCGCCCTGGAGCGTCCCAGCTTATAGCGTGGAGGAGCAAAGGGGAAGCAGCCCATGGGATGGTGCCAGAAAAGTGCTGCCTCGCTGTTAAATTAGTTTTACATGTGGCCCAGACTCGCTCTGGCCTGTAATTTACTCATCTATTCTCCTGTGTACTAATTACTGAATGGCATGTTGAACCCAGGGCTCATTTGTAAGAGAGCTGTGAGGCCTTAGAATCCAAAATCCAGCAGAGAAAAATGCCCACCTAGGCTTCCAAGCCAGCACCTCCCAAGTCCCTAAAAGACTTTGTCATCTGCCCCTTTCTGGAGGACATCGGGGACTAGGGGATGTGTGGCCCGTCCAATCATAAAGCCCTCGCCTTCTGTCAAATAGCATCCGATCTGCTGCTGTGCTATGGAAGCACCCGGGGTAGCTTTGCAGTCCCTTGCTATTCAAGGGAACATTGTGTCTTTGGTTGTTGCTATGCTCGAGACCTCGGGGACTCACTTCAGAAGCGGTCTGCCTCTTGAAGCAGCTGTTGGTGCAAGGCCTTGTTACTGTTAAAAAAAAAATATGGCAGGAGTTTGGGTGAGGGGTGGGGGAAGGCGGAGCATATTTGCTCTTCTGAGATTTCCACAAAGATCAGTTCAAGGGCGGCTAAATCCTCCAGCTGCTCTTGGTGCCTGGTGTTTGGCCTCTTGTCAATAGACGCTTGTGCTCCTTCGGGGGCAGGAGGCTTTGTGCTGGACGAAGTGTTGGCATTCACGATGCCTTTGAGCTAAGCAGGACCACGGGGTCTGTGTTGAGTTTAGCCCATGCATTTCCCCTTACATCCACAGCTATTTCTGTAGTGTGGATTGTGGTCTGTATACTCTATTAGCTATTCAGAATCGCACTGGGCTTTGAAAGTATTTGCGGCTGCTAGCGTTTGGTCTGGGGTGACACGGTCGTAAGAGTGCTTCAGCATAAATCAAAGTGGTGCTGAGGAGGCTAAGCCTAAAGGGCTGCAGCACTCACCTTAGTCCAAGTGTGTGGGCTCAGCAGCCTCCTGGGATGCCCGTGAGCGGGAACAGCATGGCAATGAATGTGAACGCCGGTGGAGAAGGTTGAAGGGCCCTCAGTTTATCCAGTTGCAATACGTTGCCATTAATAGCCTGTTCCGTAATACGCTTAGGTCTACAGATTTAGGAAGGGGTAGGAAAAAGTTTTTAAAAAATTGACTTAGAAGTAAATCGCAATTAAAAAAAATTTGCCCCCATCTCTCAATATTAACCTTCTTTATTCTGATGTCACTATATTATATGGATAATATATGTTATACTGATTATATTGTCACTATATTATGTTGTCACTGTGTGCCACTGATTATGTTGATCTGTGGAAGAGTTTTGTACAGCAAAAACCAGAACAGTATAAACCAACATGTCATTTAAAAAGTTGTGCAGGTGATGCTCCACTGACTAATCCTCTACCTGGAAGTGCCAGCATCCCATAGAGGCACCAGTTCATGTCCTAGCTGCTCTACTTTCATCCAGTTTCCTGCTTATGGCCTGGAAAAGCAGCAGAGGACAGCCCAAAGTCTTGGGACCCTGCATCCGTGTGGGAGACCTGGAAGAAGTTTCTGGATCCTGGCTTTGGATCAGCTCAGCTCTGGCCATTGAGGCTATTTGGGGAGTGAAGTGGCAGATGAAGAAGTCTCTATCTCTCCTTCTCTCTGTAAATCTGCCTTCTTTTCCAGTAAAAATAAATCAGTCTTTTCAAAACAACAACAACAAAAACCCCAAACTTGAGATACTCTGTCTGGATTGCAGTTTGTGCTGCTAAATCCATTTTCATAACTTGGACTTAAATGGAATGGTGAGAAACTTCACGTAGTATTTTCCCTCCGTAAACTAAACCTATATATATATATACACACACCCCTATCTACCCTCTCATGATGCAAATTGGAAGGCTTGGGTGAACCTTTACTGCTTGAATGGGAGTTTCTGATTTGGGGACTGATGCTAATTGTGGGAACCAGATGTGATTGCAAAACTTGAGATCGCCATGTGCTAAGAATTGTTTGTGTCTTTTAAGGTTTATTAATCTGCAGATCACTGGGTTCTGGCAATTGTAGTTTACTTCTCCACTTTCACACTTCCTGACATGTTGGCCTGTAGACAAAGCCATCACAGAGCAGTGATTTCTGTTCAGCTGGTAAAAAGGCAGGGACTTCCTGCTTCTGACAGCTGCCCCATTCCGCTAAGCTTCATTCCAGGGTTCCTCTCGGTGGTGGGAGTGGGAGGTATGATACTGTGTCCTCATGAAGCAATTCTGATGTGATCCAACTTTTGCTCTTCTCGGCGACCTTCACAGATCTGTTGAAAATCACCAACTTGAGAATCAAGTTTGTGAAACTGCATACTTTGGGAGATAACCTTCTGGATTCCAGAATGGAGATCAGAGAGAAGTACTACTACGCTGTCTATGACATGGTAGTTCGAGGAAACTGCTTCTGCTACGGCCATGCCAGTGAGTGTGCCCCTGTGGATGGATTCAACGAGGAAGTGGAAGGAATGGTAAGGGAGCACGTGCACTTCTTCCTGCTCGGTGGGGTGGGAGGGGAGCGGGACTCTGACGTGCAAACTGCCGCCAGGCTCGACTCAAACCTTTTCCATTCGTTTGCCAAGACTTTTGAGTTTTCTAGATTCACATTTGGCCCATTGTACCATATAGCTGGTTCAATGCTGGTTTTGTCTTTAGAGAGTTTCTGGGACTGTGAGAAGATATGGGTTGCTCATTTTAAGGCCACTGAATGAGTTTTTTGGAACTTGTTACTGCAGGTTGTTGCTAAAGTTAATAGTTTAGTCAACAAAGAGGAACAGGTTGTCTAAATAACAGTTGGATCTGCCTTTGTATTAGGGAAGATTAAAAACCACAAGCATTCAGTCTTTAGGCTAGGAGGCATAAATTGATCCCAGTCCAAAGAAGGCAGAACTTGTAAGCCCCAGCCTGTGTAAGAAGTTGGGGTCAAATAGAGTTTGCTTCCTTTTCCACGTTCAGCTTGTATTTGCAAACTTGGATCCAAAAATAGGTTGATTCAGTCAAAAAACTTGGTTGATTTGCCAAATGGATAGAGAAAATTAGGATAGTCTATTCTAATCTGGTAGAGAAGTCAGATATACAGAGAGGAAAATCTTCTGTCTGCTGATTCACCTCAATTGACCGCAATGGCCAGAACGGAGCCAATTTGAAGTCAGGAGCCAGAAGCTTCCTCTGGGTCTCCCCATGCAGGTGCAGGGTCCCAAGGCTTTGGGCCGTGCTTGACTGTTTTCCCAGGCCACAAAGCAGGAAGCTAGATGGGAAGCAGGGCCATTGGGATTAGAACCAGCGCCCATATGGGATCCCCGCATGTGCAAGTTGAGAACTTTAACTGTTAGGCTACTGCACTGAGTCCTTTAGGAGACTTCTTAGAGAGCTTGAGGATTTTACAGCTAGGCGCGGCTGTTAGTCACCCAAATGCTTTCACCATGAGAAAAGAGGCCAGGGACCCTGAGCCGTTTGCCAGAGAACCCCAAACCAATGAGTAGCAGGTGGAGGGGACTCCATCTTACCCTCCTGCCACTGCCCCGGGGTCTCTGTGGACCTTCACGGTTGGTGAATGGTGTGCTTGGCCTTTCTGCTGTTTGCCATCTCAAACAGTCACAGTCCTTATCACAGAAGATGTAGCTGGGACTGTTTTTAGCTCTTTTAAAACCACTGCCTTCTCTACGCTTTCATGAAAAGTCACAGTGCATGAGAAAGCTGGGTTTTCCACGGAGCCTCAACGGTAGGAAGCAGTCCTCCAATGTGATTGCTACTGGTCTCAGAGGATGCCAGGAAGATGATGTGTCATCTGCAATGGAACTAAGCTGAGGTGCAGTGTGGGTCACGTAGTGCATGGCGCTGTGGCTTCTGCCCCGCATGCTCCTGCCCTGTGTGCTTTAGAGCTGTGCTTTGGGTTGTGTAACATCAGCCTTGGGTCTTCTGGGAGCTGCACTGCTGGCACAGGGGTGAGGCTGGACCTGTTGGTCCTGTTCTTGAATTCAGAGCTATTACGAACTCCCAGTGAAGTACCCGAGGACATTCACCTGCTGTGGGCTGAATTTATAGCTTCAGGGTCTTCAGCAGGACCCAGGGTGGCATAATGCACAAGATGGCGTGTCGTGGGCCTTTCATTGAGTGAATGTAAGAGTTTATAATTTCTTGGAGGAAAAAAATGGTTACTTTTTACTGAAACAAAATGAGATTTCAAAATTAAGTGCTATGCCTACAGCAAAAGAAAAATGCAAACAAAAATTTAAAATGGCTGCCTATCTGCTCTAGTAGTAAAACCCTATAGTGTGTGAATTTGTGTCCAGGCTGTGTGTGTGAGCTTATAGCTTTTGTAGCTTTCTAATACAATGAATATTTTAAAAACTCTTCAGTAACTTAAAAAAAAAAAAACTTCAGTAACTAATTCTATTCTTCCTGGTTTTTCCCTAGATAACAAACCATTAATGGGTATCTTGGTACATTAAGTTTCTTGAAAAAAATTAATTTTTAATTAACTTTTCACAGATTCATTATAGTTTATTGACAGTTTTAGGATGGGAGCTTTTCTGAATTTTGGGGGATTTAGCCACCAGCAAGAGTAGGGTTCCGGGGGCGGGAGAAACACTGTGGCAGGTTCATGATGAAAAGGGATTTCTGTTTGCAAGGATTGTGGAGAACATTTGGCCATCCGCATCTCTGACTTTGCTTTCTCATGATTATGATGTTCAAGGTGCATGGCCACTGCATGTGCAGGCATAACACCAAGGGCCTGAACTGTGAGCTGTGCATGGATTTCTACCATGACTTACCGTGGAGACCTGCCGAAGGTCGAAACAGCAATGCCTGCAAAAGTAAGTCTCCATCACTGGGATGTTTTGCAAAAGTTTGGAATCTGATCTCTGCATTCTGATTGGGGGTGCTATAAAAGACTGTTTTTTGCAGAAGGGAGAAAAGTTAACTTCTTCTTCCCTACCTCCACAATATTAACTTTTAGGAATCTAGCAATTATCCATTTAGTTAAGCTGAACCATTGGGGCACCGTCACAGTGACTGTGGTAACTACTGTGGAAGACTCGGATGTTGTCTTTGACATTGTACATGTTTGTAAGGCAAGAGCGCCATGAGAGAGAATGAAAGGAAAATAGGACACTGTAGATCACTAAAGCCTAGGAAATACAGAGTAGAGCTTTTGCCCTTGTTTCCACGCCAGCCCAGCTGTGGCCTCTGGCACACTTGAGTCCATCCAACCATCAGAAATACGGTGTCAACCCCCACATGCCCTGCGTCCCACTCACAGTGATTCTGATAACCATCCTGCCCTGAGAGAACACACCTGCCTCAGTCCCCGCTCTGGGAAGGACTTTTCTAGAAATTCAGACATCAGTGAGATCTAGAGTGGTCCAGACTTGGCAAGTCTGTTAGAATCCAGTCATCTCTGGATGACTGTTCAAGGCTGTTTGGGTAGAGAAGGCAGATGGAGAGAGGAAGGTGGGAAGGGGTTCAGACAAGGAGAATAGTGTGAAGTACAGGCTATGAGAATGTTTTGTGACTGTTGGGAAATGACACTGGCTTGAATGCCACTGTGCTAGGAGCAGTACCATGGAGGGTACCAGGAATGCATCCATCCATGTGTAAGACACAAGCCCCTCTGCACGGTGTCCTCCTGCAAGGCAGGCAGGTGGGAGAACTCAAGCATAGAGGCCCATGCTGGGTCAGCTCTGTTGTGGGAAAACTAGCACCATTCATGTGCATGGTGGAATGGGAGACTAGGATGATGGGTTGGGCCAACAAGTTTATGCTGAGTGGGCTAGTGGAAGCTGAATACCTCATCCAAGAAGGCCTGGTGGACTTGAATTCTTCCTACAGGGTTTGGCTTGGTGTGGCAGCATGAGTAGTGGGGAGTGAGGTCATGTCCCCCAAAACAGAGCCCCCATTCAGGCTTCCCTAGGAACTTGCCACCAGAAAGTCCTTTGGAGTAAGGTCTTTGTGTCCACTCCCATGCTGAGTGGATCACCAAGGCCTCCTCTGCGGGCTGGCAGCCTTCCTGGTGGTTGTGAACTTCAGGGGTCCTTTATCCAAAGGATACTTCCATTCTCTTACAAGGCGGGCAGATAGGTGAGTTTATTTCATTAAGTTCACATTTTTAGAGTTTCTGTGCTGATGGAGGGCTTGAACCTGTGGTATATGTGGATGTGTCCTTTGTCACCACGAAAGCCGTCTTGTTCGTTCAGGCTGAACTCAGTCTCAAGTTTACTTAATGAGCTTCCTTCCCAATCAATGCCATCCTTCATTGACACGACAAGCTATGAGGCTTCCCTTGACGTCGATCTTGTCACACAGAGTGCAACTGCAACGAGCACTCCAGCTCGTGTCACTTTGACATGGCGGTGTACCTGGCCACCGGCAATGTCAGTGGGGGCGTATGCGATGACTGTCAGCACAACACCATGGGACGCAACTGTGAGCAGTGCAGACCCTTCTACTACCAGCACCCGGAGAGGGACATCCGAGATCCTAACGTCTGTGAAAGTAAGTTGGCAGGTGTCGCCGGGTGGGACTGAGCCCAGGTGACTTTACACCATGAATAGTCAGTAGTTAACATCCTTGTGTGGAGTTCCATGTTTGAGCAGGGACCTCAGGCTTGTTGATTTAACTTCTGCCTGGGAGTTCAAGATTGGAATTGACTCATTAGTTGAGCTTTCTTTAGTCTACTTCTGTGAGGTTTTGACGGTAGAAAGGAATGTGTGTCAAGCAGTGACCCAACACCGTTCCTGCTGCTTTTACACTGATACTTTCCATTCTTTATAGAATGTTCATGTGATCCAGCTGGTTCTCAGAACGAAGGCATCTGTGACAGCTACACTGACTTTGCTACTGGTCTCATTGCCGGTCAGTGTCGGTGTAAACCCTACGTAGAAGGGGAACACTGCGATGTTTGCAAGGAAGGCTTCTACGGCTTAAGCGCCACAGACCCGTTTGGTTGTCAGTGTGAGTGCATTTCATCAAAAGCTTGGGGAGGCGTCCCAGGTACGTGGCTCCCATTTTACGTGCCGATTCTGAAGCCCAACTGTGACTTGCTTTGTCTCCATTAAGCCTGTGCTTGCAATCCTTTGGGAACCATTCCTGGCGGGAATCCTTGTGACTCGGAGACTGGGTACTGCTACTGTAAGCGTCTGGTGATGGGACAGCGCTGTGACCAGTGTCTGGTAGGTGACTCCTTGTGGCATGGGCTGGGCAGTTGGTGAACAGGACGTGGGTTTGTAGAGGAGGCTTTTCAGCACTGTGAGTTCTAACAACCACGTGTGCTGATCTTAACAGACACGAGTGGGAGAGTCCCAGATGGGAATTATTAGGTGAATAGCTTGAGAAAATGTTGAGCACCAATGTAAGGAATATGAAAGACAACCACAATGAAATACTTTGGCAAAATTAATGAAACTTAAAAAAATTGTAATGGTTATGATCAGTGAGGTTTTAATGTAGTATGCCAGTTATAGAAATGTGAATCAGGTTGACTCCACACAGCATTTTGGAGATGCCCCAGTAGCCCGCACAAATGTCATGCCTTTGGACCCAAGAATCCCACTGATGACATCATCAGAACACTGGACAAAGATGTATCCATCAGATGACTCTTGGCAGAAGATCTGGAAGCCTCACTCCACTGTGGAGACAATTTAATAAATTTGGGTGCAGTGTGTTATATTTTATATTGGGTTGCCATTGGAGGTGACAATAGCTTGAGGAAAGGCTTAAGGTGTTAAAAGAAAAAAAAGCATTGATAAAATTTCTCCCAGAGAGACAGCAGGTGGAAGGGAATAGATAGGAGGATTCACAGTGATGATTCAGAGTGAGGGTGTTTTAAAGAAAATCATTGTGTGTCTTTTACAGTGTTCTTTTGTTGGTTTTATAATCCAGATGATCTGTTGTCCCCAAGTTAGATGTGTGACCCCTAAATATGTTTATTTAGATAAATAGATAGATATCCCTCATGGATTTTTAAAGTTAGATTTCAGGAAGTCTGATAGAAGTCTATGAGCCTGTTTTTATCTTCATTTTAGGGGATGCAGAGTTCATCTTCCTGGTGTAGCTCCTGTCCCTTTTCCTTTGATTTCCATGTCTGTTATTCCCCTAGACTCACTGAGCTCCTCAGCTTTCAGCTGTGAGAACGGTCTTAGGTGTCTTCTGCATCTCCACATGGACAAATCCTTAGGGGGCTCTCCTCCTGGGAGCTGCATCACACTCAACCCTGGGGGAGGGCCGGGGGAGCTCAAAGACCTGCCAAATAGTTGCTGGGACTCGTCCTTCCCACAGAACTCCAGTGAAGAAAATGAGCATCTCTCCTGCTTGCTGCAGTGTGAATTAGTGCATGTAGATTATCTGTGGGGCAGAGAAGCGAATCTGAGTGCTTGACCGGTGACGCCTCCCCTTGCTGTGACCCGCAGCATGGGTTTCCTTCAGAGTACTGCACCCTCTGGTTGGCTGGCTGCCGGGTGAAAGGAACAGTTGGCAGAACAGCCACGACGTGCTGGAACTCGCTTCTAGAGTCTCTTGTGCAATTGCAGAAACCCTCCTTCAGATGTGACATCTTTTGTTCCACAGCCGGAGCACTGGGGCTTAAGCAATGATCTGGATGGATGTCGACCTTGCGACTGTGACCTTGGGGGTGCCTTAAACAACAGGTGAGTGGAGCCTGGCTTCCCGTCTTTGTACTCGGTCATGGAGGAGGGATGTGGGTTCTCAGAGAAATAGGATGGATGGCAAATGAATGGAAGGCTAAGTCCGTGTTGGGTTGGAACACCTGATAACCACTTCTGCCCACAGTCTGGGTGTTTTCAAAGATCTTCCATTTTGTAGTTAGCTTTGAAAGCTTATTCTCTTTTGCCCTTGTTTAGAATATATTTTAAATATTTATTCCTATAGTTGAAACAGTAATAGAGAAAGAGAGAGATGTTCCATTTGCTGGTTCACTTCCGTAAATAGCCAGGACAGGGCCAGGTTTAAGCCAGGAGCCAGGAACTCTGTAGGGGTCTCCACACAGGCAGGGACCCAGGCTCTTGGACTGTCTTGTACTACTTTCCCAAGAGCATTAACAGGGAGATGGATTGGAAGCAGAGCAGTGGAGGCTCAAGTTGGCACTCTGTTGAGTGATGCTGCTGTTACAGGCAGTGGCTTAGCGCACTGTGGCACAAGGTCAGCTGCTATTTTAAAGATGTTCCAGTGGGTATCCTTATGAAAATGTTTAACTGGGTATCCAGACATCTGTGTTGATGAATGTTAGTATCTCTGTTGACTAGGTTACCAACGATGGAATGAAAATGTGACTGTTCAAGACAGGTAGTGCCACTTCATTTTCCCACCGAACAGTTGTACAAGTGCCTTTTCCACCTTATCAGTTGCAGGTCATAATTTTTTTTGTCAATCTAACAACAGACAGATGGCAGATTCTCATTTTGACTTGTCTAGGGAATCTTGTTTTTTTTTTGTTTGCATGTACCAACTGCGCTAATGAAAACTAACATGTGACAATTTTTAGTGAGTTTAACATAGTGTTGTTCCTTGACTATGTGCGACACGAAGTTCTACTGAAAATGGATTGTAACACACATTTTGGCACATTTTTGTATATGGTTTGGAAGGTTCTGGAAATTGGCGGATTGGTGGGAGTTGAATTAGCCAGCTCTGAGTGAAATAGGAGTTTTGCTCTGTGTTCCTGGCTCGGACTCAGAACATCTGGTGCAGTGTCAGTGACTGCCCAGAGACTAGGCAGCTGTGTCCTTGTGGTCTCGACTCCTCCCTGAGAGAACTCGCCGAATTCATCGAGCCAGCACCCGCGACCCTTGCCCAAGGCCGTCATGGTTGCCCTGGGGACTGCAGTCTCAGGCAGAACACATTCTGCTTGGCCTCTTGGTTTGGGTGTGTTCTGTTCCAGGGCCGGCAGCACACTGGGGACAGTGTGTAGCCTCTGAACTTTCTTTCTGTTCTTAGAAAACCGCCAGCAGGGAGGAAGCAAAGATCATTCCATAACAAGCCATTCAGAAACGCACTCAGCCGGCTGCTTACGGAATCCCTTTCCCAGTTTTCCCCTGTGTGACTCCCAGAACGCTTGCTTGCTGATTGCTGTTAGTGTCTGATGGCTCTGTTCAAAGCTGTCATTATTCCCCAGGTCCTCCATTCGCCGCTGCAAGTGGACTATGCAATTGTCCCCATTATGTAATAAACTTAGGAATGTCCCTTGTTCTTTTGCCTTCCATGGCTCTGTTGCTTCACACTGCCTTCCCTCTCTTCCTGTTTCGCACACACTTGAATCTGTCTCCACCCACGCACAGCCCCTAGCCTGCCCTCTGATCTCTCCTACAAATGTCTGTGAAGACCAGAAATAAGTTCATCTAGAGAGTTGATGACACACAGACTTTTAGTGAAGTTGGTAGTGCAGGTGACCCTGTGACTTGCCAGCATGCTGGATGAGCTGCACGGCCTTGGGGGATCACTAGTTCAGGAAGCAGAGGAAATAGCTTGAAGGAAGGCATGGTGGTCTGGGCTCCCACCAAGGTTTCTGGTGAACCTCTTCAATGCTTTTTTTCATCCTTGAGAACCCCTTTCTAGAGTGGTGCCTTGGGCAGGGTCTCCTGTGAAGTGTGGATGCTACTGAGGTCATGTAATAATAGATGACAGTGATTGGGAAATGCTAGGCTGTGTAGTGGATGTGTTTCTTCGCTTGTGAATATTGTACTTCATAGGGTCCTTTTGCCTTGTGTCCATCAGGGGGCATTAAATAAATGTTAGGATGAACAAACAGAGGGGAAATAGGGAGAGTTTCATTCATCAGATGCCTTCAACAGTCAGGGCTGGGCCCAGCCAAAGCCAGGAGCTGGGGGCTCAAGCCAGATCTCCCCACATGGGTTGCAGGGACTTAAGCATCATTGCCACCTCTCAGGATGTGTATCGGCCTGAAATTGGAATTGGGAATGCATCGAGATGCAAACCCAGGCACTTCTAAAAGGGGTGCAGGTGTCTCAAGCAGAATTTTAATCATTGTGCCAAGGGCACACCCTGAACTTGCCTTTTAGTTTGATTTTCCCATGGACGTTTTAAAGTAGCCTCATCTGTGCTTCTTAGAAGAAGCAGTCTCCAAATGTGATCTGAAAGTTACCTTGGCCAGGGATAAAAAGTACAACAAGCACTGAAAGCAGAAATGTACCTTAAGATGTTTTGTTTGAGCCAGATGAATGTTTGGCAGTGCAATCAAACGTTGGTGTGATGCATGTCTAGTAGCTTGACATCTAATCTGAGGTTCTGAATAATTAAAAAGACCTAGTTGTCTAAGTATTGTGACTCCAGGTTAATGAAGTTTTCCCTAGTTGATTACCTACAGTAATGAATGAATCAGAATCCATGGCAGTGGTTACTGGGCAAATGCTGCTTATGTTTAAAAAATATTGGAAAATATAAACACCTTACCAGCATCCTTAAATGATTTTGTTGTTCGGGATTTTCATATCTAGCTTGAAATATCCCACTTTTTGCAAAGTGTCTATACCCTAGGCCAAAGTCCCCAAATCTCCCTGGGTGCTTGAATTACATGTGACTTCTGCATCTCTTTCAGCCCTGATTTTATTCTTGTCTGTGTTTCAATGGTTTCTCTGATTGGCAATTGTGTCTTACTTTTTATCTTCCAGACACCCAACACAGTGAACCTTGTAGGTGCTTAGTAAATAAAGGAGACATTTCTTGTCCTTTTGAAAATTGGAGCTGAAGTTGATAGACACTTTCCTCATCACGTTGAGTGATGAGCCATCCCTTTGTTGATACCTTGGTTGGGGGGCCTGAGGTTATGGCAGAATGGAGCTTCAATCCATTAGAAAGCAGCCTCGTGGTGAGAGTGGAGGTGGGAGTGAAGCTGCTCTAGAGAAAGTAGATGATATTGGTTGCTGCTCAGTATAGCACCAACTCTTCTATGTAATCAGAATTTCAGAGAGTATGTCAGTGTTTAGCAGATTGGGTAGTTATTAATGATGCTTTTGATCCTTTAACATTTTTCTCATTTATTTGTAATAGAGAAAAGATAAAATTCTGTTTTCTCTGCATATGGCTGTTCCAGTGAAATTGAATGGGATATACAGAAGCAGAGAGTGGACCAGGAGCTGTCGGGGTGACGTCCACCTGAGCGGGGGCAGATAGAGTCCCAGGAAGTGGGTTTCCTGGGCGAGTCTGCGCTGGGAGCCATGGCTTTCAGTGACAGCTGTTGAGGTTGTAAAGCACAAAGCCAAGCCGTGCGGTTGGGTTTGTATCCGTGACCAGGTGTTTGGGTTAATGTTCCTTACACATTTGTGTTGCAGGTAAAAGACCCAATCAAGCCCACTGAACTCTGTCTCTCCACCTTCAGTTGCTTGTTCTTCAATGACTGCTCATAAAGGCTCTGGTTACTTTCCTCTGTAGAGGTTCATAATTTGGATGTCAGCATCCCACTGAGGAGGAAAGAAGGATCTTCTTGGCCATATTGTAACATCCTACGGCTGAGATCCTGAGAATAGCTTTTTGGGGTGGAGTCTGGCAGGAGAGGCCAGGTCTTAATGGAAACCAGCGTTCCGGGAAATTGGCTAGGATGTTAAGAGTTCATTTTCCTGTAGGATAATGACAGGATGTGCAGGAGGAGACTTGAAGCGGACCGTGTCAGGGCACTGGGGGACATTGTGAGTCAGCCACTGACTGTTAAACCTGCCTGTAAGTTGCAGCTTGCCTTGACTACTTAAGGCAAGCTCTGGGATGAGGGGGAAAGTGGAAGAACTTGGAGAGTAGATTTCAAGCAAAAATTGCAATGCATGGCTTCCCCTTTAATGGTGACAGGTATTTTGGGTCTTGCTTTTGCATATAAAATAGTGCTACTGCGGGAAAAGGCCAACACAGGCTAAGAACGAAAGAAATTCATGTCGGCTTCTCCCTAGGCCTTGTGGGCCGAGGTGGTATCAGCTAGTAGCTTGCTGTGCACGTTAAATCTTCTATTCGTTTATTCTTTATTTAGAATACATCTCTTACATAGCTGAGGTCAGCAAGGTCAGAGATTGCAGTTAGATTGTTTTTTTTTTTCAAAGATTGACTTATTTTACTTGAAATTCAGAGTGACAGAGAAAGAGGGAGAGACAGAGAGATCTTGTATCTGCTAGCGCGCACTCCAGATGTACACAGTGGCCAGAGCCTGGTCAGTCTGAAGCCAGGAGTTTGGAGCTTCTGTTGGTCTCTCACGTGGGTGCAAGATCTCAAGGACTTGGGCCATTTTCCATTGCTTTCCCAGACCATCAGAAGGAGGGTAGATCAGAAGTGGAGCAGCCAGGGCTCCAACCAGCATCCCAATGGGCGGCTGGTGCCTGCCAGTGGAGGATTAGGTAGCGGAGCCACTGCGTCAGCCCAGTCAGATAGATTTATTAACAATCATGTTGCAAGGAAGGAAGCAGTCAGTGGCATAAAAGTAATAAAGACAAGGAGCGGTGAAGATCAGAGAAAGCCCACTTGAAAATGGTAGAAGGAGGGGACGAAGCACAAAGGTTTAATGATGGGGTCTAAGTGAGGCTTGACAAATCATATGGAGTTTAAAGACCTGTTGCTTCAACTTTAATGAATGTGTACAATGAAACCAGCTAAATTGTAGAGGTTAAACACACATAACAAAGAGTCATGTGTCCTTCAGGAAGGCAGTGGCCTGAAAGAGAAAGGAGGTCGCTTTCTGGGGACAGCGTGGTGGTGAGGACACACCGCACTGAGGCTTGTGTTGAGTTTTGGAAGGACAGGTGGATTTTGGCTGGGAGGGAAGAGGAGGACATCCCAAGCTACAGGACTAGCATAAGCAAAGGGAAAGGAGTTGAGTCATGCAGTACATTTGAGAAATATGTAATGCTAAATAATTGTTTACCATTATGGTTGGATAAGTCTGGGGAGAGGACAGAAGGACAAGATGGAAGAAAGCCTGGTGTGTCTGTCTTCCAAGTTCATTTATGCCCAGGGATGTTATGATTGGCATGTCAGGCCACGTGGGCAGTTGCAGAAAAGATCACATTTTGGCTTGGGAAAAATCTCAGCCTGGCAATGAGGATACCAGTTAGAACACTGTCACTAATGCTCGGCAGAGCACAGTTAGAAGGAGCAGGGAGATGAACCTGCAGGATTTGGTCATGTTTGTGAGGATATCAACTGGGCAGTAATGTGTGCATCCTGATCTATTGGGATTTCGTTGGTGAGCATGTCTTCATTGTGGAAGAGAATGTGGGCCTTGTGGGCTGTCACTGGAGAGCCATGGAGTTGGAGTCTATGATGATCAGATAGGAGATGTCCTTCTGGGGTATCTTTCGGATTCACGGCCCAGAAAAAGGAGGCATAGTTGGAAATAAAGCAGAAGATAGAGGAGATGAACATGGGGAATTTAAGGATGTCTGCGTCAGCGCAATGTTGGATTGCACATAAGTGAAGAGAGGGCAGGAGGTGGGATGAAGCTTGAGAGAACAGGTCACGGGCAGGTCCCGCTCTAATGCTCTGGAGTCGGGATCAGTTCACGGGCACTGTTCTGTCCAGACACTTGTGTGTGTATTTTGTGAAGCAACTGAGAAACTTTTGCATAGATATACTTCAAGAAGGTCATGGAAAAAAAATGGGCTCGAAGATACACAACTTCCTATCAAGTGTGATTTTTTTTCCCTTGCATTCCTACGAACGTTTTGAAGACCCTTAGTCTGCCTCTCCGTGGGATGTTTGATGGTGCACATGGAACTGTGGCAGTGGCTAGTTTAGGTCTGTGGTAGCCACAGCTCACCTCCTGTTCCTTGCAGTTGCTCTCCAGAGTCAGGCCAGTGCTCGTGTCGGCCCCACATGATCGGACGTCAGTGCAACGAAGTGGAGTCCGGATACTACTTTACCACGTTGGATCATTACATCTACGAGGCAGAGGAGGGCAATCTGGGCCCGGTAAGTAGGGGCGTGCTGGGCTGACTGGTAAGGGGGCACACACTCACACTTGGAGAAGGGTCAGGTAGGAAGCATTTTTGGTAGTGTTCGCCAGGGAGCACAGAACAAGGCCTGGGACTACCTGCTGAGAGCGGTCATGTTTCCAGCCAGGACTGACTCACAGGCTTAGGGGCATTGACCATGAGATTTTTGGTTGGTTTAAGGAACTTTATGAGAAAGCTTTTCTTCATCCTTCTGTTGGTGTTATTGATGTTAATGATAGCAACTATCTTTGGAGATGACCGATTGCATCTGTCATTCTATTAAGTATCAGAATTAACTCGTCAGTAGTGAGCCCTCCTAGGCAACTCAAGTTTTTTCGTTTGTACTCGGAGTTTGAAACTAATGCCAGTGAGAGACGAAGCAATCCACTAGCTATCGGACCGCCTTGTAGAGAATCTCATCACTCCTGGATTTGTTTAAAACAGCATTTGGGGTGTCCTCTTCCCTCCCCTTTTACCTATTCCCCTGGCTATGCCACCCACGGTCTCCAACAATGGAAAGGGAGCAGGTGTCTGATGTGGTGATGCGCCTCTTAGGATGCCCACGTCCCGTATCGGAGTGACTGGCATTGATCCCTGACTCTACTCATCATTACAGCTTCATGCTAATGCCTACCCTGGGAGGCAGCAGTGATGTCTTCAATAGCTAATTCCCTTGCCGTCCACGTGGGAGAGCTGGATTGAATTCTTGTTTGCTTGAACTTTCAGCCCAACTGCAGCTGTCAGGGGCATCTGGGGCATATGTTAGGGGAAGGAAGATCTCTGATTTTTTCCTCCTGACTGCCTTTAAAATAAAATGAAAATAAATAACACATGTTTTTTTGTTTTAAAGCCTGAAATACTAAAAGGAACGGACCTGGCATTGTGACATAGCCACTACCTGTAATGCCAGCATCCCATGTGGTTGCTGGTTCGAGTCTCAGATGCTCCTCTTCCAATCCAGCTCTCTGCTAATGTGCATGGGAAAGCATCAGAACACAGCCCAAGTACCTGGTCCCACACAACCCACAGGGGAGATCCTGTTGGAGCTCCTGGCTCCTGGCTGTGGCCTGGCCAAACCCTAGCTGTCGTGGCCATTTTAGGAGTGAACCAGCAGATGGAAAACCTCTCTCTTCTCTCTCCCTTCCCGCCATCTCCCATGTCTGTCTCTTTCTTTCTGTAATTCTACCTTTCAAAGAAGTAAATAAGTCTTTAAAACAAAACTAAGCAAAAAAAACCTTTAAAAAAAAAAGAACTGAATTTCCTAATGTATATCAAAACTTCACAATCTAGTGGAGTCAGTGTAACTGTTAAGTGTCGGGTAGCCATACTTTGGAATTGCTGGGTAACCTCAGGTTTCTTTGGCTGTTGAATGTCAGTGTCTTCCATTTGAAATAAAGCATGATGTCTCTCCCCTGTGCCCAGGGAGTTAGCATAGTGGAGCGGCTGTATATCCAGGACCGCACTCCCTCCTGGACTGGAGCTGGCTTCGTCCGAGTGCCTGAAGGAGCTTATTTGGAGTTTTTCATTGACAACATACCGTATTCTATGGAGTATGACATCTTAATTCGCTATGAGCCCCAGGTAAAAGAACCTCTCACTGGATTGTGTGTGTCTGTGTGTGTGTAGGGGAGTGTTATGGTAGAAAACTACTGTTTCTAATGGGTATTTCTACTTACATGAGCCCTAAAACTTGCATCAGAATTTTGAGTGATCCCAAAATATCAGCTCTGCCATGGAAAACTTTCATTTTTCATGAATCGATTTGTCAAATGCTGATTGATTAGAATAGCTCATGAGAATGCCTCCAGACCCCTCCTTTCCTTCTTGCCTTCGTCTGGCTGCCCAGGGACCCAGTCATAGGCCCCTCACTGTAGAGAAAGACGTAAGGTGAACAAGTGGCAGCAGAGGTGCAGACGGTCCTGAAAGACAGAAGTGAGGTCTGCCAAGATGTCCCAGGGAAATTCAGATCTTCACCTTAAGGCTTAGAGGGGACTTGGATAAACAGACAGAAGCAGAAGTAAGGAGCAGTGTAAGCTGAGCAGAGATTCTCTGGGGAAACTTGTTTCCCATAGCTAGGGCAGGATGTTGGGTTGGTGGCATCTCTGCAGACATACGCTCTCCATGTTCACAAGCAACCATCAGAGGACCTTCAGCTGGGCCTTGTTATAATCTGAGCTGTTGTAAAGTAGGCAGAAAGCGATGCTGGGAAGAGGCAAAGAGATTAGTTGGGAAGGAGAAGCGAGAAAGGCTGGGACAAGGGCAAAAGCAGAGGAGGAAACGATGAAGGGCAAAGGGGGCGATGACTGCATTTTTCCGTCTTTAACCTTGGCTGATGATCGGCTGGGAAAAGCCTCCAGGAACAGCAGGCACGGTAGATGGCTGCGCTTAGTCTTTCAGTGTGTTTGGTTATTTTCTTCCAGCTGCCCGACCACTGGGAAAAGGCTGTCATCACCGTGCAGCGACCTGGAAAGATTCCAGCCAGCAGCCGCTGCGGGAACACTGTTCCGGATGATGACAACCAGGTGGTGTCGTTATCACCCGGCTCAAGGTCAGTGTGACAGCGGTGTGCAGCCCAGCGGGACGAAAATGCAGTGTCGGGTTTTTCTCATTTCTTGGGGTGGGTGAGGAATACTTGCAGAACCAGGTGCCGATGGTCCTGCTTAGAACTCTTGTTTTCCATGTTAGTCTTTGTATCTTTAAAGGCTGACACTTGTTTTTGTCTCTTGCTTGGGGGCAGATATGTGGTCCTCCCTCGCCCCGTGTGCTTTGAGAAGGGCATGAACTACACTGTGAGGCTGGAGCTGCCACAGTACACCTCCTCCGACAGTGGTGTGGACAGCCCGTACACACTCATCGATTCTGTAAGTGTCATCTCGCATGTGTGTCCAAGAGCCACGGCCCAAAGGTGCAGCTGCTTCCTCAGGCTGGACTGGTTGTGCACCCATTTTCCCTTGCTCTAAAAATTACTGGAGGCTGGGAAAGGTACCCAAGAAAGTGACTTAGGTAGCCACATGTTTCAGGAGCTAACACCAATGGCACCGTATCTGGTGCTGGTTCACTCCCTTGGCAGAAAGGCTTGTGAAAGAAGTCAAATGTTGAGACTGGACGATAGAAAGCAGAGAGAAGTCATGCTCACCCCTTTAAAACCACTACTTCAGATAAACTAGGTTCCACAGGAAGCACGTTAATGCTGTCAGGTTGATGAGCCTGTAATGCATCACCTGCTAGCAGGCCCTGCCTCTTCAAGGTTCTGCTGCCTTCCAGCGCCACCACATGGGGAACCCAGCTTGCAAGAGGAACACTCAGGGCACTAACAGACCACATCCAAACCACAGCAAGGGAGAATGGCCAGCAGTCAAGCAGAATCGTTCTTTCTTGCCTCCAAGGTTACTTTTGTGTATAAAAGTACACTCTACAGGAAAGGGTACTTCGGAAATCCTTCTTTTTAAAAAGAAGAAACGCCCTCACCTAGCACTGCAGAGGTTAACTTAGCCTCCAGGTAAGACGGCAGTTGAGACACCTGTGTCCCAGAATGGAGTGCCTGGGCCTGATGCTTCACTTTGACTTCCGATTTAAGCATCCTGTTAATGTAGACCTGGCGAGGCAGTGGTGATGCTTCACATGATTGGGTTCATGGCCCCCACATAGGAGACCTTGATCACATTGCCAGCTTCAACCTTGGCCCATCCCCAGCCAGTACAGGCCAATGGGCAGTGAACTAGTGGATGTGGAACTAGTGGGACACCTGCTTATTCTCTCTTCCTCTCAAAGAAATTTTCTTGGAGCTGGAGCAGTGGCAAAGTGGGAATCCTCTGCCTGCAAGCATCTCACGTGGGTGCTGGTATGCATCTGGTTGTTCCACTTCTGATCTAGCTCCCTGCTTGTGGCCTGGGAACGCAGCGGAGGACGGCTCCAGGGGCTCCCACACCCGTGTGAGAGTTCCGGAGGGAGTGCCTGGCTCCCCACTTCTCGCAGCCCAGCTCCTGCCATTTTGGCTGTTTTGAGAGTGAACCAGTGGATTGAAGATCTCTCTGTCTCTCTCACTCTCTCTGTCTCTCTAATTCTTTCAAGTAAAATAAATGTTCAAGAAACAAAGGCATTTTTAAAAAAAAGTTTTAAATTGTAGTTCAAAACTATCAAGCTCTATAAAATCAATTAAAATTTGTCTTTCCTAATAATATCCAAGGACAGAATGAGTGTGATTTCTTGGGTCCAAGTGAAAGAAGTATTTGAGATTTTGGCCTGTCCTCGCCTGCTTCCCCAGGGGTGTGGGCTCTGCTTTAGGATGTGTCACTGTTTCTCTGTCCTTCACAGCTTGTTCTCATGCCCTACTGCCGGTCGCTGGACATCTTCACCGTGGGAGGGTCAGGCGATGGAGTGGTGACCAGCAGTGCCTGGGAGACCTTCCAGAGGTACCGCTGCCTGGAGAACAGCCGTAGTGTCGTGAAAACGCCCATGACGGACGTTTGCAGAAACATCATTTTTAGCATTTCAGCCCTGCTACACCAGACCGGCCTGGGTAGGTGTGGCGTAGGGGTCGCCCTAACGGCTGGGTTTAGCTCCCAAGGTGCCCTGGGGTATATGTCGTATTGTGTTATAGTACATCAAGCAAATAGTGTGCTTGGTCCTTTTGTTTCTCACTGACATTTTAACAAATGAGTGTCACTGACTACAGGATATGCAAGAAAGATGCACCTTACAGAAACCCAGGGGGTGATCTAGGAGGATGCTACACTTCTGGAGGCAGTGGGGGGAGTTGGGATAGGATCAGAGAAGCATCCAGTAGCTAAAAAAATTTATTTGTTTTTCTTTCAAAGGTCAGTGCCAGCCCTGAAGGTCACAGGGCCTTGAGGCTAATGTTCTGTGATATTTGAGCTTTGGAGGCCGGAGATAAAAACCATAAAGACCTTTAGCGTAGAAGAAGTTGCTTTGATCTGTCACCCTCCCATCCCTGCCACCTCCTTGCATTTCTTCCCTCCCACCCGTCACAGGAATGGCATTTTAAACTGGGATTTTGAAAAAGTTGACATCCATAGAACAGAAAGGACTGGGAGAGCTGGAGGCAGGGCAGTGGATGAGCAGGAGGCAGGCGGGACGTGCTGAGTAGTCCTCTACTCCCATCTCAGGTTCTGCCCTCTTTCTACCCTACAGCTTGTGAATGTAACCCTCAGGGCTCCTTGAGTTCCGTATGTGACCCCAACGGAGGCCAGTGTGAGTGTCGGCCAAATGTGGTGGGACGAACCTGTGACAGATGTGCCCCAGGAACCTTTGGCTTTGGCCCCAGCGGATGCAAACGTAGGTACCTGGGAAGCACAGTAGGTGTTCGTTGAGAATCCACTGCCTGGAGTTGGCTGGGCCCTGGAGCTTCCAAGGTGGTGATGCACTGTTGTCAAAGTTGGTGTCCGGAGCCGATGAGCGCTGCTTAGCTGGTACCCAGGGTGCTTCTGAAAGGGATGTGTCTGCTGCTAATGAGTTTCTCAAGGGACTTTTTCTCATTTTGCTTTTTCTGCAGCTTGTGAGTGCCACCTGCAAGGATCGGTCAATGCCTTCTGTGATGCCATCACGGGCCAGTGCCAATGTTTTCACGGGGTATATGCACGGCAGTGTGACCGATGTTTACCTGGGTACTGGGGCTTTCCTGCCTGCCAGCCCTGCCAATGCAATGGGCATGCGGATGACTGTGACTCGGTGACGGGGCAGTGCCTGGGCTGCCAGGACTACACCACAGGTCACAACTGTGAAAGGTACGTGGGCACTGCATCTCAAGAGCAAGGAGAACGATGCAGACAGCATCGTAGACAAAGAACAGAATTCATTTCCACCAGCCTCTCCCTGGCTCGTGCCGATGACCTCAGTATCTTCTAGGAACTCATTGATTTATCCTGGACGTGTTTATTTTACGCCTTCCATGTTGCAAGGTGCTATTCTGGTGCTGGGATAGGGCATGCAATGAAAACCAACAGGAACCCTCCCCCGTGGGCATCCGTTCTGGAGCCCACCTTAGATATGTTTAGAAATCATTTCTGTGTCTGCAAATTCTGGCCTGGAATGGGAGTTGCGAAATCTTCATGCCTGATGTGGGTCATAGCAGACATCAGATGCAAATGGGATTAGTCACTTCAATCCTTTGTTTTCCAAAAACACTTATGCAACTGCTGTTTCCAGGAGACCATGTTAAATGTGCACCACTAGATGAGATCTCCCGTTAATGTGTGTTAGTCGAATAATTATTATGGCTGTAAATCACTGTAGTAGATAAGTGGATACAGGACAATAGGATGTGCTTCCAGTGACATTAATGACCCAGCTTGATGGATATAGTCCACTGGAAAAAATAACATACTGGCTTCAACTATTCATTGCTCGTTAAGAAATGCAGACTTAACTGTTAGAATCCTCTTGGGGGCAAGGTTAATAGTCTCTACTTTGTTCTACGCCAGTAAATTTTCTCTCCTCTAATACCCACCCATTGTATATCGGATTTTACTTTTAAAAGGCCCTCAGGGCACATGTTGGAAAGTGCTGCAGAGGAATTATCAGTGACAACTGAATTGCTATCAGCTCTGAGTATGATGGCACACATGGCGGCCAACATCAAAGCTTGATGCTAGAGTGGGATTCAGGAATTCAGAAGTCCTGATATCAAAAGGTCCTGCTTTTGATAAGTGTTATCCCTTCCAACCACAAAATGGATTTGGAAAAAAAAAAAGGTAGCAGTCATACAAGGAAAGAGGAAGTTAGCCCATGGGTGTCATCTTCTGCTGGCTGCCAAACATTTTGCATGATTATTCTCTTGAAGCAAGACAGAGTATAAAAGGAGCAGGTGAGAAAATGAGATTAACAATGAGAAGAGAGTGGCATGGGAGAGAAGAACACGGCACAGGGGGCAATCCTCAAGGCTGATTGCACGGACACGCTGTGGAATCACTGTGAGCATCCTGTGAGAGTCCAGGATGGACTTTGTATTTTATTGGTAGAGGATTTTGCTTTCTTAGAGGACAATAGGAACAGGTGCAGAAGTAGGAGCACTTTGCTGAAGTCTTGGGAACTCCGGTGCGGTTTGAGCTGGTTTCTCACTTTGAGCTCTTTTCTTCATGGCAGGGGGATCACGGTTTCAGGTTCATAAATTTATAATGGAACTCTGCCCAGATGGTTCCCAAGAGGAAGAAGTGGGGTGAGGGTGGGCAAGTGGGAGGCAGGAAATGAGCACTCCGTGTCTGCTGTGATGTCTTAGGATTTATTTCACCCAGAAAAGTCTCACGGAAACTCTCGGAGCAATCCTTGCACAAAGTTACTTCATCCGTGTTGACGCTTCCCACACAGAATTACCAAATATGTTCTTAGGTTACTCGTATGTCTGATCAAGTCAATGATTCATGTCTTCATGAGAGCTTTTCTCTTATGTTTCTTTCTTTTCCCTCTTTAAAAATACCCAACCTCAGTTTCACAAAAACATCACCACCACCATCACCACCATCACCACCACTGCCATCACCATCATCACCACCACCACCAACAATAACAACAACAAGAAACATGAAAAATGAGCAAACTGGAGATCACTAGACCTGAGTTTCAGGCTCATTTCTGACCTTAGATCCATGAATAAGTTGCAGTATCCAGTTTTTTCAAAGCTAGGTAATTAGGCTGGATTGATAATCTCCAAAATTCCTTCAGAATCTTAGAATACAGAAAATTAAAAAAGAAATAGTAGCTCAATTCCTGTTCTCCTGGACATATTCAACATGACTTAAGAAAAGAATTCCTTGCTGAAAACCAGGACGTTGAATTCAAATCCAGGCTCATGATTGAGCAGAGTGTGGGTTTTACAAATCATATAACTTCCAACCACTCCTAACCCCTAAGGACAAAGGGATAGACCTTTTGGATTTGCAGTGAATAAATAACATCCCTCATCCCAGCCCAAGCTTGGAACAAAGGAGATGGGTAGAGAGTCCGGCTACGTAACTTCTGGGTCAGTTGGCCTTGGTTCTTACTGGTAGAGGTTGGATTGCAGCACATGGCCTTCAGGCTCTGACCTCTATAGGCCCAGCTACCAGCTTCCCCTCCCAGGCTGAGTCAGGCAACTCTGTGCCATGCCTACAGAGACAGACTCCTGATTGCAAGGAGGCAGCAGCAAATGGGACACAAATATGTTTCAAGGGATATGTTGGTGTTGTGTGGGATGCTGTGAGAGAGGGGCCAGGGGAGACTGAGTTAATGCAGTGGGCTGCGAATGTGATCCCCACATTAGCAGTGTAAGGGCTGTACCTGGGGCTGCCTGAATCAGACACCCATAGGAGGAGACCGACAACCTGATCTCACCAGGCTACCAGGGTGAGTCCAATCAGAGCTAAGAGCTGAGAACTGCTGCTCCAGTAGGATTTCTTCCATGTGGAGACATGCAGAATGGAGGGGGGAAGGTTCTCAGAACAGTTTCTATTACATTTTTTGTGAAACAAGTTTTGTACGACTGTGGGTCACAACTTGTTCTCTTCTGTGATGGATGCAGGTGCGTGGCTGGTTACTATGGCGACCCCATCATCGGGTCGGGAGATCACTGCCGCCCGTGTCCTTGCCCAGATGGCCCAGGCAGTGGCCGCCAGTTTGCTGGAAGCTGTTACCAGGATCCTGTTACTTTACAGCTTGCTTGTGTTTGTGAACAGGGATATATTGGTAAGTCACGTGCGCACTTAATGAGGAAAAAAAATGAGGTGAGGCGGAAACCAGTTTATCTCCCATATCGTTCTTTCATTAAAAGTCAGGGGACTCTGACATACAGGTATTTGTGCTTCCCATTTGGCTTGTCCAGGCAGAGTCCATCCTTGGGCCTTTCTGGGATAGTGATGGTATGACACAGAGCATTTAGATCCCTAAATAAACACCCGTGAAACACCTTGCGATTAAGTGGAAAGATGAATTTGCATTTTATTCTTTCCTTTCCAACTCCCAGCAGAGGCACTCCAAAGCAGTGAGGTAGGCAGAAGGAAGCGAATCACATCTTGGGTGGATGGGAGAGTAGCCTGGGTGTTGAGATGCTGGTCAGGATGGCCACATCCCATGTTGGTGCACATGGGTTTAATTCCTGGCCCCAGCTTCCCACCAATGCCGGAAGACAGCAGTGATGGTTCCAGGGGCTGGGACCCTGCTCCTTGCTTGGGAGATCAGCACTGGGTTCCTAACTCTGGCTCCACCCCTGACCATCCCTGTCAGCTTGTGGAGGACAGAGCAGCAGATGGGAGTTCTCTTTCTGTTATTCTGTCTCTCTGCTTCTCAAATTGAACATCAATGTTACAAGAGTAACATCTGGAATATTAACAGGCAGCAGAGTCTTTCAGAGCTGAATCTGTTCACCGTGTAGTGTCTTCATACCATCTGTCGGCACTAAATGAACTTAGCTGATTGAAGAAGTCGGTTCCTTTTTTATTTTATCCTTGACACCACTATTTCAAATGTTTGTTATGCTTATGCATAGTGGAGCCAATGTTTTTTGTGTAAAATTTCAGGATTTCTTTTTGTGGAAAGATTGCTTTGTTTATTGGAAAGTCAGAGTCACAGAGAGAGATTCCATTTGCTGGTCACCCCGATGGTTGCAGTGGCCAGCACTGGGCCAGCCCAAAGCTAGGAACCAGGCCACCCCCTGCTGCTTTTCCCAAGCCTTCAGAAGGGTGTGAATTGGAAGTGGAGCAACTGGGACTCCAACCAGTGCCCATAGAGAATGCTGGTGTCTCTGGCGTGCTGGCCCCAAAATGTCAGGATTTTGCAGGGAAATTAACATTGAAAAAAAATTTTTTTTTCGGGATATTCACTCGGGAGCAGTGACTTCAAGGGTGGTGGGGCCTCTATCCTGCCATGAGCATCATTAACAGCATCATTTAGAGGCCACACGTAATTACAACTGAAAACTTAGCTTGCTATAGACTCAATGAAATTTTGAGTCTTGCCTTCAGTTCCCTAGGCAGGGTCAGACCAAATGATGTTATGGGTTTTATACAGTGAGGCATTATACGGCCCACAGGCTAGGCGTCTCTCCACGCTGGGTTATTTATATGATGGTCCTTGGGTCCAGATTTTAGGATTAAGCTGGGTTTAACAATTTTGGTTGGTTACTAAGTTCTACCCTATGTCCTCACAAGCTGAGATGCTGTATGTTGGAAACTTAATACTTATTCGTGGCCTTGTAGGCAATGGTAGCCATGCGAGAGAGACAACAAAATACTCTCTTCCTGTTCCTTGCTAAAAGCCTGCTCCCTCCCCTTCAGATGTGGTCATTGGGTGCTCTGCGGTGCCTTGGTGGTGATGGTGGTAGAGGTGGCACCCAGGTGAGAGTTTTGTCTCTCAGCTGAAACCTTTGGGCTTGGTTCTGTTGTGCCCCAGGCTCCAGGTGCGACGACTGTGCCTCCGGGTACTTTGGGAATCCCTCAGACGTGGGTGGGTCATGCCAGCCCTGCCAGTGCCACCACAACATTGACACAACAGACCCAGAAGCCTGTGACAAGGAGACGGGACAGTGCCTCAAGTGCTTGTACCACACTGAAGGGGACCATTGTGAGTTGTGTCGCTTCGGCTACTATGGAGACGCTCTCCGGCAGGACTGCAGAAGTAAGATGCGCCTGCGCTTGGGGGCGTGGTCTTCATACAGTGATTGTCCTAGTACATTTGCTGGTTCAAAGCCATGCGGTTTCACCTGTGAGCAACAGAGAAATGAGACAGCGTTTTTTTTTTTTTTCTTGACATACTCATTTTATGGTAGCAAGTGTATAGATGGGAGGTGGCTCCGTGCCAGCAGAGAACCAGAAGGGAATCTTAGTGGCTTTGTCATCCTCATAAATGCCAACCCATGGGGCGTTTTGATGTTGTTATGCCCGTGCCCCTGCCAATTTGGCTGGTACTGAAGAGATCATAAATACCTGTTTTTCTAAAGTCCCTGGTGGCTAGAACCTTACAGATGAGGGATGAGAGAGACATCACATCTCTCAGGCCTCTCTCTCTTGCAGACTTATTTCTGACATTGTGTCAGGATCAACCAGTATTGCTGCTGTTGCTGTGGGAGCAACCCAGCCCCAGGGGGCCCGGGCTGCCTTGATGCAAACATGCATGTGTGGAATGTGGGGACCAGCAAGACCAGATTCCTGCAAGCCGTAGCTTACCAGGCTGCTGCTACCTGCTGTGTGCCATGTCCTGGCAAGAGCTGGGAATCAGATCCCTCAGTTCCCACAGGCATTGCTTTTGATGATTTCCAGTTAAATCTCCCATTTGCAAATGCTTTACCAGCAGCTTGTGGAGCCTCTGTATTTGGAAACCACATCTAGACAGACTGCACAGTGTGAGTGGGTTGTGCTGGGGGAGATGCCACAATTGGGTGGTGGAAGCTGCTAAAGGGTGAATTGTTGGAGATTCCTGGCATTGCTGGCTGAGTGCTTGGCGGGTCGGGGTTGGAGTCTGGAGAGCAGAGATCTCAGCCATTTGGCAGCAGCTGATTCAGGCGGGTGCCCTGCTTGTCGTGAAGTGATGTTTTGTAAGAAAGACCCCACTGCCTTTTCTTTTCCAGAATGTGTCTGCAACTACCTAGGCACCATGCAGGAGCACTGCAATGGCTCCAACTGCCAGTGCGACAAAGGCACTGGCCAGTGCCCGTGCCTCCCGAACGTGGTGGGACAGAACTGTGACCACTGTGCACCCAACACCTGGCAGCTGGCCAGTGGCACTGGCTGTGAGCCCTGTGGCTGCAATGACCTGCATTCCTTCGGGCCATCTTGTAATGAGGTGAGGCCACGGTTGTGCCAGGAGAAATGGGTTGAGGAGTCCTGGGTGATGGTCATCCCACTGACAGAGAAAAGCCACTCCCCACTTCCTTCTGTTCTGGGGTCCACCACCTTGTCCAACACAGCCTGGGCTGCATATCAACCCAGCTCGTGCACCACGCAGAGTCCCATGTGCTGCAGACCATGGCAAGTCGACTTGGTGTCCCAGCTGTGGGGTGCAGACTGACTGAGAAAGGACAGTGGATGATGCTTCTCTGCTCCAGGAAGCACAGAGCTCTGCCCAGCACTGTGGACAATGCTGCTGCTTGTCAACACCTGCCAGGTGGCATGCTCACTAGGGCCAGATGGGTGACAGGTGGTCGGGGAGTGTTACGACCTGTGAGGATACAAGTTAAGGAATTCTGAAATGGAGTGCATTGTGATGTGGGTCTGGCCAAATCTTTGTTGAAAGTAGCCAGCCGAGAGGTGCTGAGCCCAGAGGAAGGACCCTGGTCCCTTGTTAACCTGGGGTAGGCATCGTCATTAGTCAACTGCCAACTGGTAGCTGGTAGTATGGGAACTCGGAATGGCTAGCTCTGCCCCTGCTTGACTTGGCTCTGTGTTCTTACCATAGTTCACGGGGCAGTGCCAGTGCATGCCTGGCTTTGGAGGCCGCACCTGCAGTGAGTGCCAGGAGCTCTTCTGGGGAGACCCCGACGTGGAGTGCCGAGGTAAGGCAGGTGCAGCAGTCGAGGTGGAGGGTGAGGGGGTCTCTAGGCGCCTCTTTGTCAACTGTAAAGCACAACTGTGCTGGTTAGGTTGTCTGTTCCAGAAGATTCTTCTTCATGATACTCAAGGTGTAAGCATCAGAGATCTAGCACCTGTAACCCTGCAGATGAACCTAGGTCACAAAGTGTGCGGGCCTGCTCCTCCAGCCCCAAACCTAGCAGAACACTGGTTGGCGCACGCCTGCGTGCATGCCACAAAATCACATGGACTTGCGTTCTTCAATGCTGTTAACCCAAAAGGGACCATAGCGATTTAGCTTTCTGCAAATGGGTTTCTGTGCACTCTGCATAAGATTTGGTGGCCAGCGTCCTTGGTGATTCTATTAAGGCCATTCACTTGCTGATGGTGAAAGCTCTTGGTGTGTCTGTGTGTCGTGTGCACTTGTACACATGAGTGTGTATCCTGACAGTGCTCCCATCCTGGAGTTTGAGCGTGATGGCAGAGCCTTTGCACAAGCGAAGGGAAAAGGGGACGTAGGATGGGAGTTTAGGAATGAACCCAGACTGCCTTGGGGTAAAGCTTTTTTCTTTTAAAAACAACTGAGGGAAATTCGACAATTTCTTAAGAAACCAAAACTTACTCAAGTAGTGAATCATTATGATTGCTTAATGTCTATGTTGTTGCAATTTTTTTTCAAGCTGGCCAATGATTTTTTTTTCTTGATGAAGATCCTGACATGAAAGAATTTATGAACCCTGTTTCCTATTTGGTTGTCTTCAAGTTTTTAATTTTTAACTGAGGGTAAATATTTTCGAGTTCTCTAACTGTTCTTTGATTTATTATCTTTGTTGTCCATCTAGAATTAGAGCTCTCTGATGAGCTGTAAAGTTGAGAATGACTTTTTCCCCCCTGTACTTAACAATGGCAGCAGGAAGTCATCCAGAACTTGGAGTGAGCAATTCATTACCTCCTGTGAAAGATCAGAACCTGGAAACTCCGGGTTCCTTCACAGTGCAAACCCATCAGCAATTCCTGAACAGCTGGAAAATGCTAAACAGAGACAAGGTCAAACAAGACCACATATGATTGATTTTTTTCAGATTTGTTTTTCTTGGAAAGGCAGATTTACAAAGAGAAGGAAAGAACAATCTCCCATCTGCTAGGAGAGCTGAGCCAATTAGCAGCCTCCTCCAGGTCTCCCAAATGGGTACAGGGTCCCAAGGATTTGGATCACCCTCCATTACTTTCCCAGGCAGCAAAGAGCAAGAGAGAAAGTGGAGCAGCGTGACAAAAACCAGCACCCAGATGGGATACCAGCACTTGCAGGCAGAGGATCAGCCAATTGAACCATCATGTTGGCCACGATAATTGATTTTATGAGCTAAGACACAGCCAGAGGGGTGGATAGGGACATCTTAGGGTAGATGTCACAGTGCTGTTCTCTGTGTCCACAACCAGCCTCTAGCGCAGACATCTGGTTTGAAGGGAACTGGATCTTAGCATTTGCATTAGCAGGCACTGACATCCATCCCTTGGGTCAGTTCCCTGGAGGTTGGCTTGGAATCTGGCTTTTCCAGAACTCTAAGCCCGATGTTATTACAGTCTCCTTTCTTGCAATGCCTGCGGGCTTGATTGCTCCCCACTGCCTCCCGCCCAACCCCCTCCCGCCCACCCTGGTTGTTTCTACCCAGGTTGTATCAGCCTGTGTGTCGTAAAACAGCTCTGGCTGCCGCAGCCTCCTGACCTTTCGCTCCGTGTTGGCCATCCTGTAAAGCCTGGCTGTAGGAGTAAGAGCCAATCGGAGAATTGTTCATGGAGTCCTCGGAGCTTTGTCTCTGACCCTTTTATCTGGTCTCTAAACTTTTGCCTCTTAATGTATTGACAAATCATAGCTTATGGCAACTGTATCAACTTGCTTGGGCCAAAAGTTAGGCTCTGTTTTGGAAACTTTGCCGAGTAAGACTCTCGGCAGTTTCTTTGTTTGTTCTCTCCAGAGGAAAGGTCAGCCCGTGGCATAAGACTCTGATTGTAGGAGAACCAAACAGGCATGAAGACAACCAACCCAGCATGTGGTGCAAAGCAGCGTGGTTTGGGTACGGAGCCCATATGGGATGCTGGCCCCCACAGGCAGAGGCTTAGCTTGCTATGTAACCACGCCGGCCCCGTCATAGATCATTTTCAAACAATATGTGTGAAGAATGTGCCTTCTTCCCAGGAGTCTGAATCTGCACATCCCTTTGGCCCACTGCTCTTAAAGAAAAGTAGTTAAAAGACTGATAGAGGAATTGTACCTTTGCTAAGGTGTGGTTGCCTTGGAGGACACTAAATTCTAGACTGAAGGGACAGTTTCCTTCTGCTTTCCTGCCACACTCTGTCCTTTGTCCATACTCACATGTGGCTTTCCTTAAAAGTGGGGATCAGAAAGCCCCTTCTCAAAGGGTGAACATCTAAGGTGGAGTTGTTCTGATGTTGCTCTGGCACATCAGTGTTATAACATGCCATGCATCATTTAGGGCATTTCCTCATCTGCTATTTCTCTGCTTTGTGTGATGTTGTCTCGGCTGGGATTGGGGGTATTTGGAAGTCGGGGAGGGGTTGCGGGAGAGAATTGAGACTGTCACCATGTTGGAGCACTCATTATCTTAGTGACTTGGGATCTAACAACCAAGGAAGGACCCGTGTCCCACAGTGCTTACTGCAGGTTCTCAAACTAGAATGTGTTGGATCCCAAGAGCTTTGAGCCCTGTGGAAGAGGCCAACCGCCTACAAGACACCCAGAGGGAGAGAACGGAGTTGTAAGGGACTGTAGTCACAGTGGGAAATAGGAAGAACAGAACTCGAAAGGGCGGGCCTGGAAGCCAGCGAGGAGAAAAAAGATGGATCATCCAGACTGACAAACAGGGGAAAACAGATCTATGCATTTTAGTCTTAGATTATGTCATGAATTACCAGATACATTTTCCTTTGAAATTGTCTATCGGATTGCACAGAGTTAAACTGGCTGATACCACCTAGCCAACAATCTACTTCTAGAAAGCGTTAGGTCACGGCTGGCTCTTCTCTTTATGGAAAAGAAATGCAGTTATGTAAAAGACAAATGAGTTGGGTCTCCAAGTTTGAAAACCTTGAATGTTCCTATTGTCTGCGCGGGTTGGAGCTCTTGGCCTAGGGAGTCAAACTTGAACAAGCCCCCCACTGTCCTGGGACAGAGAGAGACTTCAGACCGCCCACCACAGCGCACGCTCAGCAAATTCCAGCCTGGAGCTCTGCATTCTTCCCCGAGGAGTCGAAGGGTCACACACTGAATTGTTTTGTGGATTCTCAGATAGCAGAAGAAATGCTTTCCTCTTGAGCCCTGGTTCTTGGAAAAAGCCAGTGGTGGAAATCCCAAGCCGATTGGCAGTGTGGAAGCACAGGCGAGAGGCCCTGGGCAGCAGCTGCCTTCCTGTCTGGCCTGTTTTCCTGGGAATATTTCTTTAGGAGAAAAAGGACAGGTCACTTCCTCACCCATAAGGTCTCTACAGAGCCTGTGTTCTTTATTCTGTTTGATCATTACTGTTCATTTCCAGTTGCAGAGCTGGGGTCTGGGGAAGGCAGCCTCTATCCACAGCCCCAGATAGAGTGGATGCTTGGATTTTTTGATATGCATAGCATTGATACCATCAGGTGTTGTTATCAGAATAATTTGGTGCCACTGAGGCTTGGGACCATAAGCCAGGATGGAGTGGTACTGGCCATGATAGGTCATTGTGGTTAGAGCTGTAGGCAAGGACACTGCTCACCTTGGCACACTGACCTTATTAGGCTAGTAAGGAATCAGGACAAAGGGGCGTCGAAGACCACACTGTGTTGGTTATATCTGGCATTTTAAAAAGTCTTTTATCTGTACCTGGTGTGGCAGTTCAATGGCTAAATTCTTGCCTTGCATGCACTGGGACTCCATATGGGTGCAGCTTGGTGTCCAGCCGCTCCTCTTCCCATCCAGCTCCCTGCTTGTGGCCTGGGAAAGCAGTAGAGGATGGCCCAAAGCCTTGGGACCCTACAACTGGTTGGGAGACCCGGAAGAAGCTCCTGGCTCCTGGCTCCTGGCTCAAGATCGGCTCAGCTCTGGCCATTGCAGCCACACGGGGAGTGAACCAGGTGGCTGCAACAGCCAAGGTGGGCTCAGGCCAAAGTCACGAACTCCATCCTAGTCTCCACCTAGTGGGTGGAAGGGGGTCCGTGTACTTGGACATTAGCAGGGAGCTGGATCAGAAGTGGAGCGACTGGGATGTACACCCGATGCCCATATGGGATGCCAGCATCAGAGGTGGTAGGTAGCCTAACACGCTAGGCCACCATGGATTGTTTGGGCTAGGTTGACTGTATTTTACTTTCTGTTGGTGACCAGCTAGTGTAGGCGATGCCAGGAGCTGTGCATTTTGTGCTTTGTATTTGGCCGGATGCGACCTGAATCATCTTGGGGAAGTGGATGCTAGAGAAGGGCAGAGACAGGCCCAAGGTGTGGTGCTGGGTCAGGGTCCTGGCCTAGCATTTCTCTGCTGGGAATCTTGGGGCAGGTTATGCGAGCCCTCTCACTGTGTTGTTGTATCTGAGGTCATTACATCTGCATGTTGCCACTGTAAGGGTTCAATGAGATAATACATATAAGCCATCCCTGTAATGGGAGTGCCAACTGTGTAGTCAGCAACTGATGTCAGCTGCTCATTTTAAAGACCGACTAGTATTGTTAAGAAAAGTGTGAGGCCCTGCGTGTGCTGGGAAAACTACTGCGGCCTCCTGGTGGAAGGCCACTGTCCTGTCCTGGGTGATGGGTGTCTTCTAGCGGGAACAGTGACCTGGAATCCTTAGAGCCAAGTCTGATCACTGAGGCTCAGGATGGTGGTCAGCCAGCATCTCTGTTTTCCCATCTAGCCTGCGACTGTGACCCCAGGGGCATTGAGACGCCGCAGTGTGACCAGTCCTCAGGCCAGTGTGTCTGCGTGGAGGGCGTTGAGGGTCCCCGTTGTGACAAGTGCACCCGTGGGTACTCGGGGGTGTTCCCCAGTTGCACGCCCTGCCACCAATGCTTCGCTCTCTGGGACGTCATCATCTCTGAGCTCACCAACAAGACCCACAGATTCCTAGAAAGAGCCAAGGCCTTGAAGATCAGTGGCGTGATCGGGCCCTACCGGGAGACCGTGGACTCAATAGAGAAGAAGGTCAACGACATAAAAGACATCCTGGCCCAGAGCCCCGCAGCCGAGCCGCTGAAAAACATCGGGAATCTCTTCGAGGAAGCAGAGTGAGTCTTCTCTGAGCCATGTCATGGCTCCCGATGTATTTTGCTTTTCAGCTTTGATGAAGTCACAGTGGGAGGGTTTCCCAGCCTGGTGCTTCTGCCAAAGGGTTTGATTAGTCCTGGGAGTAAAACCAGATTGTAGGCCAAGCGTTTTCCTTGGTCCTGACCCTGGGCATTTGGGTGAGTGAATGCTGGCATGTCGCTGGGAACTGAATCTCTGGAGACTGTGGTGTCCACTGTGCATGTTGTGCTCACACCCGCGCTTTGCAGAATCATGCTCTCACGCAGCTGTGTCTGCTGGGAAGAACTGAGACCAGAGTCCCATACCTGTGTCTCCTGTCATGTGTTGGGGTTATGAACAATAGAATGCATAAATCTTCACTTTCCCTCCTGGGGAGAAAACAGGGGATCATACTTGCCATGACCTTGCAGATTAACAAAAGTGTTAATGTTTGAGATGATAACATTGCAAAGAAAGCATGGTGTGAACATATGGCTACTTCTAGGGCAGGTCCGTTACTATAGAATGGACTCGTTATTTCCCAGTTCCTTGTGCTGCTCAACTGCTAGTCTCTAGACCAGGGCTGCAGACCTCCTTGGAAATCTGGAAGCTTCTTTACAGTGCCCAGGACTCTGCCTGGCTCGTGGTGGTTTTCCTGAGGACAGCAGGTAACTGAGCTGATCCCTGACTTCTTAGGGAGTGTCTTTCTGCCTGTTCTTCCAGCCTCACCCCTCCTGCTCTTGAACAGCCCCAACTCCCTTTGTTTAAAAAAAAAGAAAAGAAAAACAGTGCAAGATTATTAGGGAGCTGCAAAAAGCTATCAGGGAAGCACTTGAGCCCCGGGTGCTCCAGGTTTTTTTTCTAGGCATGAATGAGAGTGGTGTTTCACAGCTAAACATGGATGTGTAGAAGGGGATTTGACGTGCTGACAACTTCAGCAGTTTACTGCACGTGACTGACCTTGGGTCAGTGTCTAGGAGGCCAGGTGGGCTGTGTCCATCAGGCTGCGTGTGAGAGGCAGGAAGGGAACAGCAGACATTCTTAGCTCAAGTAACAATCCAGGGAGCGCATCCAGTGCAACAGGCCTTGAGCCGTCTGCATTCCTTATGAGAGGCCAGAGTTTGTGTCCTGACTCTGCTTCCAATGGCAGCTTCTTGATAATGCACACCCTGGGAGGCAAAAGATGCTTTAAAGCTGGGGCCCGTCTGTTCACCTGGAAGACAATGATTGGGTCATACAGCCTCCTGGCTTCCAGCTGGCCCGGCGCTGGCATTTGGAACTCCAGCCGTGGGCGCAAGATCTTAGAACCTCTTCTTATTCTTTTCTTTCTCCTTCCCTCCCCCAACCCCTACCCTCTCTCTTCCTTTCAGGTAAAATGAAAATAAGTAGTTTTGTGGCTCAAGGCCACATGGTTGTTATGGATGATAGGCCGTGTGTGTTGTGAGGTGAGCACTCAACAAGCGCATCATACAGATATCACAAAGGCCCATATGGGCTACTGGTGCAGGCAGAGGATTAGCCCGTCACATCACCGCATGGCCACAGTGCCAGTCTCTTCGTTAATTTTTTGATGCCTTTTGTGCGTGTTTGTGTGTATACACAAACACATATGTGTTGGTGAAACCTTGGAGATAGGAAAGTACAGAGCAAAGGACAGTTTTTCGATTCCAAATAAAATTATGAAAACTAAACATCAGCACATTTCATCATCAGTAGATGGCACTTCTCTTTTGAAAAAATTTTTTAAGATTTTATTTTTTATTGGAAAGTCAGATATATGGAGCAAAGAGACAGATAGGAAGGTCTTCCATCCATTGATTCATTCCCCAAACGACCACAACGGCCAGAGCTGAGCTGATCCGAAGCCAGGGGCCGGGAGCCTCTTCTGGGTCTTCCGTGTGTGTGCAGGGTCCCAAGGCCTTGGGCCATCCTCAATTGCTTTCCCAGGCCACAGGTGGGGAGATGGATGGAAAGTGGGGCCGCCAGGATTAGAACTGGTGCCCATATGGGATCCTGGTGTGTGCAAGGCAAGGACTTTAGCCACTAGGCTACCATGCCAGGCCAAACAGCACTTCTCTTTAGGAAAGTGTGCCTGGTGACAGGAGGTGGTTCCAGTGATGCCCCCTGGCCTGAAGGTTAGGCCCCTCTGCCGGGCCACAGGGCTCTCTGCATGCCGCATCTCGAAGAAGGTCCCTGAGGCTTAGGGACATTTATCCGGGGTGGCTGGAAGGCCACATACTTGACCAGAGATGTGACTGTCCCATGCATACTACCTCACAGCACAGACTGAAAGTCCTGCAGGCCGTCTGATGCCACAGCGTGGCTGTGTGCACTGCTGTTTCTCACTTCACAACTCTTAGCAGCAAGGATCACTGTTTGGCTTTTTTCTCAAGACACAACTGCTGGAGCTGTGCCAATTTGTACCCAGGAGTCAGGAGCTTCTTCTGAGTCTCCCACATGAATGCAGGGGCCCAAGGACTGTCCTCTGCTGCCTTCTCAGACCATAAGCAGGGAGCTGGATTGGAAGTAGAGCAACTGCAACATGAAATGGTGCCCATATGGGGTTTGGCGCTTGCAGGTGGAGGATTAGCCAATTAAGCCATGATGCCAGCCCCAATCGTTAAGATTTTAGAATGAGAGCAGTACCTATGTCCTGTCTGCTACAATTGAGTTGGATTGAAACAACAGTGATGGATATAGTGTCAATAGAAAATGTACAAGATACCTCTCCTTTGCTTTATTTTACATAGGTCAGCTTATCTTTCCTTTTTACAGGAAACTCAGCAAAGATGTTACAGAGAAGATGGCCCAACTAGAAGTGAAGTTATCCGATACGACTGAGCAAAGCAACAGCACGACCAGAGAGCTGGAGTCTCTGCAGGCAGAGGCGGAGAGTCTCGGCAACACCGTGAAAGAACTTGCTGAACAACTTGAGTTTATCAAAAACTCTGATATCCGAGGTAAGCATTGTCATGCCAACATACAGTTCTTGACACTGGGTTTTAGCTTTCTCTTCTGTGGATACAGTGGCTTCATGCAAAAAAAAAAAAAAAAAATTAAGTGCTTCCTACAAAATGAAAACTCAGTCTCTGGCCCAGTGAAGGATGAAGTCTTCATTTGACCCAGTGTGGGACTCAGGGCATAGGGAAATTAAGGAGGCATGCCATGGTTCCTGGGAGTGAATGGCATTGTGTTAGAGTGGTATCCATGCTCTGCTTTTTCCAGTGAGTAGTTGAAACCCTGACCTTTTGTAGAAGAGTAGCTTTTTTTGATGGTTACAATATTCAGTTGCTACTTCTGCAAGTCCTTTGACGTTTCGGAATGTTGACTGATCACGAAATAATTTTTTGCCAAGTCCTCCACTTTGGGCTATTGTATTGGCTGTATCAAATCCTCTCAATATCAGATCACATTAGCCATCCTGCTTTATTATTTACAGTTGCTCTTTTGTTTAAGTAGGTCCTTAAGATGCTAAACCATCCCACGCTGTTTTCAGGTGCCCCATAACTAGCCCTTTGAGTGGATCTGAGTAAATGACAAGGAGAAGGGAACATTCATCTGGACAGATATTTCACAGGCTGCCAGATAGTAGCCACTGAGAAAGCTGCAAACTGGGGCCTGTGTGCAGGCCTCTGAGTGGTCAACTTATTTTTCAGTTTTCACCCAGATGGTCTGGCATCCCTCAGAGCTAGGTAAGGTGCTAATGGAACAGAACTATTCATTAGTCTCAAGGAGCAAGCTCTGCCTCTGAAGATTTTAAAAAGTGACAGTAAATTGAATGCCAAAAGACACCAACTGTGGGGGTGACTTGGTGAGGATGCCCAGTACACTGGTATTGAGTGGTGGGCACTGTCCTTTCTTTCCTGCCCTAGGTGCCTTGGATAGCATTAACAAGTATTTTCAGATGTCCCTTGAGGCAGAGGAGAGGGTGAATGCCTCCACCACAGATCCCAACAGCACGGTGGAGCAGTCGGCTCTCATACGGGAAAGAGTGGAAGACCTGATGATGGAGCAAGAATCCCGGTTCAGAGAAAAGCAAGAGGAGCAGGCTCGCCTTCTTGATGAACTAGCAGGCAAACTACAGAGCTTAGACCTTTCAGCTGCTGCAGAGATGGTAAGGTTTGGGGGGTTGGCCTCATTTCTGTAGTGCGAGGAGGAAAAGAAATTCCCACCCCGCCCTCTTGTTAGCATTTAGTTGCTCAGTGGCACCTGCTCTCTGTCCTGCAGTGTGGGATTCTCCTGACTCGTGCATGGCCAGGCTAGGTTAAAGCAGCAGGTGCATTTCCAGCCCTCTCCCCTCCCAGCCATTTTTCTGGAGCCCAGCAGGACATTACCACTTGTGCCTGCTGTTATGGTCTCTTGAGTTGCTTGCTCAAACTTTAACCATTGTTATTGTTGGGATGTAGCAAAACCTATTTCGGTGGAAGAAATTATAATGGTTCTGGCACGGCCTTCCTGAAAGAATGCAAGGATGTAAAGCATTTTTATTTCCATTGATATTAGCTGAACTGTCCCTTTGTTCCAAGTAACTTTACCTGGTGAAGATTAACCATGCAATTTTAAGAGGTAGATTCATTTCCTTAGAAGCTTTTAAAAAAGAACTCTGGGGCCAAATGAAATCTAGCACCAAGTTTAATGAACATTGGGCAGAAGACCAGAAAAGCTGAACCACCTGCTCCTTCTCCCGTTCCTTTCCTAAGGAAGGGTGCCCGCTGGAGAGAACCTGGAGGCTATTTTTTCACAGACTAAGGCTTGTGCTCACTAAGCTTTGGATTCAAACTTGCTCTGTTCAAATGAAAGCCTCACCCTCACTTTCTTGGGTCAAGACAAAAATAGGCTGTTTCACATTCATTTCCTTACAAAACCTGACAGCATCCATTGGAAATAGGGACCAGGTTGATGTCTTCTCAGCACTGGATGAAAATGCAAGGCAGAATAAAAAAAAAGAAGGGCCAGAGTCATGTGAAAATGACCCCTACCAACCAGTTGACAAAGCTACTCTATACAGGCATGAAATCCCATCCTCCCATTTCTTTCCTTCCAGTTGTAATTCGGTCGCTAAAAGCCTGGTCTCTGAAAACAAGAATATTCACAGCCTACACTGGGAAGCAACCATGTGGGGGACAGGCAAGGGGTGCTGGAGGCTTCCCTGTGCTTGCTCCTGCAGCTGGCTAGCTTGGGCTTGGCTGGCTTCCCTGATTCTCTTCGAGCTCTCTGTATAGGCTCCATACAGTTGGCTCCTACTATAGAAACAGGTGTTTGACCATTTGTGTTTTTCCAGTTCCTTGTCTTTGTGGATGTGTAGCTGGGTCCATGCGCCCTTTGAAAGTTTTTCCTCCCACTTTCCATGCCTGCCTCCGTTGAAACAAAGCATGGTGTGTGCTGTCTAACTGCTTTATGCAGAGCACCCTGAGACTGTTATTGCGGGTTTTCAGAGACTATGGTGTTATAAGCTATTGGGTCAAAGAGTTGATTCTACTTATGTGAAATCTGACAAACTCTGCTTTCCTTGCTTGGAAATAAACTGACAGTTGCTTTTCGCTGCAGTAACCATCTTGCCATCTCCCTGCAAAAGGATGACTCTAAATTCCCTGTCAAGCGTTTTTCATCACACAGCATACTTCCTACAGTATCAGTTTACATTTGTGTGTCAGTCGGGAAGTTTCCACCGGACTGGAAAGGAAGCGGATGCTGTGATGATCTGTAAAAGCTGCATCCACCTTTGTGCCTTGTTTTCTCCTCGCTCTCATCTGCAATGCCCCACACTGCTTCCCATGTTCAAATTCCACCCCAGAGACTGCAATCTGGTTTCTCCCTTGCCTACTCTCCTCCATTCATCTGATCTTGACTGTTAAGGAGAAATCTTACCAACCGCATGTGAAGTTACTTGTTACTCGAAGTTACTGGTTACAATGCTAGCTACTAGGACTTTTGTGGCTCTGTGCTCACCACAGTGGTTAACAAGTAAAACAAGTTCATAGTATTGATTTTAAAAAAGCCAACTGGTTCCAAGGAAGAAAGTAGCATTATTTAGCTCTTGTACAGGCAGAACTGAATGTGGTACAGCTACCAGTGTTGGCACCCTGGGCAGAGCTCCACATGGTCCTCTGAGTCAGTCATTTAGGCAGAAGGTATTGAGGGACTGTCCAGCTTCATTGGCAGTAAGCAGGTTAGCTTATCCCTAAAGGTTTTGTTCTTTCCACCCTGGATCCCACACATATTTTTAAGCACCCTTGCTGAGGACCACCTACATGCTGTCTGGGGCCACCCAGGGCCTGCACAGCTGTGAGGCTGCAGCAGCCTCACTATTCGCACCCATGCCTGCTCCTTGGTTTGTTGCAGACCTGTGGTACGCCTCCAGGGGCCTCCTGTTCCGAGACTGAGTGTGGCGGCCCCAACTGCAGAACTGACGATGGAGAAAAGAAGTGTGGAGGACCTGGCTGTGGCGGGCTGGTCACCGTGGCCCACAACGCCTGGCAGAAAGCCATGGATTTTGATCAAGAAGTCCTGAGCGCGCTGGCCGAAGTGGAACAGCTCTCCAAGATGGTAATTCAGGGAACTGCCTAGATTTTGTTTCGTTTCTTTGCAGATCTGAATAGCAGAAGCCCATTCCATGAAAGAGGATTTCCTAATCAAATAAGAAAGCTCATGTTGCTGGGGGAGTCAGGGAGAAGGGGGCGGTTTCTTCACAGAGCTGAAGGATCCATTTCCTCCTCCTTCACAAGGAAGTTAACATGTTGTGCTTACAACAGGAAGCCGAAATCTTAAAATGACTAAATTGCTGCTTTTTACATGGGTCCAGGGTTATGAGATCATCCAGCTGTGACACAAAGATTCTTTTACACACAATCTTACCTGAAGTATTTGCATTGTTTGGGAAGAGTTAAGCAACCTGAAAAATATTTTAAATGCGAGCTGTATCTGCAGTTAGTATTAAATCGACATACTGAGTAATTTCTATCAAATAGGACTATAGCACTTGGTTGAACGGGACGATCTGCTATTCTACACTTGATCTTGGCCAAAAGGCCGAGAAGTGACACGATTTGCTGTTGTAAATGGTCTGTCGACACTGTTTTCTGGACTGAGTGAAACCTCAATGGATGAGATGACTGGTTCTTCACATTTAGGTTTCTGAAGCCAAACTGAGGGCAGATGAGGCAAAACAGAATGCTCAAGATGTTTTGTTGAAAACTAATGCTACTAAAGAAAAAGTGGACAAGAGCAACGAGGATCTGAGAAACCTAATCAAGCAAATCAGAGACTTTCTGACACGTAAGCACTTTTCCATTTCATGTTACTTTTGGGATATCTGTTTCTCAGATGAGAGGCCAAATTCAAAACTACATTGTACATAAATCAACTTCTTACAGAGTATAAAGCAACATGTCTGAAAATGAAAACTATTCAAGTGAGGACATATTTTAAACTTATGTAAGTAACCTTGTTGGTTATTGTGCACAGGATACTGAAGTAGTAGGTATGAAGCCAGACATATACTGTGATAATCTGGAATCTGTCATCAGAACCTTAATTCAAGGAAGAGGGACTAGTTATCTTGGCATTACCCCAAAACTTAAAAAGAAAAATTGCAAAGGTCTGTTTGAGTTTTCTTCCAGCCACTGGTTCACCCCCAGGTGCCTACAGCAGCCAGGGCCAAGCCAGACTGCAGCCAGTAGCCCAAGTACTTGGGCCATCGCTGCTGTGTTCAGAGGAGCATCACCGGGGAAGATCAGAAGTGGCATAGCTGGCTAATTCTCTGCCCTGTCACACCAGCATCCCATATGGGCAACAGGTGGAGTAGTCCCAGATACTCTATTTCCAATCTGGCTCTCTGCTTATGGCCTGGGAAAGCTGAGGATGGCTCAAGTCCCTGGGACCCTGAACCCATATGGGAAACTTCCCTGGCAGCCCTAAGGAGCCCTGATCAATAAATATTACTAGAGAATGGAAATTGATTACAATAATTGAAGAGTAATTAGGATTTAATGCTCAATTGATTTTAGCTATTCTTACAGGTAACGTTCATACAACACTGTCTCATTCTAGAAAAAACAAAACAAAGGGAGACTGGCTAATGAAAGCCAGTGGTTTCTGCCGAGAACACCTTTGGGATTATCCTGTGGAAACGATCCTAAGTGGCAGTCTGAAAAAAGTTCACAGTGTAAATAATTGAGGATCTGGGCTTGGAGTTGTGGGGTAACAAGCAAAGCCACGGGGCTGCTGGCTGCTCGCTAATAAAGCTCTAGAAGGAACGAGGTCTGACACACCTGAAATCCCTGCCCCTTGGTCACAGACTTTGGTTCTCCTGCTTCTCACTGGATTTCCCCTTTCTGTCATCTCCTGAATCTAGTCCCTAAGGAACACCAGCCCTTTTTTATCTGTATTTGCGTAGTTCCTGCTGTAAACCCTGGCCTGCTTTTCCACAATCTGAACCACTCACTCCCCTAGGCTGTCACTGCTATCATCTTCTGCCCACACTGTCTCCACTCAGAAATGTCAACTCCTCATCAGTTCCTCATCCTACCACAATGTCTAGCAGTACTGGTCTCCCCACCTCCACCCCCCGCCCCAAACCATGACACAGTAGGAACCTGTCTCGTGGTCTGAGCCTCCAGCACCCATTTCTCTAGTGGAGGACAAGTGGTTGGGTGCAGTGAGCCGTCTGATGCTCATGAGTTACCTTTGCTCTTGGCAGAGGACAGTGCTGATCTGGACAGCATTGAAGCGGTGGCAAATGAAGTGCTGAAAATGGAAATGCCCAGCACCCCGGAGCAGTTACAGAACCTGACGGAAGATATCCGGGAGCGGGTGGAGAGCCTTTCGCAAGTAGAGGTCATTCTACAGCAGAGTGCGGCTGACATTGCCAGAGCTGAGACGCTGTTAGAAGAAGCTAAAAGGGCCAGGTAAATGAGGACATGATGGGGAGGAGGACAGTGTGCACAAAACCGAGGACTGCTTTAATCAGCGCAAGTTCTCTGACCCGCGGAAGCCTCTTTGGTAAATGTTTTTCCAGAAAGTACATTCTTGCTATACTGTCTCATTCTTTTACTTTTTTAGTAAAAGCGCAACTGATGTCAAAGTCACCACAGACACGGTAAAGGAAGCTCTAGAAGAAGCAGAAAAAGCCCAGACTGCTGCGGAGAAAGCAATCAAACAGGCGGACGAAGACATCCAAGGGACCCAGAACCTGCTGACCTCAGTAAGCTGCCACTCCATTACTGCCATGTGGCAGGAAATGCCCACCTTACTCTTGGATCACAGAAATAATTTTGACAGTGACCTCTGAACAGAAATGCTTACAACTGAAAGGACTCCTTTAATTTAAGCAAATACTTAGCAAACGCTAGATTGAGCAGAAACATATTTTCAAGGGAAAGACTTCAGCCTCTTCATCTGTCCCTCCCAGAGAGTCGAAGGAAGATGAACCCCCCGTACTTTGAGGAAGCGTGGACTGTTAAGTCACAGGAGGGGCAGTGCTGCTTTCACTCTCCAGTTGTACAGAGAGTGCCCTGCTCTTGTCATACAGTCCCAAAGACCAGTGTCCTGAGATTCTGGTGATCATTCTAAAAAATTCTACTCTGAATCTTGCGAAACAAGAAAGGTTTCCAGTGTCCTACTCTGTAGAAAACACATCTGTTAAACAATCTTTGGTTTACTTGGAAAAATTAATGCTTTATTGCATGCAGAATACTTGGAGACTAAAGAAATCTGTAAGAAAATACAGATGTAACTCAGACTTTTCTTTCCAGAAAGCAGCCTGTTAAGTAACAGTTTTCCATCCAGTCTGCATGTCCTCAGAGGATCTGTGACAGATGACTGTAGTACCCAAGACATCACCTCTCCTGGCCAACCTTCCATATAGTTAAAGCTCGGGAGATGGACTCTCAGGGTGCCTTTCCTACCCACACCTCTACAAACCTGCCTGGCCCTATCACGCTGCTCTCAGTGAAACGAGACCCAACAATTCCTCAGCCACTATTTTCTCAGAATTACAATACTGAAGTTTTTAAATCAGTCGGTGAACCTGCAGGGTGAAATAATTTGATTTGAAATATTTACAAATTTTAGCACATGATTATGCTGATTAATCAGTTCCATTCCAACAGAGTTGTTTAGGCCCATACTTTAATTTTTAAGAAAGCTGCTGATTCTTTCACAAGCTAGACTGCTTATTTTGGCTAGCACTGAAAAGTTCATGTCTGCTGGGGGAGTTTACACAGAAATCCCTCTTCTTGTAGCTGCTTATCTGTGTGTGTTCTTTAGCCAAAGCTTGCAGGTGTCCCTAAAATGCTTTCTCAGTACATGACAATTCCCAGGGGTAGTTAATATTGACACTTTGTCAACCTCAGCCTAGATAATCAGAAGTACCAGATAATAACAACATGCATACATGAGTTATAGCACAGACTAAATGACAATTCATATAAGCTCTACTGAAATTGTATCTTGTTTTTAGTAATTACTTTTTTGGGTCTAGAGTAAGATGGCAGGGCAGTCCTTCAAGTCTTCCTCTCAGACGGTAGTGGTCCCTATCTTAAACTAACAGCTCGTGCCATGACTCTTGCCCCTTGCAGATTGAGTCTGAAACAGCAGCTTCTGAGGAGACCCTGTTCAACGCCTCCCGGCGCATCAGTGAGCTGGAGAGAAACATGGAAGAACTGAAGCGGAAGGCTGCCCAGAACTCCGGAGAGGCCGAATATATTGAAAAAGTAGTGCACTCTGTGAAGGAGAGTGCAGATGAAATCAAGAAGGTATGGAGATGTTCATGACTTCACAGACTGGAAGGACTATGAGCTTAAAATGTTTGTTCACAAGACATAGCCCCTCGACCTGCAGCTGCATAAAGGAAAACAGAGGGGAGGGTGTGAAGTGCCCCAATTAGCAAGACCTGGGCTCTCACACCCAAACCTGGGCTGTAAGTCTTAAAATAAGCATACTGAACTTGTGTTGCCTTATTTAACTTAATTTTTTATTTTATGATACAATTCTACGGGTCTTCCCAAACTGTCCCACCCTCAATTTTCCCTGTATTATTACAATATTATTGTATTTAGGATAATCTTAAGGGCATGTTGTAATTAGCTGGCCATTTGAGAATACTCTGAAAGCAGAATGGAAAAAGAAAACATTACTATGAACAGCTTAGGAGGAAATCAAATCTGGACTGAATCTTTCAGTCTTAATGTTGAGTCAGCAACTCCTTGCCACATTTTGCAAGGAAAAATCTCATGCAACCCAAATGTGCAGCTAGGAGCCAAGAACCAACCGAAGCTCCACGCTCACTTCCTAAATTCATATGGGCACGTTTACCTCCAGAGACAGCTTTAACTTAGGGTGGTGATACTGTCCAACCCCCCATGCTCTTCTGAAAGGCTACAATTACTTCCATGAGAAATTCTGAACCTCCCCCCGCCACACACAAGTTTTTGACATGCCTCTTGGTTGAGGAAGACAAAATAGCAGCTGTGTCTTCTGAGGCCACTAAGAGCATCATCTCCCAAGTGAGAACAGAACTGAAACGTCCACAATAGCCACTGCTTGCATAGTGAATCATGTGACCCATCTTTCCCAATCACAGCCCATTTCTCTCCTCAGCCACTGTCTGCGTGTCCAGTGCCTCACCCCTCCTTCTTCCATCTCCTGTAAAATCTGCCTTTTCTCTGTGACTTTCTGGCTTCAAGTCCGCACAAGCCTTCCGTTAGCCAATAACCAGATGGACTGTTGGCCATTTCTTTGGCTCATCTACTCTACTCATCTATACTTTATCTGTAAAGTGCTAACCAAAAGAGAAAGAGCCCTGATACAAATCTGAAATGTTTAAAACATTTTAGAAACTCATGTCAATTGGACATTAAATGCCAAGGTCTTGGGGTGTTTTTAAATTACCTGCCATTGAATATCCTGATGAAACCTGACCAGCCGTGGTGGCTCTGACCCAGAACGCCATGTGAGCTTGCTGTGATTGCGTTACTCTTCTGAGATATCATCACTGATACTATTGCCTTTGTGTCTAAATGATGAAACTGCAGACTCTCGACGGTGAACTTGGGGAAAAGTACAAGCAAGCAGAAAATATAGTTGCTAAAAAATCTGAAGAGTCAGCTGACGCCAGAAGGAAAGCGGAGATGCTGCAAAACGAAGCAAAAACACTTCTGGCTCAAGCGAACAGCAAGCTGCAGCTGCTAAAAGGTGGGTCATTTCACTGGTGTGTTTGGGAAGAGCTGTTTCATCTAAAGGGTGAAAACTTACCGCCAACCTAGAACCTTCCAAGGCAAAGACTGTATAGCACTGATTTTTTAAAAAAAATCTTAATTGTTCCAACATTTCTTGTTTTTCAGATTTAGAAAGAAAATATGAGGACAACCAAAAATATTTAGAAGATAAAGCTCAAGAACTAGTGAGGTTGGAAGGCGAGGTCCGCTCACTCCTAAAGGACATAAGCCAAAAAGTTGCTGTTTACAGCACCTGCTTGTAACACAGGAGCGCGTGCCACTAGAGCTGACCAAAGCCAAGCAGCCACATGATGAAAAGCTGAATGAGCGTCAAAACACTCATGACCTATTTAATATTTTTAATTGACAAACTTTGTATGGAGCCAAATAAAATAGTGCTTTTGTATAAACATGTAACTCTTAAAATTCATTGTTACTTTTACTGATTTAGTGATCACCAATCCTTTTATTTGAAGAATGTTATTTGCACTATAAACGGATTTATAAATAAGCTTACTGCCTCCATGAAGACCTTAATTTTTGTTCAGTCTGTAAATAAACTATTGCTCACCAGCTTCTTAGGCCAATAGCCTCCTCCTAAGACCCTCCTGGGAGGGCCATGTTGGGGAGGATAAGGAGGAAGACAGCCCGGTGCCCCTTCACCATTTCAGAGGCTGCTCAGCTGCACCCATCTCAATAAAGTATTCCTTGCTCCAGAAACAAAAAGTAATGGCTTCTAGAAAGTCAGGAGGGTATACTGGGGCTTGTCCTTTGTGCCGCCTAGGATAGGAAAGGTTTGAGTTAAATTAGGCTAGAGTTTTCACACACTGCTCTTACAAACTGAACAATGCTCTCAAGATTCCCTGCTGGAGTCCATAGCCACCAGTCTATAGGGAAGGGAAAACTGCTGGGCTGTAACTGCCAGGTCTGTGTTAACTTGATGGCTCATGCTGTATGTTGACAGCCTGCCCCAAAGTGTTGCCCAAACATGTCTTAGAGCAAGATTATTCTGCAGACCACTTAACAACTACCCACATTGCTTCAACTACAACTAGGCCCAGGACAAAAGCTGTAATTTAAACACCGAGGCAATTTTCCTCTGGTCCAAGACAATTACTTGTCCCTTTATTTAGAAAGTCATCCTATTACAGCAACTCTTCCTTTTTTTCAAGTATTTTACTTAAAAGTAACAAACCTCTACTTCTCACCATTTTTTTTTTCAGCTAACCACTAAGCATCTCATTTTGAAATGAAAACATTTTATCAATGAACCACAGTCAACTAAACTCTACCCTACACAAGCTTAGAAAATGTCATATTACACTGCTCTCTAATTACAAGTAAGAGCAAAGGAACATATATGAGGTTTGAGTTTGCTTCCAGTAGTGACAAGTAATACCCTTTATCAGACCAGCCCTCTTCCTGGCTACAGGAGAAAAAAAGCAACAGAGGGCAACTCCAAATCATCAGAAGAGGACCTAACACTGTAGCTTGCCTTTAAATATTTTCTAGTTTTCACCTGAAAGACAACTGAGGGATCCTTCCATGAGCTGGCTCAGTCCTCAAATGCCTGTCACAGCCGGAATGGGACAGACTAGCACGGGGGCTGCACGGTCCATCTGGGGGCTCTGACACAGGTGGCGCCAATGCCAGTGCTCACACCATGTCCTGCTGCTTCTGAGGATGCACGTTAGCAACGAACTGGGATCGGGAGCACTGCTGGCCTCAGGGAAACCAAGCAGCCGTGCATGAAGTGTCTTGCCTGCTGCACCAAATGCCCACCCCACTGTTTCAATTCTAACAAGGTCTTACTTAAGAGAATCAAAGCCATCTGCAGAGTTTGGAATAACCCCAAGAGCTGGAATATGGAGAAAATTCCAGAAAGGATATTTAGAGAGGGGCCCCTAAATTCTGCAGATGCCCTGGCATCATGTTAAAAGTACACAGTAAACTTGAACTGTGGTTATGCAGCAAGGTGGAGGAATCCACTATGGGGGGAGGGGTGTGGTAGGGGTGAGGGGAATCCCCAGTGCCTATAAAACTGTATCACATAATACAATGTTAATAACAATTTAAAAAAAAAAGTACACAGTAATGCTCACTAGGAAAAAAAACAGTGTGGAGAGAATTTCATTCCACACTTGTAGAATACATTCTTATTATTAACACATCAACTACATGACAGACTGTGTTAGGCCCCAAGACAAGCTTCAGTTCAATAAAAAAAAGGAACCTAAACATCCCATACAAAAAAAATCAAACTGGAAACATACCAAAACACACTTGATACAGGGAAAGAAGTATTAAGAGGAGAGTTTATAGTAATGAGTGCCTACATCAGTAAGATAACCTGACAGTAGACCTTAAGAACAGGGAGGAAGGGAGTGGGCCATACCAAGCTCAAGATGAGATGGAAAAATGTAACAAAAACCAATGACACTGAACATGACTGGTAAGTGAAGAAAAGGAAGCTATTATGACCACAAAAGGTCATTTCGGATGATTACACACAAGTACACACTAATGAAGTTGAAAAACCTGGGAGAAGTAGATTAATTTCTGGACACATGTAACTTGCCAAGATTGAATTAAGCGAAGACCTGAACAGACCAGTACGAGTCACGAGACTGCATTAGTAATGAGGTCTCCCAAAGGAAAGATTTCCTCTGGGACCAGAGGGCTTCACGGCTGAGCTTAACTAAACTTCCTTAAGGAAGCACTAACACCTTTAGTTCAAAAACTGCAAGGCAGGGAGCCCTTTAAAAACTCATTCTACAAAGCTACATCTTGACTGATCAATATTCCTGATGAACATAAACAGAAGCACCCAACAAAATCCCAACAATGAGATCTAATGGAGATGTCATTGTTGCGCAGCACATTAAGTCATCACAGGCAATGCTGGCATCCCACATGAGCACCAGTTCAAGTCCAAGCTGGCCCGTGTTCCTATCCAATTCTCTGATGATGTCCCCAGGGAAGCAACAGAAGATGGCCCAATACTTGTATCCTTGCCACACGTATGAGACCCAGATGGAGTTCTAGGTTCCTGGCTTCAGCCTGATCCAGAACAGGCCACTGTGGCCATTTGGAGAGTAACTAGAGGGCGGTAGATACCTCCTCTCTAACCTTGCCTTTCAAATAAACATTTTCATTTAAAAAATGAAAAGGTTTTGTTGTAATGATTCAGCATGATTAAGTGGGACTTGCCACTTCAGGCATACACAGCAAATCATATTTCAACCAGCAAATCAACACAATGAAGAAAAAGTATGATCATCTCAGAAGACAAAACTTTGATAAAGCCAACATCCACTCATGATAAAAATCCCCAAATAAGGAAGTACGATCACACTGAAAGGGGAAAAGCTGAAGGCATTTCCTGTAAGGTCAGAAGTCAGTCAAGGACAGGCACTCTTACCGTTCTAGAGGAGCAGGTATTTATCAGTGAAGATGCTGCCATTCAGGAACGCTTGGATTGGGGTCCCAGCCCCACGCCTCATTCTGCATTCCCATCAGTGCGTAACCCGGGAGGCAGCACTGGTGGCTCATGCAGCTGGGTTCCTGCAACCACATGCAAAACCAGAACGGAGTTCCCAGCTCCCACCTTCACCCAAGTCCAGCTGTGAATGCCTCAAACATCTGGAGTGGGAAAATCTCTCTCAAAATGACAAAACATAATTATCTACTGAAAGATTTAGCCAGATCAATCAGTAGAAAAGAAAAGGCATACAAATGTGATTCTATACAGAGAAAAAGCGGATTCACCAAGATGATTATAACTGACAGATGAATTAAGTACTCAAAATCAAAACACATAAAGCTATAGCAAATGTACCAATATGTACCAGTAACTGACTTATGCACCAGTGACTGTATTATGCACCAATAACTCACTTGCTACAATGGTGTAGCTATATAGTTCACAACAATGTTCCTTATAAACAACTGGAAGAAGGGAGCTCAAAGTCTCCTAGGTATAGAAACCAGAATATAATGGAAATGCTAACCATCTGATCAGTTTATGCTATGCGCGTGTGTCAAAACACTGCCCTATATCTCACAGAAAATTTGAACACTAAAATAAGCTTATCTTTATTATTATTATTATTATTATTATTATTTTATGATACAGCTCCACAGGCTCTGGGATTCCCCCCCAACTTCCCCTCTATTATCACAATGTATAGTCCTTCATGAAATAGAGGCACAGGTCTGTGCCCCATCTACTCCACTTCTGATCCAGCTCCCTGTGTATGGCCTGGAAGAGCAGAAGAGGATGGCCCAAGTCCTGGGTCCCTGTACCTACATGGGAGGCATGGAAAATGCTCCTGGCTTCATACTGACTCAGCTCCATTTAGAAGTTTATATCATCTATATAAAACTTAAGAATTACTTACTGAATCTAAACATGATCCCTTAGTTATAATGCAAACGCCTACTTAGCATTTAGTATTTTCTTATTTATATCTTTAGAAATGGCCTTTTAAAAGATATTTATCAATAAACGCAACTGTACAGTGCTCCTCTAAGAAACAAATGACCTATCTATCTATGGCAATCCACATGGGAAAATTTTGAAGATTCCTTTCAGGGTGTATTTCTCCAAAAGTAAATGCCAAACACTGAGCAGGTACCTCTGAAAGTAGTGAAAGGACGATGTCCTTTTAAATACATGAATACCATATAGAAGGAACAAGATACCTTCCGGCCTACGCAGGCAGCGACAGGAAGAACTCATGCCAGTGGGCGTCAGGAAACACTCAGCACATCTCAGGAGCCACTCAGAGTAACCGGGGAGTGAACACTGAAGACACAATCACCTCGTTCCTCTTCACTTCCCACTGTAACACTTCACGTGAGTTTTGTAAACAGACCCTCTCATCTGTGTAACTGAGTAGCAGTCCTTCAGACCTGTAGACCTCAGTCAACCCCTCAATATCGCATTTTAGAATGCAACAACTGAAGGGTTAAATAAAACAAGTGAGAGACAGTCTGTTTTTATTTACATCAGTTCAGTTTATACATATTTGAATCTTATTCTAATGACTAACCTGCTTCCAGTATGAAAACCAAATTTAAAATAACATGATCACCTTGCATCAACACAACTGTCCACATACACTCTAGCGCCATCCGTGTAGAAGCAAACGTAACTTCACTGTGTCAGAAAGAAAAGCTTTTAACCTAAGTGCAGCAAGACAAAGCCTTTCATGAAAATAAAGGCTGAGGGTCATTTTCCAAGATGCTACTAATAGTGGCTTTTTGTCCTGCATTTTAGTACACTGAAACAAAATATGAAATTTATTTAAAATATAGGTAGATTATTCCATTCTGTCCAAATCTATTAAATACCTTCCAAACCTCATAACTCAGTCCTGGATATGCTGGGGAGCATACTCTGTTCAGCAATGTGACCTCGGTAAAAGTTCCCAGGAAATTCCAGAAAAAAATATACATAATCTTCTAATTTAAAAGTTGATTGGTTTGCCAAATGATGCAGCCAGGTTTGCTTCTCTAAAAGCTTCTGACAAAGTCTGCAAGAGAAGATATTTAAAAGTTACAAACCAAAAGTATCTGTGGGAAACAAGAAAATGTAGACAGCTGTGAATTCTATGTTGTGAATTACCGGATGTGCATGGCAGACTCTCGCTATATCTTCACAGGACGCCCCGTATTCCAAAGCGAGGGCAGCTTCGTTGACCATTTCTCCAGCACCCTTTAAAACAACAAGCAAGAAGTCATTTTGCTTCCATAGCAAAAACAAAACAAACAAACCAAAAAAACAAAACAAAACAAAACAATTACACGCTAATAGGACAGCAATGGTTAAGAGAGGCTGCTTTAGATCTTAAAATTCAAAGGACATGTACTGTGGTGGAGTATGTTAAACTACCACTTGGGACACCATACATCCCAAATTGAAGTGCCAGTTTGAGTCCCAGCTTCTCTGCTTCCAATCCAGCTTCCCGCCAAGGCACCTGGGAAAGCAGAAATGAACAGTCCAAGCACTTGGGTCCCTGCCACTCATTTGTGAGAGTCAGATGGAATTCTAGGTCCCTGGCTTTGGCCTGGCACAGCCTTGGCTGTGTGCACATCTGGGGAGTGAAGCAGTGGATAAACCTCCATTTGTTTCTATTACCCTGCCTTTGAAATAATTTAAAAAAAAAAGGTCAAAACTACAAGACTGTAACTTGTAAAGATTAAGTACTACTGTGACTGATAAGAATCCCATTTCTACCAAAGTGATCCTTACCACTTGCTACACTGATCACTCCCAGGCTCTGTGCCCCCTTCATCTCAAAAGTCACAGCAACACTGATCTTACAAACTGCTGTAAAAATGAAACAAAGCACATGCAAACATTCTGCTCTCGGGACTGTTTCACACAGACACCTTGTGGGAGGCCATGACTGTAGGAAAAGCAGAGGGGTGAGCAGCAAGAGCCTGCCTCACCCACCAGGATCTGGAAGCAGAGTGCTCTGGGCAGAGGCACTGAAGCACAATGGCCCCACTATGTGTGCACATCTGGCCTGACATGAACAGCAGAGAGGAGCTGGGTGGCAGGGCACGCGTGAGCCAAGGCAGAGAACACAAACAGTGGGAAAGGCAAGCCAGGCAGGACCAGATTCAGCGAGGCCTTGTTGGTAACCGTCAGCAACTGAGCAACCCCTGGACAGGGAAGGAGGAAAGGCCTGCTGTCCATGCGGAAGGGATAGTCCCAGGAGGCCTCATGTGCTGGCACTGCCTGCAAATGATGCACACAAGTAAAAACCCCAACGTCTGCTGGTAATTAGTAAGCTTACCATAAACACAAGGCCATCTAAAAGTAAGCTATCAAATGACACTGTCTTTCAGAAACCTAGGGAGGACATCGGGTTTTACTGGATGTGCATGATACGGCTGTATTGTAACATGCTCTTCCACACTGCAAACAGAGCAGTTTCCTTTACCATTTGCGCAGCTCCCTTGCTGTAACAAGCCAGGGCTTCAGTACTCACTGGGCCTAGAATGTGTGCTCCCAGTACTCTGTCTGTGGACTTCTGCCCAAGAATCTTCACCATGCCATCCGTGTCGGCATTCGTCTTAGCTCTGCTGTTAGCAGCAAATGGGAACTTGCCAACTTTGTACTCAATACCCTGATGAGAAACAAAAAGTGAAAATCTCTACAAACACTGAAAATAATCATTCCCACTGGTGAAACCACCTAGTGCTTGTTCAGGAAATAAATGCCAAAGCAAGTGTTCACAGAGTAGACAGGAGGCAAGACCCAAAAGGTGACCTAAGGAAGTACACTTATATTTCGGGTACCAATCTAAACAAATACAAATGTACATCCACAGGGTTGCATTTCAGAGCTCTGGAGCTACCAGTTTTTGAATAGCAGCATCCACTGGTAAATCTAACAAAGCTGAAATTATGTGCGTTCTGAAGTCCTGCCTGCTGTTAACAGACACTGAGGCCTTTTCTGAGCCTCTAACATTACCTCAACTCACACTTTGGAGTAACTCTGCCCACATTCAGGCTTACCTCCTCCTTCAATTGTTCTTCCGATTTTCCGACCCAAGCCACCTCAGGGTGGGTGTAAATCACAGATGGCACACAATTGTAATCAATGTGCACAGCTCCGCCGGCCATGCCTTCCACGCAGATGATGCCCTCGTCCTCTGCTTTGTGAGCCAGCATCGGACCCGCAACCACATCACCAATAGCATAGATACTGCCAGAGATCACAAGAAACGTGTTGAAGATTTGAAACTGTGGCTACTCCTCAGTCACACCATGGTAACAACAGTGCACGCTGAGCTAGTACAACACCAACAAGTCTAGCAGATGAGGCTCTTCCAAGACTTGATTCCAAGCACTGTTTCTTTGTATAATGAAAAAATTCAATGTCGTCATTTTACAAGTTTAGTATTGTTCCCCAAGGCCATTTATGTCTTACAGTAGGACAGTTTTACTTTCAGTCTTTGAAGTAAATTATTGAACACGAAAATCATTCTTTAACTTACTTTGGAATTTTAGTTTGGAATCTGGTATTGACTGGGATTCTACCTCTGGGATCTAGTTCAATTCCAAGCGCCTCGAGTCCCAAGTTCTGAGTATAGGGCCGTCGGCCAATGCAAACCAGGAGCACATCACATGTGATAACTTCAGCCTTACCACCAGAAGCGGCTTCAATACTAGAAAAGGAACAGCATCAGATGACTACACAGGCGCCCTCCATATGGAGGTGACAGACGCAGAAAATGAACATCAGAAACTGTTCTTTGTAGATGGTATCTCTAACAATATGTTGACTATTACAAACATGAACATGTTGATCCGGTAAGAAAATGCATATATATCCTCTACAAGCTTATCATTACACTCAACAGTGTTAACAACCACAGTTAAGAACATTTGTCCTTGGCCTGGCTCCATAGCCTAAGTGGTAAAATTCTCATCTTGAATGTGCCAGGATCCCTTACGGGCACCAATTCTAATTCTGGCAGTCCCACTTCCCATCCAGCTCCCTGCTTGTAGCCTGGGAAAGCAGTAGGGGCTGGGCTTGAGGCCTTGGGACCCTGCACCCATGTGGGAGACCCAGAAGAGGCTCCTGGCTCCTGGCTTCAGATTGACTCAGCTCCGGCCATTGCAGCTACTTGGGGAGTGAACCAGCAGATGGAAGATCTTCCTCTCTGTATATCTGACTTTCTAGTAAAGGCAAATAAATCTTAAAAAAAAAAGTCTGAGCATTAAAAACAAACAAACAAACACAAACGACATCATATCAAAACAAAGGTAGCATACTTACGAAACATCAATTTTTCCATCTGGTTTCTTGGTAGCACCAGTAACTTTTGTATTCAATTTAAACTTAAATCCTTGTTTTTGAAGGATGCGCTGAAAACTTTTAGAAATCTCCATATCAATTCCAACTCCACCTACATGACCCAAAAATTCAACTGCGGTCACGTCTGCACCAAGTCTTTGCCACACTGAACCCTGCAAACAATCATCAAAAACCCCAAAAGCCATCATAATCATAAAAATACAGCCAAGCATATTTACCAAATCACCTTAAATAAGTTACTGTAAAGTACTGTCTTCTTTTGTTAATATGTTTTTGTTACAATTTATAAGGCTTAAACTTTTGTTACAGAGTTATTGTGACGAATATTAAAAACTTCATATATTTATCCAGTTTCATTTACTTAACATTTACTACCTGTCAGGTAACATTTTAGCTGCTGCGCACGCACTGATAAACAAAACAAAACTCAGGGACCTTAAATTCTAGCAGGACAAACAGAGAAGCAAAATTCATGTCAGAAAATAGTAAAGCACTACGAGAAGCAAACACAAAGCAGGTAGTAGTCTGAATATTCAAAAACATGCATACATATATATATACACACACACACATATATATATACACACACATATATATATGACATTATTCCAGGCCTCTGCCTGCAGCACTGACATCTCATAAGGGCGCTGAGAGTTCAATCCCAGCTGTCCCATTTCCCATCCAGCTCCCTGCTAATGGCCTGGGAAAGCAGTGGAAGATGGCCCAGAGCCTTGTGCCTGTAAAGCCATGTGGGAGATCCAGACATGGTTCTGGGTTTGCAGTCATTTAGGGAGTGAGCCAGTGGACAAAGCAGAGATCTTTGTCTCTCCTTTTCTCTGAAACTCTTTGAAGTAAAATAAGTAAATTTCAAAAAAATATATATATCAAATGATGAACTGGACATCACCAAATTAAAGAAAAAGAATAATAACCTTAGGAACACAAAAACAGAAATCAGACTGGAAAAAACTATTTGCAACAAACCTATGTGGTAAAGTAGTTGTATCCAGAATAAAGAACTCTCCAAACTCAATGAATTAACAACCCAACACAGTAGCAAACAGACAAACCAAAGATGATGCAGAGATGAAAAGTGTTTGATATTGCAAATTACAAGAAAAATGTAATGAAAACCACAACGGATATTACCATCCACACATCAGAATGGCTCAAATAATGAACACTCAAAGAACCAAGTACTGGTGAGGAAGCAGAGAAACTGAAACTGCTGACAAGTGGTACAACCACACTGAAAAACAGAGTTAAAACAGGTGTCTACAGCAAGTCTTGTACATGGATATCCGGAGTGTCACTCTTGTAACAGTGCCAAAATAGAAAATCCAAGTGCCCATCAACTAAGCACTGGATAAACAAAGAGTGCTATGTGCACAAAATGGAATATTGGGCTTACAAAGGAAATACATGCAGCTATCCACTGAAACTCACATGAGCCTCAAGAACATTATGAAAAGGAAGGAAGTCAGACACGAAATGTTGGATATTGATGATTCCATTTTCACTAAGTGGTCAGAAAAGGAAATCCATAGAGAATGAAACTCAGCAGTGTCAGGGCTGAGGGAATGGCAGAGCAGCACTGCTAATGGACACTTGCTTGTTTTCCTGGAGAGATGAAAATGTTCTGGAATTACAGCGAACTACTGTACATCTCGGTGGACATGCTAAAAACCACTGAAGCTTACCCTTTCAATGGGAGATATATTAGAGTGCACAGTGGCACGAGGGCATACTAGACATCGTAGGTAACTCCCAAAGGTCTTGCTTACATTTTGATATGGATGGTAGTACTACTAAGCAGGTTTTGTTGTCTGTTCAGGGCCTGGGGTGGGCTGGATCAGGAGAGTGAGATGGAGCTACATGTTTACTGGACAAAGCGCCTTGGAGACACGGTAGTAGAGATGCCAGAAGGCATTCAAATCTGAATAAAAGCAGAGGGACCAGTGGAGTAGGAAACCTGGTAGAGTATAACGCCATACCAGAAATAACTGAGTAGGAACATGGGGAATTGTGCTTACAGAATAAAACACCTCCATTTAGGATGTCAGAAACAAAATAATTTCTGATGATTACAAAATACAACAACCCTGAGAAGGGCAACCTGCAGCAGAGGGAAAGGTCACTGGCAATATGGGGAAAGTTTCAGATGGACGAGCAGGCAGGAGGTACGAAGCAGCACACTTTCACAACGTCTGTTCCGAGAGATCAGGATGAGCACAGCAAAGGAGGGAAGAGATCACACACGCCCCGTGATGGGTGTGATCTTCCCGTGGCACAGCTTGCTCTCGGAGAGCCTGCTCCAAGGATCTGAAGGGCTACAGGACACTGAAGAACCACCAGACCAGTTCTAGAAACAGCTAGGAAGAAAGGGACAGAAGACTTCCTAGAAGACTGTCCCATACAGGACGCTGTTCTCATGAGGAATGATGACACGCTAATACGCAGGTGGTCTGGGGGAAAACAGCGAATTCGTTTTTACTTCAAAGTTTTTGGGCAAAGCTCAATATCAAGTGGCCTATCATGTCACACCAAACATCAAAAGTGACAGGCAACACTTACCAATTCTACTCCTATCACGCCCGCTCCAATAACAACCATCTTTTCTGGAACTTTTTTTAAAGATAAAGCACCCGTAGATGACACTATTGTATCTTCATCAATCTGCATAAGAAAAACAAGAAAAATGACAGAAATTATCTAGAAGAAACCTAGTAACTGATAAACTGTATCACCATGAAATCACTGAAATTGCATCACTGATTTTGAAGTCAATTGAAGTTCAGCAAATCCCATTAAAATGCTAAATTTGATCATTTGACAAAATGATCACTTTTAATTTTTTTACACTAATTTCAAGTATAAAGTTACTATAAAATAACTGGTAAAAACCACTGCAGCATTAACACCAGTAACTCTAAAGCGTAATGAGCGTGCAGGTGTAGTATTTCACTCAGAAATGTGTCACTTAAAGCTCACAAACAGCAGAAAGCAAACACAGCTGGAACAGCAGACATCTGTAAGGTGTCAGTACCGTGATTCCTGGAAACGGAGTAACTTCCGAGCCTGTCGCGATGAGGATGTTCTTGGTGTCAATGACCTGCGTGCTGCCATCTGCTTTTGTAGCAGTCACCTGATTTTTGCCAGTAATCTTTCCAAATCCATTGACATGAACAACCTAATGTTTACAAATTCACAAAGGTTAAACATTTTCATAAGTAGGATTACTAAGAAAAACGTGCTCTGTACATACTTTCAATACAAAATGCTGCTTCCTGTACCACATGACAATGCGCAGCCACTCCACTCAAACCCCGGACCAGAGGTGCATGCTTCCTTTCACCAGTGCTTTCTATATAGTTCTGAAAGTTTCAACCAGAGTCAAAGGAACAAGTTACCCCTGTTTGCAGTTAAAATGATTCCATATATAGAAGACCACAAAACTCCACTAAGAGACTACTGGAACTCAAAAAAATTTGTTAAGTTATAGGATTTAGCATCAATACACAAAAATTAACAGCCTTTGTATGCACAAACAGTATCATGGATGAGAAAACACACTACTGTAAGATCAGCACCATTCATAACAGCAACCAAAAACGTAAACACTTCGTAATACAGCTAACCAATGATATGAAGCATGTCTATAATGAAAATTACAAAACAGTACTGGAAAAAAAAAAACAGGAGACATTAAAAAAATGGAAAAAAATCTTCCCTGCTTGTGGATTGGAAGAGTATCAGCAAAATGCCACGTTAATCAAAGCAATTTAGAATCAATGTAATCCCAATCAAAACATTAGTGACATTTTCTCAGATCTATAAAACACAATGCTAATGCTAAAGTTCAGATGGAAACACAAAAATATCCCAATCTTAAAAACAAAGCCAGAGGTATCACACTACCGATTTCAAGACAGGGCAATTATAATTAAACAGCCTGGTACTGGCACAAAAACAGACATAGACATGTAGACCAAGGAACAGAATAGAAACCCCAGAAATTAAATCCATGCAGCTACAACCAACTAATCTTTGACAAATAAGCTCCAAGCAATCACTGAGAAAGGGCACTCTTGCCAACAATCGCTGAGGAAATTGGATCTCCATAGCAGAAGCTGTGTAAAGCTATATACAACCCCTACCTTACACCTGACACCAAAACCAACTCTACAGTCTGACACAATCAGGGAAACTACAAGAAAGATTTCTTGCATAGGTAATTAAGGCAAAAATAGATGAACAGGATTACATCAAGCTAAGGAGTTTCCGTACAGCAAAGAAAAGAACAAAGCACAGAGGCAACCAACAGAATGGCAGAAGATAGTTGCAAACTATACATGTGATAAAGGACTAACGTCCTGAACATATAAGCTCAACAAACTCCAGTACAAAAACAATCCAGACAAAGGATGCGAAGAAATTCTTCAAAGGATGAAATGTGAAAAGCCAAGACACATGAAAACATGCCTAGGACCATTAGCCACTGGGAAACACAAACAAAAACCACAATGAGGGGGCAGCATGGCGGCACAGCAAATGAATCCTGTGCCTGCAGCACCCACATTCCACATGGGTACTGGTTCAAGTCCCAGCTGCTCCGCTTCCAGATCCAGCTCCCTGCTTATTGCTTGGGAGGACACTGGAAGATGGCTCAAGTCCTTGGGCCTCTGAATCCATATGGGAGGCCCAGAGGAGGTTTCTGGCTTCTGGCTTCGGAGCAGCTTGACTCCAGTCATTGCAGCCATTTGGGGGTGTGAACCAGCAGATGGAAGCTCACTTTCGGTCTCCACCTAACTCTGACTTACAAGTTAAACAAATCTTTAAAAAACAAAAACAAAAACCCACAATGAGTTTTTACTTTACCTCAGTTAGAGCAGTACCATGAAAAAATCCAAAAGCTAAATGCTGCTGAAGAGTCAGGGCAAACTGCTGACGGAAATGTAAACTAGGACAACCAGCACAGAGGACAGCATGAGGACTCCTCAGAAACACCCACACAGATCTTACTGTATGACTCAGCCATCCCACTCCTGGGATTTTACCCAAATGAAAGGAAATTAGCCTACAAAAGTTATTTGCACTCTCATGGCTTTTTGCAACTCAATTCACAATAGCGAAGATATGGAACCAACCCAGATGCCCACAGAATATATGAGGGAAACTGACTTCAGGTCAGCATATTGGTTTTGGTGTTTAATGATTCATGTATATATTTGATGGAGTTATAGAGAGAGAGGGAGAGACAGAGGTTTTCCATCTGCTGGTTCACTGCCCAACTGGCACAGCAGTCATGGCTGAGCCCGGCCGAAGCCAGGACCCAGAAGTTTCTTCAAGGTCTTGCAAATGGTTGACAAGAACCCGAACCCTTGAGCCATCTTCTGTCGTTTTTCCCACGCCATTGGCTGGATACAAAGTGGAGCAGCCAGGACTCGAGACAGCACCTATACAGGATGCTGGAACTGCAGGCAGCAGCTTTACCTGCTGTGGCACAATGCTGGCCCAGCACACTGTTTTCATTAAATATATATCCCCCAGTAGCCAAGTTCAAATATCAACACTCTATTATCTGTAAACCAATGAGACTATTTCACACATATACACATAAGACATAAATCTAAATATTAAACACCAACCTTATTCTGTTTGAATAAATGGGCAATTCCACCTGTTAAAGCTTTTACTGCAGTACTTTTCTGTTCCATCATCTTCTCTAAATTCAAGCGAACTTCAGACACTGTAAGTTGTTAAATAAATTTGTAATCATTACCTAAATTCTTGAAGAAGTGTGGTATTTTTTCATTAAACCAAGTCTGGAAAAGTTTCAGTCCAATATTTTCAAGATTTTGTAAAGTTTTAATTTAGTAATTGGCACAGTAATCATAGCTGATAAAAGGTTGCCAGCAGAAATTTTCTGTTATCTTAGTAATAGAATGTTTAAACACTGTAAAATATGTACACTGGGCAAAAACACTGTCCAAAACAAAACATTACACCCCACTTTGCAAACACACACTCCAAACATCTTAGGACTGTTGTTAAGTCTGGAAGACTTTTAAGAAGAAATGGCAAAGTAAACAACACTTGGAATTTTAAAAAAGAAATGATACCATGAATAAACACATTTGAGCATTCAAATGCAGCCGCTTGAAACATGTGGCTTGGTTAGATTTTAATTACTCACCTAACTCAAGAGAGGACTTGCAAGCAACAATGTAGGAAAAAGCAGCTTGATTCAACAGAACTTGAGAGGTGAAAAAGATATCTAAGAGATCGGCCCGTGCAACCAACACAGCTCAGAGCCGAGGCAACAGCGACCCTCAGGGATGCGATTTGCCAAGATGAAGGGCTCGACTGCCCCTACCCATCACTGCATTACCATTCTATTCTACATTTCATCTAGTGTAACACACCAGCTCTATGTCCACTGCACTGCCTATACACAGCTTTCTTTAAGAAACCTACTGCTGTAAGGAAACAAATGCAGGAAAAGTCACCTGAAGGTACACTTAGGTCCTTTCTACAAGAGACCGCCCTTCTGTCAACAATAGGACAGAATGGAGGAAAATATCACACTCAAGAGAGCCTGTCAGAACAAGACACACAGATTAACATGTCACAAACGGTCCTCCCAACTGGCTGCACATAGCAGCACACACAAACTGGGGCTGGGAACGGCCCTGGTGGGGGGCTATTGGGAGTCATTCCTACTGGGCTGCAGTTGCCATTGGTGTGCGTGAGGGCTGAGTGGGTGGTGGGCAAGGTTAAGCCAGGCCACAGCATCTACTGGTTTGCATATGAGATGGGGCTGAGGATAGAACTGACAGGGCGACTGCAACCACCATTGTGTGTCTAGGCTGATGTGGGTGATGGACTGAGCCAGACTCTAATCTGCCTGGTATACACAGGAGTCAGGTATGGGGACACCTCTGATGAGGCTTTTCTGGGGACCCCCACAACTGGAGCACTGGATTCAAAACTAACTGTGGGGAACATCATCGCCCATGGTGTGCTCGTGTCAGAACTGGGCCTCCTTGGTTGTTGGAGTCTGTGCAGTGAACAGCACACCCAGATGCTCACAGGGAACATGACAGCACAAGGCCTGCAGAGGACATCTAGTACCATGGCAGAGGATGCAGGGCAGAACAAAATGGACGACTCTCCTGACGAAGCACTGACAGCAGTATCTGGGCGAATGGAGACTCTAAGGTGGACTACGTCAGCTGATGGACCCTGGAAGGATTTCCTCCTCTTTGAAACAATGAAATCAGCAGCATCTCAGAACTATCAAAACTACTTCAGCAGTGTCCTCAGACCATGCTCCACGCTGGAGAGCTTGGGATGACAGCAGTGTCCTCAGACCATGCTCCACGCTGGGGAGCCTGGATGACATAGGGTGGTCATCCCCCATCCCTGCGGTTAGGCTGTTTAGGAATGGTCCTCTCCCCTTCTCTCCCACTTCCCCCAGACTCAGGAACAAAGAAAAACATCTGCAACAGTTTTCTCATCCACTTCCCTACACTCCTCAACCTTTCCCACCCTAATAAACAGTCCACATGGGCATACATCCTTCTCAGCTATGTAAACATCATCAAAACTAAAATAAATGTATTTTTTTTAAAAAATTTGTTATATTTTTGACAATCTTTACATTATTAATTAGGGTAAAAAGGTACAATGGATTATAGGGAAGTGGGTAAGACTATTATTTCCCTATTGTTTCCTTCATATATCTGAGGTAAAGGGAATATTGAGGGAGAAGCCCCACTCAGTCACCCACCCACCCCAGGTCCCACATGTGGGGCATGCTCTGAGATCCTTGCTCAAGTGGTTTTGATAGTTCACCAGTTATGAATCGCTGCCAATCTCGCTACTCCAAGCACGATGAGGTTGTTGAAGAATCCACTGATTGACATAGTCCATCATAGAGTCTCCATTTGCCCAGTATTTTGCTGCCAACATATAGCTGAGGTGGTGGATTGTCCTGTTCTGTCTTCCATCTTTTCTTGGTTAGGGTTCTGAGTCCGCCATTTCGATTGGGGAGATCCCCAAGAGAAACTTTGAGCTGTTCCCAGACCAGATTCTTGTATGTACTAGCAAGTATAGGGCCCGCCACAGTCCATCGCCCCGATCAGCTGGTGGTTGCAATTGCTAGGTTGGTTTTGCTTTCAGCCCTGTCTTCCACTGGAACCAATGGGTGTTGCAGTCCAGCCTGGTTCCGCCCAGCACACACTCGGCCCTCACATAAACCAGTGGGAGCTGCAGCCCAGTCGGAGTGACCCACAATAACCCCCACCAGGCCCGCCCCTATCCTGGTTTGCCAGTATGTGTATCAGACTAGTCCAGTCTGACCCACATCCCATTTGGCTCTCATACATGTCGCAGGGTATTGCAGCTTAGTTCCATCTAACCAGCTCAACTATCCAGCCCTCATGGATGTTGTTGAGTGCCTCTCTGTCAGCCACCCCAGCCCCTGTCCTAGTTTTTTGTGTGCTGTCATGGGAGTGGTAACCCAAGAGGGAGGAGCCCACTATTTCCCTCCCAGGTCTCTCTTACTCCGATTGTGCACTCTCCAGGTGGTTCTGTGGTTAGACTTGACAGTATTAGCCCCCAGTGCCAGCTTCTGCCGACTAAGCCCCAACAACCCTCACCCACTCTAATTTTGTTTGCACCAGTAGGAATAATCAGCCAAATAAATGTATTTTTAAAAAGAAAGAAATGGTCCTCGTTCCTGCTGCGCCCCACCTTTCCCTCTGCCCTCACCCACAACCCAGAGAGTGGCCCCCTCCCTTCACCTCTGTCTGCTCACACCCACCCAGAATCCCGCCTCCCCTCAAACCAAAAGCTGGTAACAGACACAAGACGGGGCAGAACTCTGAACTTAAATATTCTTTAAGGAAATCGATGTCTCTGAGATTTTTTATCTCAGTCTTTCCTAACTAAACATTTATAAGGGAACTTCAAAAGTTTGTGAAAATGGAATCAAAAGACAAGTTCATTTTGAAATTTGTGCAGTTTTTTCATAATATATATCTCCACTGGCTGTGTGTAAAGAATTCTCATTTGCAAAGATTTCAAATTTTTGTGCATGATCTTTTAATCCCATTTTCCATCAACTTTTTAAAGTAACTTCACATTATATATATAGACACATACATTACACAGGTAAGTCTTCATGCCTCGTAATATCATTAAAAATGAAAAGTATACTTACTTTCAATTCCCCTAGATGCAAAATCTTTTCCATGGGCCATATGGTAATAATGAGAGTTATTCAATAAAGCCTAAAGGAGATAAAAACATAAAATTACCAAATATTCACAAGCAAACATGCAATCAAAAAGCATTTCCAAAAAGACATTCTCTATAAGAAACAGTACAAAGACTGTACCAACCCAACTCCTTAAGTCATTAACCTAAAACAAACAATACTGACATTAACACTGAACAAACAAGAATGAAAAAATATTTTTTTCTTTCTTTAAAAGGAAAAGCATCAGAGCCTGCATTGTGGCACAACAAGCTAAGCTGTGGCCTCCAATGCTGGCATGTCCTCCATGTGCCAGTTCACCTCCTGGTTACTCCTCTTCCAATCTAACTCACTGCTAACGTACCTGGGGGCACAGCCGAAGATGGCCCAAGTACCTGCAGCCCTGCAGCCACATGGGAGACCTCGATGAAGTTCTAGGCTCCTGGCTTTGGCCTGGCCCAGGTCCAACTGTTGTGGCCGTTTGGAGAGTAAATCATCAGAGAAAACTGAAGAGTAAATCTCTGTAACTCTGCCTTTCAAACTAATAAATCTTAAACAGCAAAAAGCAAAGGCAAAACAAGCATTTACTTCAGGGTGATAGGCTAGAAAAGTAGTTATAAGTACATACCTAGAAGAACCTACTGGGATGTACAGTAACTGTGTAATAGAAACTATCATAAACAGATGTGCAGATAACAATGCAGTATGCATCTCTATTTCCAAATTAAAGATGGACTCCCAATAAAACTCTTAATATGTCTTGACAACAGGATGCCAGACTCTGACACTTGTCCATACCTACAACGTTAGGATACATTTAAACAGCAGGATGGAGGACTTGTGACTGTTCATGAAGGACTGTACTACTGTATAATATGGGGGAATCCATAAGGGTAAGGGAACTTGGGGAGAGGGAAGGGGAGATCCCAGAGCCTACGAAACTGTATTATAAAATAAATCAAAAAGAAAAAAAAGACCTATTATCTGTTTCAGTAGTAAAGGAAAGCTAAAGAAGAAAAACAACAAAGTCTGAATATAAAGGTTTAGGTTTTCATCTCTGAAGCTACTGCAGAGGGCTGGCACCATGGTAATAGTATGTTAAGCCTCCATCTGAGGCACCAGCATTCCATATGAGCACCAGTCCTGCCTGCGCCACTTTTGATCTAGCTCCCTGTTAATGCTCTGGGAAACCAGTGGAGGGCGGTCCTAGTGCTTGGGCCCCGGCACCCAAGTGGGAGACCCAGAAGTTTCTCCTGACTTTAGACCAAAGCATGCAGCCTAGCGATTTGGAGAGTGAACCAGCAGATCTCTGTAACTATGCCTTTCAAATAAAAGCAAATAAATCTTAAAAAAAGAAAAAAGGAAGGAAGGAAGCAAGAAAGAAAAGAAAAGGAAAGAAAGATACAAGAAGAAAAGCTACCTCAGGAATGCGAGGCATACTGATGGCAGCACTAAGCTTCACAAGGAATTACGCAGGGATGTACTCCATCCTGAGGCTGTTTTTCGGCAGCTACATTTGTCCGATACTCTATCTCAACGCGGCCTTTTAGGAGGTGGCTAATGAAAACCAATTCCGTGCAGACCAAGGCAGATACTCACCTTAGAAGGAATACAGCCCACATTCAAGCATGTCCCGCCAAGCGTTTCATTTTTCTCAACACACACTGTCTACAAGCAAATAAAACGGTATGTAACTGCACATCAATTACTCACTAAAATTCCAAACGTGTCTGTCTTCATTAATAAGCTCCTCAAGCTTTCATAAAGAAATTAGAATACTCTTTTAAAATTTATCATGTGAATAATGCTACACCCAGGGCAACCCAAGAATCAATTATTCCATACCTCATTCATTTCTGGTTCACATTACATACGTATTACTTTAATTCTGTTTCCCTTTCAAAGTGTGAACAGAAGGCAAAATGAGAAGTCCTGAGAGGATGGAAAACACAAGGGCCATCCGCTTCCCTTTTCGTGGGACTCCACCCCACGGAGCCCTCCACACTACTCTCAGGCCTACAAACACTTCACAGAGTTAAGAAACCATTTACCACATCTCCACTTGCAAAGTACTTTATGAGTATAAAAATCAGCACCTGGTCTACGTTTCACTCTTACCTTAAAGCCTAACTGGGCAGCTTTAATAGCAGCTACATATCCTCCAGGGCCAGAGCCTATCACCGTCACATCAGCATCAACTGCAATAAAGCAAGTTGAGAGAAAACAATAAATTGCTTCACATTTACCAAAAGCAATTCTTGGTAAAACAGGCTATTAGACCCTCTGTGTAAACCACCAAGAAACAAGCATTTTCTACACTGCCTATTTTATTCTTAAGTACAACGGCACAATATTTTAAATTTTTTCTATTCATTACGGCATGTGGGAATACAAGCGAGTTCGGTAACAGTAACCTTGTGTTCCCCAATCTTGTTAGAACCTAGCATTCTATTTAATGATAACCGACAAGACAAGGAAGCAGTATGTAGGCAAGAGCCCGAGCGCTGGAATCAGAGCTTCAAATCTCAGCTCTCCTACTTAATTAGCAGCACTTGACATTCTGCCACTTATCCTTACCTTTCTGTAACACAGAACTGACAATACTGCCTTCAATTAGTGATATCACGATTAAATAAAATGTGCTTATTTATTTGACAGGGGTGAGGGAAGAGAGGAAAAGGAAGGGAGGGAGGGAGAGACAACCAAGATTTTCCATCAAACAGTTCACTTCCCAAATGGCCACAATGGCTGGGTTGATCCAGGCTGAAGCCTGAAGTGTGGAACTCCATCTGGGTCTCCCTTTCTGGATGACGGGGACAGCCAAGCACCTGGGCCATCTGCCGCTGCCTTCACGTTAGCTGGGAGCTGCCGAGGCATAAACCAGTGCTCTCCCGTGGAATGCTGTTACCACAGGTGGGAGTTTAACTGGCTGTCCCGTAATGCTGGCCCTAAAAAAGGGAATTTTAGCGCTCACTTCAGCAGCATATATACTAAAATAATTGGTATAATGCTTAGTACTTAGAATAAATTAACTTGGATCAGTGGCCTTAGGAATATAACTGTTGTCTACGGCCACCCTGAATGTGCCTGATCTAGAAATATAACTGTTAAACAACATCCTCCAGAACATGGCCCAAGTACTTGGGCCCCTGCCACCCATGTGCAAGACCAGAATGGAGCTCCAGGTGCCTGGCTTTGACCTGGTCCTGGCCCTGCCATTTTGGGAGTGAATCAGTGAATGAAAGACCCATCTCTCTACTCAAACACACTGATACAAAAACAACACTGTTAACTGGTAAGGGTCTGCACACCCGTGTAGTTCAGGATCAGGCCCAGGCAGTGCCTTCCTCCACCGTGTTGGGGTGGGCATCGGGGGGGCTATCACTGGGGCCCCATGGAAGCATACTCTGTGCAAGGCCCACAGTTTGGTCTGGGGACCCTCACCATCAGCCTACCTGAGGGTCCCTGGCAGGTAACAAATTCAGGCCAAGGCCAAAGCTCAGACTCAACCCTGTGGCTAGTCAACAGACACCCCTTGGTATGTCCATCAGCCATGAGACCTCAGGGGCTCACCAGCTCAGGGTCATCAGGCCTTGCCGAGGCCCCAGGGATGGTGATGAGGGCTCAGTGACTCACTGCCACAGGGCCACCTCTGTTCCCTGAGCGGCTCAAGGGCCAACTCAGAGACCCCGGCCCAAGGAGGCCACCCCTGGAACTGCTCTTGCAGTGGCTGAGGTCTGAAACTACAAGTTTACAGAAACAATACTAGTATCATTTTTTCTGAATCCACAGAGGTTCCACTCATTCAAAATGTGCTCCAGGTTTTTTTTTCCTTCTTTTTTGCTTATCCCCTTTCTTAGGTGACATCTGTTATTTTCTGCTTCCTGTTTCTCTGAAATATTCAGGAATTAAGAGAATAAAGCAAAGAACTGTAAGCCACTGTGATCTAAGGCCTTACTTCCTTGTGAGGCTCTTAAATATTACAGGCACTCTTGCAAACAAACATGAATCAAACAAAAAAGAAAACCAAGCGCTGCATTAACCCTGCTCTGCTCCACAAACCCTTAATCTCTTAAATTGGAAAACAGTGTTTCGCTTTCTCATTAAATCACAGCAAAGGCTGGATGCTTTAGTGGGTACCATGAATGGTCCCCCTTCGCCCCAGTTCCTGAAGTTATCTATTTTCAGGAGTAACCTCATAGATGTGGCTGGCAGGCCTGGGTCTTGTGGCTTCAGTGCTGCTGGAGTCGGATGGGGTCAGGAGAGCAGGAAGCCCTGTCCCCTTACCGGGCGGGGCAGAGCCACCTGACCAGCTGACCGCTGCAGCCCCAGCTCCAGGGTCCAGTTCTCCACTTGCTAACCAAAAGGGGAGAGGAGCCCAGCCAGGAGTTGAGTGTCATGTGGAGAACTGGCCCAGGACCTGGACCTGAACTCCCTTACTCCATGTGTACCACGAGGCTCCCTGTCTCCACGGGAGGTCTCTGGAGGGGTAGGGTAAGAGACAACTTGGGACTTTCTTGGTTCAGAACTTAGAATCCACAGGAAAACAAGACAAAGGAAGTATGAAGCAAAATGCAGATTTCAGACCGGCTGGCCCAGCCCAGCAGCTCCTGGAGGCTGAGAGTAGTGTTGACCTTGTCCTGTCCTTGGCTTGAGGCCCATGCAGTTGCCTGAGGCTGGCTGAAAAACCTGAGGGGACACTGCCAGGGCTGAGCCTGTGGGTGTTGACCACTCCCAACCCCTGCCTTCATGGGACACCCGCATTCTAACTTGACCCATGTATGCGGACACGGGACACCTGCATTCTAACTTGCGCCTTCACCTCTAGGCCAAAGGCCCACCCCAGGAAGGCTGCTTTAAATGTCACCTGCCAGTCTATTGCCATAACCTTCTCCTGTAGTAACACTCGGTACTTCTCAGCCAAACTGACCAGCTTTTGAAATCCTGAAATAACCTCACAATCTCCTAGTTTATAAGGAAAGAGGAACAGAATAAAAACCCCAGGATTTGCCTCTTCTAAGTTTGCAAATGTTTAGATGGAATTATGGGTTTTTTCTCTCTTCATTTTCATACTTCCTGACACTCAAGTGATACTACAATGCAATGTCACATCTAGTATGGTGAGAAGTGTCCCGAGTCGTTGGTATTTCTCAACAGCAACAAAGCGTCAGCACTACACAGGGTAAATTGATTGGGATGCCTGGGTTCAATACGTGCCTCTCCAACTGATTCCAGCTTCTTCGCAGGCAGCAAGCATTACCTCAATTAACAACACCCGGATTTAAACACGAGCTCAAACATCCCTAAGTTCTTGGACAAACTATTTATTCTCTGAGCTCTAGAATAACATATTAGCAAAACTAGAGCTGGTGCCTGCAGCGGAGGGCTGTGCAGTTCGGTGCTTCTCTGACACGGAGTAAACTGTCACCGCTGGGAGTCAGGCATACAGATCAGCGCAGTCTTTGAGTGGATGCAGTAACAAGGTTTTGACATGTTCTCTCAATCTTTTTCTCTAACTTTGCCTTTTACATAAGTCTTAAAAAAATTGTTCTACTTATATTGGACTTACTGTAATTCTTTTTCTTTCTAATTAGACTACACAGACTGGAGCTGTCAGAAAATGCACAGGACGGGACCAGCGCAGCTCCTTGCATCTAAGTCAGTGAGGGGAAAGGCAATCCACAGCAGAGTGGATCCGAGTCAGGTTGTACCCGGAGCGACAGCACACAGGATGTCAGAAAGGATGGACATGAGATGTGAGTGATGTGATAAGGGAACACACATGTACCGAGTGCCTGACGTGCATCGGGAGCGTTCTTAGGGTCTTGACATGTACTCTGATACCATGAAAATCCAAGTTCCTTCGCAGGGACTGCCAAGAGGAGACACTGAAGAAAGCGAAGGTTCTTTGTGAAAAGTGAAAAGCTAACACTGCTCCCCTGCGTGAGCCAGGCAGGTGAGATCACTCTCCCTGAACAAGAGACAAGGAGCACAACAAGTCCAACTGCTCCGTCATCAAGGACTGTGCGTCACTAGCAGCCAGCAGCCTCCCTCAAGGAGCCAAACATCCAAAGCAATGGTTGGAGCACTGTTGATGCAGGATGCGGGAGGACCGACAGTCACAGATCCCCCAGCCACTACAATACACAACCAAGTGCTAACATCCAGTCAATCCCAAAACAGGTCATTTCAAATAATTAACAGCTTGGGAACCAGGCAACCAAAACACCTGAATGCAAGCCCACTAACTTCCTGTTTCAAATATTTTTTAAAAAGTATACTCTGTAGAAATTTAAACATAAGAAAACACTAAGAAAATTCTATAGTCCATATTCTTTTTAGGTTATGCTTCTGGTCTTTTAAAATGTATGCTATGGATAAACGCACCAATATTTTCAGTAAGCATATCAAAAAAGTCATCTTTCTAAGCACTGTAACAACAACCAATACAATCTTAGCTGGTAAATAAAATTAAATGGTTAACAATGTAATTATTTGAAACTACTCCTTGGCAGCAGCTGATGGATCGAGTAGCTAAGTCCCAGCCACTCAAGGGAAATGACTGATTGCCCTGCTCCTGACATCAGTCCGGCCCAGCCCCAGCTACTGCTGAGGATGACCCAGCTACTGCAGCTGTTGCAGGAGTAATGGAGAATAAGGAGAATGGAGCTGGCTTGAGAAATCGAGAACATAGAATTGGAGGCATCTTTCTCTGATATCAGTAAAAAAAAAACTACTCCTTGGCACCAAACTTTGCAGTGGCTTCCTATCCATTTGGGAATAAAAGCCAAACAGAGTTCCTGGCCTGGCTTCCTGGATCTCTGCTCCAGTGTTCCCCCTGAGTGCTAACTCCAACTCAGACTCTCCTCACTGCCCCAACGGTCTTCTCTTGCATACATTCAAGCCCCCGCCCAGACACGGTCCAGGAAAAGGTTTTCCTCGACTCCCCGCCTAAAAGAGTCTCTTCCCTCCAGGTAATTCATTTCCAATTACTGCAAGCAACATTTCTCTGCTACCTACATATTGTTTATCTTTTACCAACAGGCTCTACATTTCATACCAGCAGGCAAATGCTTTGCTACCTACTAGAACACACTAGGTGCTCAGTAAACACTTAAGTGAAGAGATATACAAACAAATTAGTTTTTAGCCAGATCACTGCTTGAACACTGAAATACAGAGTAAGCGTTGGCTAACTGTACTTACTAGATTGATCTGCGTAGTTCCTCAGGGGCACCACAGAAACTCCCTGGAGTCCATGAGATACTCGACTGAACTGGCCTCTCTAAGGAAAGAAAAGGTTTTTATTATATAAAACATTAATGCAAAACACAGAACTCTGAGCAACAATGAAAATATCCATTTTGGGAAAACATGTAACACTAATTACTATTGTATTTTTTTTTTTAAAAAAAGCATGAGGATTTTTTTTTTAATTTATTTTTTATTTATTTATTTTTTTTATTTTTTCATTGGAAAGGCAGATATACAGAGAGGAGAGACAGAGAGGAAGATCTTCCATCCGATGATTCACTCCCCAAGTGAGCGCAACGGTCGATGCTATGCCGATCCGTAGCCAGGAGCCTCTTCCGGGTCTCCCACGCGGGTGCAGGGTCCCAAAGCTTTGGGCCGTCCTCGACTGCTTTCCCGGGCCACAGGCAGGGAGCTGGAAGGGAAGCGGGGCTGCCAGGATTAGAACCGGCGCCCATATGGGATCCCGGGCGTGCAAGGCGAGTACCTTAACCTCTTGCGCCACCGCGCCGGGCCCACTATTGTATTTTTTAAAAGGATTTATTTTACTCTTGTTGGAAAGGCAGATTTAAAGAGAGGAGAGATAGAGAAACCGATCTTCACTCTGCTGGTTCACTCCCCAAGTTGCCACAGCGGCTGGAGTTGAGCCAATCCAAAGCCAGAAGCCAGGAGCTTCCTCCGAGTCTCCCAGGTGGGCACAGGTTCCCAAGGCTTTGGGCTATCCTTTGCTGCTTTTCCCAGGCCATAAGCAGAGAGCTGGATGGGAAGTGGAGCAGCCAGGACACGAATGGTGCCCAGAAGGGATGCTGGCTCTTGCAGGCAGAGGATTAGCTAACTGAGCCATCATGCCAGCTCCTGTAATGATGGTGTTCTAACCCAAATCCACATACGTGCAGCCTAGTTCACACAGAACAATTTACAAAGATACTCCTGAGCCAGTAATTAGGGACCAGCAAACTGAACAAGGTAACTTAGGAAACTGCACTAAATAATAAGAGTTTTACAAATTGCAAATTATTTCCTGAATTTTCCAAAAATGGATGACTACCATTTCCCAAGAGCAGCGAGGGACAACAAAACAAAGCAAATGGCTTGCACTGCTGCCACGACAGGCACGTGGGTGGTGGTGGAAACACCTCTGGAGATGCAGTAGGACTCTCCATGGCATGGCAGTGCCCAGGAGCTGCAGTGGGGGCTCTACCACAGGCCTACCGTGGCCCCTCACAGAAAACACGGCTTCCGGTGCTCTCCGCTACACTGCCCTGGGGAACACAGAGGCCTCTTCCTGGACACAAAAGGCATTTCACTGTACACCCACCATGTCCTCCTACTCCTCCATCCATCAGTATAGTCACCTGCCTTCAAACTCAAAAACAGTAAACTTATTACTTAGAAAATTCCAGAAATAAACTCCAGCTGATCCCTGATCAATGATCATTTGAACAGCACAGGACCGCTTATGTATGAATTTCTCCTTTGGGGGAGGGACTGGCAGCAATTCTATAAATGCTGATGAACTGAGCAGCCTAGACTTAAAAAAAAAAATCAAAAATCAAAATAAATAAAATTTTCAGGGGCCAGCATTGTGGCTCAGGGGATGAAGCTGCTGCCAGTACTTTCACATCGAGAGTACAGGTTCAAGTTCCCAGCTGATCTGTTTCAGACCCAGCTCCCTGGGAAGGCAGAAGAAATCAGTAAAGCACCGGGCCCCCTGTCTCCTTGTAGGAGACCTAGATGGAGTTCCTGACTCCTGACGCAACCCCATCTGTCACGACCATTTGGGGAGTGAAACAATGGATGAAGGATGCCTCTCTCTGTCTTTCAAATAAACACATCTCAACAAAGCAAACTCAGGAAAGGTATGTGGGGGCAGTGCAGTAGTATAGCATGCTAATCCTCAGCTTGCAAACACTGATGTCCCACATGGGCACCGGTTTCTGTTCTCTCCCCCCCCCCACCCCGCTTCTGACTCAGTTCCCAGCTAATGGCTTGGAAAGGCAGTGGAGGACGGCCCAAAGCCTTGGGATCCTGAACCCGTGTGGGAAGCCAGGAGGAACCCTGGTTTCTGATCAGCTCAGCTCTGGCCATTGCAGCCATTTGCGAAGTGAACCAGGGGATAGAAGACTTCCCCACACCTTCAACCCCTAAAAAAAGATATGCAACAAATGTTTAAAATATGCCACCTCCTGGGGCAACTGTGCCAAGCTCAAGTGCAGCAACTGCCTTCAAACTGTCTCTTCCTGAGCAGTTCTCTCCAGTAACTGGCTCATCACAGTGGAAAGTTCTCTCTCGCAGCTCTTACTTTGTACTGTACGTAACACATAACACACGATATGCAATTGATGCTATCAGTAAGGTTTGCAGTCTGCAGTTTGGGGGAAGAGGTGTCCAACGTTACACCCACATTTCTCAACTGTACAAGAGGTGGCCATTCCAAATCTTTGCGCCGTTCAGGAGTCAGCTGTATTCGTTAGTTTTCAACTTCGCCACTCCACTCGAAGGACCGTGCTTAATGTCTGTATTAAACTATTCAGAGATTTGTGTGTTGGGGGGGACCCATCATACAGGGTGAGGGTCTATATGCGCTTTCAGGAATCTGCTATTGGGGGTGGCGGTATTGGACGGCTACGGAAGAAGGAGTTATTTCCACCAACATAGTATCTAGGCACGATGCCACAGACGTGCAGTGAGACTGTACAATTAGCAGGGGCACAGGAAGCAAGAGTTAACCAGACAACCTGGTCTACGAACGGTTTTCTCCTAGGGGAGTACTGGAGGCAAGTCATGGGCCTAAAGCTGTCAGCACCGGCCGGGCTTCTGCGGGGGTTGGCAAGCTCGGGGCCACCGAAGTGTCCTCAAGGTTACCTGCCGTCTGCAGACGGCCGCTCAGCAGTGAGGACGACGAAGACACCGAAGGCCACGGGACCAGGGTGGTTCCCGCCTTCCCCATGGGTAGTACAGGTCCGAAAGGGGCGGGAGGTAAACGCCGGCCGACCCTGAGGCGACGGGGTCTTCGGGGGCTCGAGGAGAGCCGCCGTCTCGGGCCGGAGCCGAGCAGGTGCACGGGCGAGGCTGGCCAGGCCGCCGGCCTCTCCCACCCTGCGTGGCGTTAGGCCGCGTCCCAGCCCTGCCCGCCCCCGGAGCCCGCCTGTCCGCGTCCTCGGGCTGAACACGAGCCCGCCCAGGCGGTGCTCACCTTGGCCAAGGCACAGTACACGCGACTCCAGCTCTGCATTCTGGCCGCCAAGTCTCCCCTCCGCGGATGCTTTCACCTCGGCCCGGCGCGTCCACCGCTCTCCCAAGGTCTCCCCGCCCTGCGCATGCACAAGCACGGCTGACGTCAGCCCCCGGCAAAGCAGCGCGATTGGGCCGCGCGAGGTCGAGGCGGTCGCGTCACCGCCTGGGCGTCGCAAGCTGTCGTGAAGAGCTTCGTGCTTTGCGGCTGCTTGGGTGGGTAGGACCGCTTGGGCTGTTGCTGTGACGATATCCTGGTTCCTGGAATACGCAACCAGTGGGTAGATAAAGTTATTTATTTCATTCAAGGAGGAACGTTTAGCAAGCTCGTTAAGCTCTGGTGTTAAGTGTCCATTGGACAAACGCTGAGCTGTAAGCCAGTATCCCTGCTTCCTCTTTGCATATGGTTGTGGAGTTGAGCTGACCAGCACAGCAGAACTTTGTCCATGTTCCCACACAGCTGTATGCGCCGTGTGTTAAATTACTTCTCCTAATCCTCTAAGAAATGCCCCCCCTCCTTATTGTAGTGTACCTAATTTTTTGGGGGGCAAAATCAAATTAAAATTTATTTTTGTGTAAAACATTTCAACATCTATGTACGGATGTCATGGATTTTTATAAACTGTTTGTATACTTCTTGTATGCACAGATTTTTAAAGATAGACAATAAGATAAACTTATCTTTCAATTTTGCTACTCATGAACTTTTAGAAGTACCTTAATATATAAGAAGATCTATAACATTATATCAAATGCCCAGAAGGTGTAATTGGAAATATACTGTTTTTTTTTTTAATTACATTGCATTATATGACACAGTTTTATAGGTACTGGGATTCCCCTCACCCCTCCCCAAACCTTCCCCTCATGGTGGATTGCTCCACCTTGTTGCATTACCACAGTTCTAGTTCAGTTGAGATTCTTTCATTGCAAGCATATAGCAAGCATAGAGTCCAGCATCTTATTGTCCAGATAAGTTCAACGGCTTGTTGGGGAGACCATCTCTGGTCTGAAAGTAAAACTGGCAGAGTATCACCGCGATCAATTAAAAGCCCTAACATAACATCAGCAACAATTTATAACGTTATGGAATTGATTGACATAGTATTGAGTAAACAACATGTTAAAAAAATGAAAGATCTTTACCACATCCTGCGACTCCTTCATTGACATTTCAATTTTAGTTTATATACAACTGGGTCTATACACCTTAAAATGGCTATAGATTACTATTCAGCTGTCTCGTGTCTATTTTTTGAGGCAGTATCTATATTTCATTTACTAATCATCTCCATTTTTACCTGAGACATTTCATTATTAAAATGATTAAAAAACAACAAAATTGTATCATCTAAGGGGAGAGGTCAAAGAAAAAAATTATCATCTAAGCAGTGACATTTGATTGAATAGATAATAATAACTTAAAGAATTGTTAACAGTATCTAAGTACGTGATTATAAATGTAGTACTTAAAGTCCCTTAACAGAACTTTCCCAGAAGGGGGCAGTGTTCTCTCATAGATGATTCCAAAGACACCAGGTCACGGATGCGCCAGAATGAATAAATCAACACTCACCAAGTATTGTGTGTTGAGCATCTACTGAGTACAAAATGTTATACAAGACATTGACCAGAATGTGAAAATGCAGTGCCCGAAGGTCCCTGATTTCGGAAAGCTCACACTGTAGATGAAGAAATCAGGATTCTACCCAGGTACTATAGAAATATCGGACAACACACCTGCTCCCGCTGGATTTTCCATTCACACATGGCCAGTCCATCCTCCTGCCTCAACCAGCAGGAAACGACTCACTCTTCTGCTTCCTTCAGGTGCTCCCTCATAAAGTAACTGTTGGTACGGCCCACCTGCCCTTTCTAACCAAGATTACACTATACCTGTTTTCCGCCTTTGCCCCACATCCTCCCCAATGTGTCTTTATTTTTCCTCCACAGGGTTTATCAGCTGTCTGAAATCAGTATAATTATTCTGTTGTGTCTGTTTTCTGCTGCCATTGAAACCAGAATTCATGAGGACTAAGATCTCTGTGTTGTTCATGGAAATATTCCCAGCGCCTAGAATAGTGTCTTGTATGAAGTGGGCACTCAAAAAGAAAAAAAAAATCACTGAATAAACGTGAGTAGACTAGGTAAGCGCTGCAGGAATTCGGAGGGGAAGGAAGTCACGGGCTGGGCCCCTGGGGAAGTCTTACACAGTCGGAATCCTTTGGAATGCTTGGTGGTTGGCTCTGGAACTTCGCATAGACACCAAAGTCTGTGGCTGGTCAATCTCCTCTAGAACACGTAATCTTCTCCTGTACTTTCAATTGTCTCCACATTACTTATTCTGCCTTGTCGATAGCCTTTGGATTGCATTTTCGGAGTGGGGAGGCTAATGACAGAGGGAAAAAAGCCCATGCATGTTCAGTGCGGATATAATGGCTTTTGCTGAGTACTTTTAATCCGCAGTTGGTCAAGTCCATCGATGCGGAGCCTGCAGCGCCAGGGGGCTGACTTTGTACACTACATGTAATGCCTTAAATGGGTCTTTGAAAGGTAGGTGGGATTTTGCTAGAGGGAGAGGACAAGCCAGGGAGCATGAGATTCCTGAAGCATGTGGGCATTTGCACAGACAGCAATCCAGGACCGAAGCCTAATCACAAACAGTACAGGAAAGGAGTGAGGGGACAGGCCTTAGCGCCAGGCCTGAGGGTGTGAATCCTCCTTCTGCAGTTCCTTCACTTGTACCCTTGGGAAGAGAAATGCTGATGTCTCTAAATGATTCCCTCATCTGTAACATGGAGATAATTACCCTTACACAGAAGACTGGAGAAAGCTTATAAAGAATGTCCTTGGCACGTAGCAGCTCCTAAACGGGGAAGAAATAATCATTCCACTGCTGTCCCGTGCCGGACTCTCATCAAGTAGCTTGGTTAAATTCACTTTCAGGATGCATTTTGAATTTGTTGACCTGAGTCTCTGCAGCGTTCGATAGCCAATCAACCGCAAAATGGATTAAGGTGATGGTTACGAAGGGAGAGTCTTTAAGGAGCTCTGAGAACAAGCCAGTAAATAGCAACTGCCACTTAGGGGAATTCTGTCCCAGACACCCTAGTGCTGGTTTGCACAGTGATGCTAACATCGATATTGTTAGCATCATTGTTTCTGGTGATGAAGCAAGAAATATCTGCTTTAATGAGATTGAGTTACTGGTTTAAGCTCTGGAGTGTGACATTGGATCAAGACAGGATTATAGACAGGATTTCAAATTCCAAGCAGGGCTCTTTTCATAAGATGATTTTGTGTCTCTTCTGGCATGTGTGAGATCTGGATCTGGGAGTGAGCTGAACGGAGATGGGACACTCCTCTAGTGGGTCATAGCTCCAGCTGGTGAGCATGTGGACCAGGCCTAGGTGTTGGGCAGGCTGGGCAAGGTAGCTCTACCTGTTGGTAAGTGTGTGGGTTGGTTTTGGAAGGGGGTGGACCGGGCAAGGCCATGCAAACCTTAGCTCATCAGCAAGTGCAGAAACCATGCTGGAGCATAGGTCGTGCCAGGCTAGGCTGTCACACCTACTGGTTTGCATGAGCCTGGGATGGGAGCTGACTGAGCAGGGCCAGGTTTCAGCACCCACCAATGAGAATTGGGACTGGGACCAGGCCCAGTCGGGCCAGATTATCATCCAAAGGCAAAAGCCAGGACAGGGGAGGGTCTATGCCAAGCCGGGCAGAGAAACCACTGGTATGCATGAGATCTGTGGCTAGGAGCAGACCTGATTAGGGAGCTAAGGGGACACCTGGCTGGATTGGGGTTTCCACTTGTGAGCGTGAAGGCCAGAGTGGGAGCTGCAGTCTAGTCAGGGCACGGCTGCAGTATTCCTTGGCACAAGTGTGGACTGGGGTGTGCCAGTCTGGGCTAGACTCCAGCACCCACTGGTGCTAGTAAGAACCAGGGTAGGTGTAGGATGGGCTAGGCTAGGTCTCTGCCCCTACTGAGCCATGTGTGAGCTGTGTGTGGGTGTGGACCAGGCTTGGCTGGGCTGAAACACCCAGCAATAAAAACCAGAATAGGTGAAGGCCAATCAGGAAAGACCACTGTTCCTGCTAGGACAGGAGGTGCACTAACTAGAGCTGCCCCATGGACCCACCAGTGTGTGTGAGATCTGGCACTGGGAGAGATACTAATGGAGGAACTTGGGGAACTCCTCTGTTGGGACACAGTTCCTGCAGGTGAGCTCAAGAACCATGATAGGGAGCTGCGCAGACCATGCCAGGTAACGGTACTCACTGGCATACATTTGGCACTGGTTGGGGGGTGAACTAGTGAATCCAAGCACCAGAATGGAATGTGGGTGGGGCCAGGTTGGATCACAACACAAGCCAGATCGCATGAGGGCCAGGACTGGGGGCCGGCTGGGCTGGGCTAGGCTGGAGCCCCACCAGCATGAGTTGGAATTGGGGGTAGGACAGGCCCAGCCAGGCTACAGCACCCACTGGCAAACGCCAAGGTGAGGCAGGTCATGCCAGACTGGGCAACAGCACCCAACCAACACACATGAGACCTGGGGCAAGCGGGGAGGAGATAAAGCCAGGAGACTGTGGAGAGCTTCCCTGCAGGACCAGCACTCCCACTGGTGAACACGAGAGTTGGGATGGAGACAGACCAGCTGGGTAGGCCTCATGTGGGCTAGATCAGGGGAAAGCCAGGCTGGGTTGACTATTCCTACTAGTGCATGCATAAGTCAGAGACAGTGTGGGTTGATTGGGCTTTGCCACAGCACTAGCTGGCAGATGCTGGCACGGGGGGGGGGGTGGCAAATTCTGTCAAATTAAACTATAGTACCACCTAGAGAGTGCAAGATCTGGGAGTGGGGGTGGGCTCATTAGGGAAAGAGTGGGTACCTTCCTCCTGGGTTACCACTCTGAATGGTGGGCATGAGAACCAGGACTGGGGCAGGTATGACTAGACGGAGAGTGGCACCTGCCAGTACATGTGTGGACTGGATAGTGGGACTGGTTGGGCTGAACTAGGCTTCAGTGCCTGCTGACATGTATGAGAGCTGAATGGGATGTGGGACAGATTGGACCAGCTTGCTGT